TCGAGATTTTTCTCTCTGGCTCTCTCTACCTTGGGTGATCATCTCTTTCCCTGATTCTCGATTGCCGGGTCGGATCCTTTTCTCCACGATGCAGGCATCTAGGGACCCACCACCATGGATGGCGCCGGCCTGTTCCTGTTTCCGTTCCTGGGTAATTTTGTTCTTACTGCAGATCCGCAGAGACGATTAGCATTAAGAAAGGGAGGAAGTGAGTCGGGAAGGAAGCAAGCCGACATGGAGGGAAGGGCGTCAGTGAGATCGGGAAGGAAGTAACGACGACCCAGATAGATGGTCCTTCCCGAGCCTGAAGGAAGTACCATTGTATCAGACAGGGGGAAACGCAACACCAAGGTACCAGAGACAGAGATGGTTCACGGTGCTCGGCGACATTCCATCCAACCTGGTACCTACAATACCTATAGTATGCGATCGTTTGTACCGTTTAATCAACATGCTTCCCATCTGTCTTGCGCGTGTGTCGCCATCCATGCGCCCCGTTCCCAAAGGGCCATGTACGCGAAACGGAAGGCGACGGGGACGACGGAAGCGACGGAAGCCAGCGCAATAAGCTCAAATGGCCCGGGGCTGAGGAGCTGGCACATACCTGGTTGAAGTCGGAAACCTAACCGTCCGCCGAGAGGAGGAAATGGACCGCCGTGGTCCGTGTCGAGACGAGCGGCGGCTCGTTAATCTGGAGTAGGTTCCGCCCTCTATAACAGCAACAAGTAGCGTTCGACACTCGTCGCGGGCAATCAATCAACGACGACTTCGCTTCCGACCGACTCGCTTCCATCCCCGTTCCGTTTCAAGCTGCTCCCAAGGACGGAACCGCGGCGCTTCGATTGCGGGGTGGGCTTGTTGCTTGGCGGGTCGCGGTGACTGGCGGCGCGCACAGTCCTCCTCCTCCTCGTTGTCGGTCTGGAGTGGGTGTAGTTTTCCTTCCCTTCCCGGCCGCGACTTTGGTTTTTAATTATAGAATGGAAGGCCCCTGGGGCCCGGCGAATCTGACGTTGGCAGGCACAGAACAGGGCCCAGCCAAGACCAGGGACTCCTCAGGTACGGAAACCTACAGACGCCAACACCTGGCCCACCACATGCGGCGTTGCTTTGTGCACAGGTACCTGGACTAAGGCGGCGCTAGTATGGCTGCCTGCCTGGCTGTCAAGACTTGCGAACGTATTCGTAAGTACATTGCACACTAGGTAATTCAAAAGGCGAGGGAAGGAGAGAGGGGGGGGGCCGGAGGGAAGAGGCCTGTGAGGGCGCACCCAACCCCTCGCATGATGCACCAGCAACAGAAGAAAAAAAAAAAAAAAGAAGAGGGGCGGGGCAGCCTAGGTATGGAGGTGGGAAGGGGGAGGGGGAGGGGGAGGGGAGGGGCACAGTCATTGTACCCTTTTCACGCCAGGTTCACCGAAAAGGTACATGCGACACCTCATCGCAGAAAAGGCAAGTGCAGACTGGAGGATGGATATCCGAGTCGGGAGGGTTGGAAACGAGGCGCCTGCCTCGACCACCGCCGACCACTTACATTTCACAAGGAAAGAGTTCGTGGAAAGGCAAACGACCCATCGCATCCATCGCACTTGCTTTCCTTGCACGGATTCGGTCCCTTTTTCTCGGCGCATCGCATCGCCCTAGACCCGGCTCTATTCAGGAACAAAGGACGAGTGCCTGCCTGCCTGCCTCAAGTAGAATGCGCCGTACCTGACTTTGACGTTGCCATGAGCCTGCCGTCGAGGAGGACGCGCAAATAGGCAAGCAGCTATAGCGGACAGGTACCTCGTGTACCTGTATGGCAGGATACGATAGGACCAGACGAGACAGGACAGGACAGGGCAGGTCAGGTCAGGGCAGGTGGCCGTGGTTGCATGTCATTCGCAATGCTCCTTCCTTGTCACGTTGCCCGTCGTGCCTGGCTTGCTGACCACCTCTTCTGCCGAGTCGTCAGCGGCCAGTCCACAACTCCCGGCCCAGGTCCTAAGCTTCGGGCTGTGTCTTATCGCATCGCCGGGGCTTTGCTTGAAACCCATCCTTATCGCCGCCGCCTGCCGTCGCCGCCGGTGCCCCTCACTCATCCTTATGCACCGTGCTCTCGCATTCTCTTTTGCCGTGCGCGCCCTCTCTCTACTGTACCTGAGAATCTCCGTCTCCGCCGGCCTACATCACAAGTGCTTGGCCTTGATTGTGCCTCCATCAATCCGTCACCAACCAAAACCAACACTCGCCGAGCCTGGCTCATCCCGACCGTCGGAACACGCACACGTACACGCATACGCACCCTCGCCCTCGCCCTCACCACCAACACCACCACCACCACCACTTTTCTCGACTCGTTCCTAACACGGATATCCATGGTATCTGATTTAGTGACACCTCCAGCCTCCGTCATCCGCCGGCCTCCACCAGCACACGCTGTCGCCTCCCCACACTTCTGCTTCTGCCGCACTATACTCTCTACATGCACTAAGCAGCCAGACATCCACGCATCCAAGCATCCGAGCATCGTGCCGCCGAATGCATCCTGCCGTTTATCCCTCTGGCGTCCGTATCCGTCCAACTCTGCCCACCCCGCCGCCGGCTCCGCCGCTTGCCTACCCCTGCGTAGGGTAGCAGCCCAGCTCGCAACGACGACAAGGAACACTCTGAAAGCCACAGCACGAGGCGAGACGACAGCGCAAGGTTCTTGACTGTCTTGCACCTTGCTGCGTCAGTACTCCATGTACCTGCCTTCTTAAACCCACAACTTTGTGCATTACACAGCAAACCACCAGCCAGCAGCAATAGCAGCAGCAGCAGCAGCAGCAACAGCACCAACAACAGCCGTCGCAAACCTCGGGCCTGCCTGCCACTCACAGACTGGCCTGTTCCCGCTCTCCGGCGTCTTTATTGACTTTGACCTCGTCAACCTCGACCCGTCAAAACCCCACCGACCCAGTCTTCCTACCAATCCACCGCCGTGCCTCGACCTTTCATCCTTTGTTCCTGGCATCGTGCACCTCGAACCCACGGACGGTGGACAGTCTTCCCAATCCCGGCCTCACTTAGCCAGCCATAATCGGTACCTTACGTCTGGCCCTGGCTGCCCCGTCACATCAGCTCCGCCAACCAACCACCCTCCCTGGCCTGGCACGGTACAGCTCCTGGGCTCACCACCACGTTCCCTCCTCTTCCATTCGCAGACGTACCGTCTCTTCTCGTGCGCACCAGTCTACCGAGCACACTACCTGCACCACTCTCGACGCTGTTCCCCCGTTTCCACATGTCCGTCACCAAACCATCGTCCGCCTAGCTTTCCCGATCATAGACGAGGCAGCACCGCCATTTCTCACCGTCCCGACAAGTCTCGCCTCCCGTCCGTCGCCAGTCTGTCCACGCCGTCCTAGCGCGAGAAATCCCCCCCAACCGCCCGGCTGACTGGGATCTTACCATCAAGCCCGTCTGATTTGGATGGTGTACCGCTGTACCCCTTGTACCTCCCGCCAATCGACTCCACCGAGACACCACTACCGCCGCCAGGTCCTGCTCCTGACCCTGACCCTGGCGTCCAGCCCTTGTCCCTGAACCTGGCCTGTCCTTGTGTCTTGTGTCCACCCAACTCTGCTCGTACCGCCTGCGCTCCCGTCGATTTGCGTACCCATCAACGGCCATCGCCAAACTACTTACGAATCCTCCTCCCTCGCCCTCGCGAGCATTTGCATCTCCCTTCTTCTCTCCCTATCTCTCCAACTGCATCGCTTTCCCGTGGTGTTTTCTCCAGCTCATTCCAGCTTTGACCAAAGTCCCAAATGCGCATCACCGCGGATAACCGCCAGCAACAAGAATCTCACATTGCGCTCTCTTCTCCGCTCGGTCTTCAGCTGATGTTCGGCCAACGTCAGTAAAGCTCTGCAGGCCGGCAACCTACGATCTCGTTGAGCAAAACGCAAGTCATCCATCGTCTTCGCCTAGGTCCAAAAGGGCTCCCCCCAAAACTCGGAAACCCATTAACTTGGGTCTCGATTGGCATTGGACCGGACTACCTACGTTGGCTCTGCGATAGCCCACAGACGCTCCCTCCCAAATTCGCCGACTTGGTGCGCCGGATCCCCCCAGTACGCGCAGTACACACCCCCAAGAGGTGGTTGGTTTTGTTAGGTTGGCCGCTCCAACCCAAGGTACCTTGGGCAAACTCGGGCCAGTTCTCGACACTACTACCCGCTAGACTCGAACGAACGCAAGCAGGCGTAAAAGCCAGAGGCAGGGGGAAGGAAAAGTCAGCGAGGAACCACTAGGGACCACTTTACTGCAGCCAGCAGGTCAGATCAGGGCACGTCTTTCATCATCGACCATTCATTGCCACACTCCCCTGGCAGGTCCTTTTCTAGAGCCGCCTGCCCCTCGCCCTACCAACTTGTCTCTCTTCTCTTCGTCCTCCACCTGGCTCCGATTCAACCGCGCTACCGCCTACTAAACCGGCCTTGCACCTTGTTCCAGCAGAAACACCCCACTCCCTGGCCCGGGATTGATCATCAACTCCCGTCGCACTTCCATCAGCTCTCAGCGACTCTCACCTCTTTACATACGCACACACACACACATACACCCACACTCTCACACACACCAGATTCACGACACCTCTGTCGTTCTTTGCAGCAGACCATCTTCATCAGCACTGCGCAGCGTCACAAAAGGGACACGGAAACGAAATCCTCTCAGACCCAACCAGATTCTCGGATGACTTGATACAGACATCGACGCCTTTTCTTCTTCTCTCCTCCTCTTATCCTCTACTCTCCCGTCCCGCCTTTCCTCTTGCTCTCTCAAACCCGTCCCTCCTCCAGCTCAACCGTCATTCAACAGCAACTCCGCAAACTGCCCTCCCCGCACCTTTTTGTGCCGTGGTGTTCGACTCAACCCAGCCAGCTTGCGTCTGCACTTGGACCTCGACGACCACAGAACTAGAACAGGACACTTTCACGAAACGCCCACACATATTCTGCATCTCGCTGCAAGCTATCATGGCTGCTGCTTTTAGACCGGTGAACTCGCCACTACCTGCCGAGTTTAAGATTGACGAGAAGATGACGACGTCACCGACGACACCCAGGCCAAGTACCGCTCCGCATCCTCAGACACCGCAGCCCTTGCCAGACGATGCAAAGACGCCAACAAAGGCCACATTCAGCAGCGGTAGCGGTAGTACCGGCCTAGCGTCGCAGAAGCCGCTTCCCAGCTCTCCATTTCCCCAAGCTGTCCAGGTTCCCGAAAGCGCCGAGAAGGCCAAGACCCCCACAAGAGCAAACTCGCAACACTCTAGAAGATCGAGGGACTCGGAGGATGTTGACATGGATGACTCGGACGGCGAAGACGACGGCGCATCTGACGAGGACAGCGTGAATGCCGATGGAACCAGATCGAACAAGAAGAAGAAATCACAGCGCTTTTACTGCACCGATTACCCGCCGTGCAACCTGAGCTTCACTAGAAGCGAGCACTTGGCCAGACACATTCGGTAGGGTTCCTAGCAGCTCCCCCGCCGAAAGAAGGTTGCTAACCGTCCCAGGAAACACACTGGCGAGAGGCCCTTTCAATGTCACTGTTCGCGGCGTTTCTCCCGTCTCGACAACCTGCGACAGCACGCACAGACAGTACACGTCAATGAGGACATACCCATAGACTCCTTGGCCGCAACGGGTGCGAGATTCCAGAGGCAGATGAGGACCGAGCGCGTGCGTCAACAAGGTGGTAGGGCCCGCGCTTCAACGGCTGGCAGTGCTGCTGGCCCGGTCAGGGGCCACTCAAAGTCGCTGTCGACATCAAGCATCGCCAGCGTCGGCTCCATCGGATCTGCTTTCGTCCCCCGGGATGACATTCGACGACGCCCCCCGCCTCTGGTCATGGCCGACCCCCGGTCGCGATTGTCCCTGGAGTCTTATCGCAGCGCTGGAGACGGACCATACGGCTATCGCCCAGTCTCGCCCACCGACTACAGCACGCCGACTTCAGCGACATTTTCGACCGGCCAGAGCAGCCCACGATGGGGTTCGGCCATTGCTTCCCCAACCACTTCGCACTCACGGTCCCACAGCATGTACTCGTCTGGTTCGAGGACACCGGGAAGACGACTCAGTGTTCCGTCGGGTGTAAACCCTTTTCAGTCGCCGCATGGTGCGCCAGTCAACAGGCTCGTTTATGGCGCAGGACCCGTCAACTCGTCCAACATGGGTGCATTCTCTCCCGCACCTAGCAGTCACCTGGCGTCGCCCACCACCCCAACCTCTGGATGGTCTGGCAGACGGGACTCTACATCATCCGCTGCCGACGAGGCATGGCGCCGCCGAACTTGGCATCCCGACACAAGAAACTTCAACACCAACACTAGCCATCTCAGCAATGTCCTCACACCTGGCCAAATCCAGCCGAATCCCGCGCCTCCCATCGTCAACGCTCCCAACCCGCAACAAACCCTTCGGCTTCCCGGAATCGAGTCATTTGATCCCCTGCCGTCGAGGCAAGTGTCCCCTCCGAGAAGGATCCCTTCGCCAATGATGGTCGATTCCGAAGCTGCCCGCCCGAGGGCACTTCTGCCTGGGACTGATGCCGTCACTGAAGACCGGCGGAATGTTTCCCAGTGGGACATGGGACTGCACCGAGGCTTGACGAGGCTGGATATCACGTCCAACACGACACCGCCTCGTGACAGTGCTGGTGCGTGGGCAAACGAGGTGAATCAGGCTGTACAGGCGCAGGCGGAGCAAGTCCGGCTTAACCCGCCCACCGTTAGGTTCGAGGTTGACCCGCCATCATATTCCAACTCGGGTGCCTTTACCCGCAACCATCAACACACGATGTCTGCGCCTTCCATCGCATCTAGAGAGAACAAGCGACACGGGTGGTACCACGGGCCTGCCGGCAGCAGCATTCACGGACCCCGACCGGAGGCGCCCAACAATGACCCTCGCGGGCCGCATGTCAACCGGATGGTCCACCCCAACATGACTGCTTTCTCCGGGTTTCCTGCCAGGCACCCTGAGCCGCAACAATCCCAGCAGCAACAGCAGCAGCCGGGGAACCCTGACCCTCTGAGGCGGCTTGAGGCGCTTGTGGCGGTCGCTACAAGCGAGGGAACCACTGCCACTGCCTACTGAACGCCCACATAACGACCTGCCACGATTTTGCGCCGCGTTCTCACACGAGGCACATACATACCTATACCATGACTGATGACCTTCTCCTACTTTGTCTTGTGTCAGCAGAGCTCCCTCTTTGCATGATCACGGTCGCTTTCTTATTATGATATCCCTTTTCAACTTGGCCGGTGGGCGACTGCATTTTTCCATTGGCGTTGTTACATAGCGTTGTTTTCTCTCTCCTATCTGGGTGTTGTTGCCCACGTCTCAGCTCATCTCGTTCTTGTCTGGCCATTACTTTTCGTCGATTTAGTTCCTTTCCTTTTGATATCCGACTTAGTTCTTCGCGTCTCCTTGCTCAGTTTGCTATGAGGTTCGACATTCAAAGGCTGCGCAGGTTTCGGTCAACTGTCCACGGCTGTTTCACGCAACTACTAGAATTCGCTGTTTTGTTTTGGATTCCAGGAACGCTTGCTTACGATCAATGAGATACCCCACTCATTTCAAGATGATGATATAGGGTTGGATGGTAATGGATCGCCCTTTGAGCGGACGCGACAGGCAACATCGGCATCCGACTGCCACGCCGCGCCGAGAACTGGGGGGCAAAGAATGGAGATGCGTGGGCATGATACCCGAGCTTGGTAGCGACTTGCCTCTTTCATTAGTAGAAAGGGTCGGTTCGATGCTCAAAATTCGGAAGTGGGGGTTATGAGACAGTCACCAGTGATCGGGCGGTATACATCTTTTCGTAGGCGTACAATTAGCAGGAATAACGACGCACATGCTCGCAATGACCATCATTCTTTAACCATTTCTTTCAATTTCAGCCATGTCCGTAGGTGCTTGTGATCATACTTAACTCTTGGTAGCGGTTTTGCTTGCGATTCAGGGTCTGGCAATGCATGCCGAGTGTGCCCACCCGGATGCACGATGATGCTATCATCAGCGGCCCCAAGGCTTGTCAGTCAGCCGCTACGACCAATGAAGGGGGCGGTGATTGCGTCCATGGTTGAAGAGTTGCTTGGGGCAGGCGGGGAAAACTGCGCGCCAGTTCACCCCAAAACTGCGTGGAGGGGGGTGGATGGTGTTGGACGATCCATCCCCCTCGACAACCGCCCCTCAGGGAATGCCGGTCCTGCGTCTGCCGAGTTCTGCAGCCGTTTGAACAAAGGGGTGGGGTCTGGTCTTCGGATAGCGGGCGAGGTGCCGAGACGAACCCCGGCCGGGTTTGGTGGCATCCCGGGTCAGCGAGTAATTGATGGCAAGGTGATTGGGTGCTCGGCGGGAAAGCGGCAAAGCAGGAATCAGGGAGACGTCTGGGTAATGTTCTGTCGGACGCTTTTCCCGGCGCAGGTTCGTAGTGGAGTTTGGTTCTCACCGTATTCCTTTTTGAAGGTTGGTTCTCGCTGTGTCGCCAGTCGTCCTTAGTACACGGGGAGCATTAACTCCTCGACCGTTTTGTGTATGCATACATCGGACCGTCTGATCTTGATTCGGATCGTGGGCTCGGAAGTCGGGGAGGGGATGGTTGTATTGCTTGAGGGGGCGGGAGCGGGGGCATGGAGTCGGATGCTACATCCACAACCCTCGGGATCCTACGAGTCCGAGATCAGAGAGGTTAAGAGATGAGTACTTATTTAACGGCCGTGGCCCAAATGTCGCGAGTCTTGTTTGGTTCTGGGCCATGTCACCACCGGCATAACAAACGTCGTGAACGTTGGGAAAACCGGAGGCCCCCCATTCGCTTCAAGTTACCATGCTGTCTAAACATGTTCTGGCCCCGTCGGGGCTCCTGGCAACTCTTTTCCACGTCGCTGAGCTCTCGGCCGCGTCCCAAGCGTGTCGTCCCGAGACCTTTACCTTCCCCGACATCCTCGGCGCCCAGCACGTCAAGACCACGGCGACAGTAGTGAGGGACTACAAGGGCTTTCCGGGACGGCTACACGAACCCGCCGTCATCGTGCCTGCTTCCGGCGTGAGGCCGTTCTGCAACGTCACCGTGTCCTACACCCACGCGGGCCACGACGATCTCGTCAACCTGCATGTGTGGCTCCCACTGGAGAGGGGTGACTGGAACGAGCGGTTCATGGGCGTCGGAGGCGGCGGCTTCGTCGTCGGAGACGTGGACGGGGATTATCCCTCGGCCGCCGTCCACGAGGGGTACGTTGCGGCCGTCACGGACGGCGGGCATCTGACGGACGCGCCGGCGGACGAGTGGGCGCTCAAGAGCCCCGGGAACCTCGACTGGGCGCTGTTTGTCAACTTTGGGTACCGGAGCCTGCACGAGCTCGCGGTGGTGGGGAAGAGCGTCACCCGGGAGTTTTACGGGGGGGAAGAGGCGAGGTACGCGTACTGGAAGGGGTGCTCGACGGGCGGGCGCCAGGGGCTGGCGGTTGCGCAGAGGTATCCCGGGGACTTTGACGGGGTGCTGAGCGTCTGCCCCGCGGTGGAGTTCCCCGCGATGGTAACGTCGCTTTATTATCCGCAGCTGGTGATGAGGGACGTTGGGTACTGGCCGAGCGGGTGCGAGTTGAGGGCGATTGTGGAGGCCGGCGTCGAGGCGTGCGATTTGACGGACGGGGTGAGGGATGGGATCGTTGGGAGATTGGAGGAGTGCGTGTTCGATGTGGGTAAAGTTGAGGGGAGGGCGTATGTGTGCGACGCGGAGGAGAGGAAGGTTTCCAGCAAGGCGGTGGAGGTTGTCGAGACGGTTATGAGGGGGGTTCTCGATGAAGAGGGGGAGAGGATGATTCCGGGATACGTGCCGGGCGTGCAGTTTGACGGGCTGCTGGCCATGATGAACAGCGTCTGCGAGGACGAGAAGGATAGGACGAAGTGCAAGGGGGTCCCGTTCAGCATCACGGACGAGTGGATCCGTCTCTTCATCGAAAAGGACCCGGCGTTCGACATTGAGGCCATGCCGATGGACAAGTACCGGGACGTCTTCCGCCAGGGCGTGGAAGAGTTCGACTCCGTCATCGGCAGCTCGCCGGACCTGAGGAGGTTCCGGGAGCGCCAGGGCAAGCTGCTCATGTGGCACGGCATGGCGGACCAGGCCATCTCCGTCTCCGTCGTGAGAGCGTTCTACGAAAAGGCCAAGAGGCTTGAAGAGAAACGGGGCGTGGACATTGGGGAGTACTGGAGGTACTTTGAGGTGCCCGGGGTGAACCACTGCGTCTCGATGCAAGGCACGCCGTTCCCGTGGGACGCGTTTGAGAGGCTGAAAAAGTGGGTTGAGGAAGGGGTCGCGCCTGAGGAGTTGGAAGCGAGGAAGATTGTGAAGAAAGGGGCGGGAATGACGCTTGGGGACGAGGCTAGGAGGATCTGTCTCTGGCCCAAGGAGGGCGTTTGGGATGGGAAAGAGTGGAAATGTTTGGAGCCGGGCGAGAAGATCAAAATCACGGACGAGAAGGATGAGCTTTGAGCTCTGAGCCCAAGTCAAAGGATACGATATACCAGAGGGAAGAGTAACCACGATTGCGTTGCGAGATGTATGAAAGCCGTTATTAAAGTCATGCTATATACGCCCGAACAAGTCCCGTCTACTTCCACCGTCTAAAGGGGTGCGCCTCAGTATTGAACACAAACTCGTCCAGACTCACCAACCCGGGCTCGCTAAAGATGAGATAGAAGTACTTGAGCGTCTCCCCCATCCAGAAAGACTCCATCGAGTCCGCCGTCGGCGGCTTCTTGGCCGTGACGTCCCATACCGCCGTGTTGGCCAGCTCCGTGCTCGTCACGTTGTCAATGGCCGTCCACATGTCCCACGCGGACTCGAGCAGCGTCGCGTCCGCCGTTGCGCGGTACATCACGAACACGCTCTCGATCGCCTCGGGGCGGAGGATGTATCTCCTGTCCGGCACGGCCGAGAACCCCTTGACGAGCCGTTCCTCGCGGATGATCTCGTCGGCGGAGCGCTCCTCGTCGTCGTCCGCGTTCTTCTGCGCGCGCTGCAGGACGTGCTTCTTCCACAGGCCCTCGTCCCAGTCGCACTTTTCTTTGGACGGGCAGGGCACCATGTAGAACGTCTCGGGCATGATTCCGTGCGGGAAGGCTCGGTACGTGTAGATGCACCCGTCGACGAGCTTGCGCGCGCGGGAGACCTGGTCCGGGTGGTTGAAGAGCTTGCCGCCTAGGGCCATGAGTCCGCCGACGAAGCAGACGAGGTGCTGGCCCTGCGGTTCCAGCTCGATGTGCCTGGTCCCAAAGGTTGATTCCCGCGAGTGCGCTTGACCCACGACGAGGATGTCGTCGCCGCCAGGCGTCATGGGGCGGAAAAGGTTGTGCTCGATGGCCGGTGAAATCGCCATCTCGTACATGGTCTTGTACATCGGGCTGCGGCCGCCGATGAGAGCAGACATCTTTGGAAGGTACTCGTATAGCGAATCAGCCATGGCGCCAAGCGTGAAGTCATCGCCCTCGTAGAATATTTCTGTCTCCGGGTTGACAACGAGCGGCCACAGACCAGGTAGGTTAGTCTTGTTTTGCTGCCTCTCGAAAACCTCCATAATGCGCTGCGTTGCATCCCACCATTTGGCGTCGCCAGTGAGGATGGAGAGACGGGTAAACTCCATGGAAAGGCTTCCGATCTCTGCAACAAGCTCGCCGCTTCCGGGCTTTTGCGGGCGGCCCTTTGTAGCGTCGCCGACCTTCCAGCGGGTGATTGGCATGCGGTTTGGTGTGTCAAAGGCCTTATACAGCATCTCGCCGACTTCCGCTGCCTTGCGCAGCAAACGGACGTCTCCGCTGAGGTCAAAGGCTGAGAGGAAGCCACCGAGATACCGGATGTTCGTCTCGAAGACGTTGATCTCTTCCTGGTCCGTCTTTGTAAAGTCGATGGTCACAGCGGCTACCACGGCATCAGAGAACTCGTCCTTCATGCCCATGATCCAGAGCGTATCGAGTGAGTCTACCAGGGTCGCGGCCCAGCCGCCAAACGTGTTCCGCCGACTCCCGGAGACAGGAGTGAGTTCGTCGGAGAGCCAGGCGTGTTTTTGGTACGACCTCCATGCTTTCGAGAAGGCCTTTTTAACGATTTGCTGGCGCTCCTCGCGGATGCGGCGCTGAGTGCCTGTCTCGGGCGAAAAATGGGCCTGGACCTGGGGGAAGCGGACGGAGGGCGCAATGGGGAGCTGCTGGAGGGGTTCGGGCGCCGGGTGGTTGACTTTCACCGTCTTCCAGAAGTATGCCTTGTCTTGTTCCGTCTCCCAAACTATTGGTTTTGGCGGGAGTGTAGATGAGGTTGATGAGATTGAGGGGAGGGCGCCGTCGTTGTGCCAGAGTATGGTGAGGAGGAGAGAGATAGGGAGTCCTAAAAAGACGATCCCTGGTATTTTCCTCCTTCCTGGGAGCATCTTTGCCCGGATCTATTTGACTCCACGGTTGATAGACACAGATCGATCGTGTACGTAGACGAGATTCGAATGGAGGACACTGGGAGAGAAGCTGTCTCGTTTTCCCAAGCCCCTTCTCTCTGTTGCTAGCGTACGTGACGTAACAGCGACAAGCCCGAATATGTGTCCCTGTCAATGCTTTCACTTGGGGCTAGCAAACCGTTCTTTCACTGGTTATGTTTGCTCGGGTTGTCTATGACATTCTTGAAATGAATTAAAAGAAGGCGGGGGATCCGGCACTTGATATACATTGGGGTGGCCCAGGATCCTCAGACACTGCGACGGTTTGCTTTGCGCCGTAGTGGCCCCCATATCCATCCGCTTTCCATGATGCACCTTGGCGGTGATCGCAACTAGTTTGACGCGGGGGCGGATGGCCTGAGAGTCGCACAGTCACAGCCCTGTCGGGATCGTTGCTGGGCGGCAACGGTTGCAGCGGTCGAGCGTCGGGTATATAACCACTTCGGCTCAATGCCACGTTGGCTTGTTTGTTAGACCAGGGGTTGTGGACAGCTTGGTCTTGACAGTTAATGTTTGGGATTATAACGTTTTGCTTCTTAGTTTAACACCTGTCATACAAAGAAGACATGAACCTTACGTGACTTGAGTAAATCTAAACAAAACTAATGTGGTCAAATCGATGGCGAAGTCGTGACGAGGAATCGTTACTGTGCAAAGCCTCGGCGCCATGAAGAACACCAAGCGACCGTGTTAGGCCCCCATGCAAACGCCCGCTCAGGTCACCTTTCTCATTTCGCTCCGATGCAGCTTGACGCCCTCTGTGCCCTACAGAGCTATTTAAAGTAAGAGCCCGTGCCGTCCCGTCGGCATAAAAAGCCCATTCCTTGCCGTCTGCAATTGATTGTTCCACCTTGCTACATATAGGCTTACAAAGATGGGAATTATCTTGGCTTATTCCATCATAGCCCTTGAGACTATGTAATGAAAACCTCGAACCAACGAGTAACCCAGATTTGTTCTTTGCTGTCGCATCAAGCGGATAGACTATTTTTATGGTACCAACAAGATACATCAACCCTCGATAGATTTACTAAAATTCTACAGTCAATCAGACTATTCAATAATGGAAAAGGAAACATGCTTGCGGCTCGAAATACTGCAAATGCATCCTTTAATACCAGAGGGCCTTGTTCCAGAACTTGGCCTGGTCATTTGCCAAGTCATCCTCCTCAAGGTAGAAGGTGGTGTTGAAGACGATCTGAGTGCCGGCAGTAGACGAGTTGCCGTACTGGGGCCACTCGAGCTTATCCTCGGGCCACATGGTATTAGGGTTTCCAGTCAGAACGAAAGAAAGCAGGTACTTCTGCATCATGACCTGGTGGATTGTCAGATGAAAGACTAGGTTTCTGTCGAGGTATTGCACTTACAGCGATAGTAGCGTTGACTGAGCTGGAGCCACCAGGCCCACCAGCACCTCCGGAAGGAGGGCCACCGGCGCTTGAAGAAGAGGTAGCAGACGCAGCAGCAGAAGTGGCTGTGGACTTGGAGACAGTCGTGTTTGAGATGGTGGAATCGGTGCTGTCGCTTGAATCAAGGCTGGAAAGCGAGTAGGTGCTGTACCCTGTCAAGAAGTCAGATTGTGATTCTACTTGGCGGGACCGTGAAATAAGCTTACAATAGTAGCTCTGATCAGTGCCATGGGTAGCAGAGTCTAAGGCAACCAAACCGTTCCAGGTCTGGTTGTTCAGGGCATGGGTAAGAGCTAGGTTGTGGGCAGTCAGGTCAAAGTGTTGCTTCATATCAGCGAAACGCAGACCGGGCGAGGTGTAGTCGTCTGCGGGGTACAGCGCCAGGATTTCGTCGACTATGCTGTCGTCGATGGCAGGGAAGAAGATACGGAGGTAGGTGGCGACATCCTCGGTGGTGTTCACACCGGTGTAGGCTTGGCTATTAGCCTCGTGCTGCTCGTGGGTGGCGACAACAGGACCGGTAAAGTTGAAGCGGCCTTGGTAGAGCTGCGCCTCGTAGGTGTCTGCGATAATGTCACCATCGACACGGGGCTGGAATTGGTAGTCGTAAGCGTCCTGAATGGTGGTGGCGGCGGTATTGAGAGTATCAAAGTTGATGCCACGCATGCACTCAAGGTTACCGCCAGGGCAGCCAGCCGCAGAGGAAACGTTCAGCCAGAAAGCCTAGGAGCACTTTTATCAGTTGCTTGAAGCACTAAAGGGGATAGGTATGCCTATACCTCGGCATGTTGGTGGCCGGCTCCGGGGACGAAGCCAGGAGACATTACATAGGCACGGTTGTAGAGTTGCTCGGCATGCCCGGCGAAGCGCTGTGATTCGGGTCAGTTTTTTGTAACAGCATGACAGAATGTTAGCGCTTACAGTCATCTGGAAAAGAGTCTGAGATGCACCCGCGGAAAAACCAACAGCTGTGATCTGGTCAGGGTCGCCACCAAAGTTGCTAATGTACTTCTTAGTCCACTCAAAAGCAGCCGAAACATCCCAAATGGCAGTGTTTGAGGTACCACCCTCATGCAAGAAGGTGGGGCCGTTGGCAAGACCGGTCATACCGAGACGGTAGTTGTAAGCAACGAAGACGAAGTCCGTAGACAGGTCAAAGAGACCCTCAGGGGTATTCTCCGACTTGCTGCCACCAGTGAAACCACCACCATACGTCCAGACCATGACGGGCAAGTTCTTGCCCTCGGAATTAGCTGGTGCCCATACATCGACGTACAGACAATCCTCCTCAGAGCTGCAAGCGACGTCGGCTGAGACTAAGTCACCAGTGTTGAGCTCTGTCTCGACAGGTGGCGGTTGGGGTTTCGCCCATCGGAGGTCACCGGTAGGGACGGCGGCGAAACGGATGTTCTGGTACTTGTAGTAGCCGACGGACTCATTGCCCGCAGTGGCAACTACGGTACAGTAGTCGAGAGTTACGGACGGGAGGTTGCTGGGACCGGAGGTCACTGTCGGGGCAGTAGTGGTTGTCTGGGCCACAGCCAGGGAGGCTGCCATCAACAGGTAGGAATTGGTGAACTTCATTGTGTCCAACTCTTAGCGAAAACGAACGGTGTCGACTGTGTTTGTTGGTTGGCGATGATTGGTTACCATTTTTACAGCCCTAAGTTGACATCGTTCGAGGTTTTATAGACTGCCCTTACTTCATTTTTGTGAGCATTTCCCCCCTTCTTACGGCGATCTCCGTTGATGGCGACAGACACGACGCGTCTCCAGAGCTGGGTGACGTTGTTCCCCTCTGAGCCTCATTTTCATGGAGGCATGCCTTGCTGAAGCTCACATTAAGGAGCATGTCGAGAACTAGGCATCATGGGTGTGGGCTTGGGTCCTAATGTTGTTTTTGGGGGACAAGCAAATGCGCTATTGGCTCGCATCAGCCCCATAAGGCTAGTTGGTGGGATGAACTGCTAGTGTGGCTCAGGTTCATGAATCGCTCCGTACGTTGATGGCTAGCTATGCTGCCTTTACGAGATTTCGGGGCTCATTAAAGTAAACGTTTCCATGTTTTAAAAACTCTGTCCCGAGATACTACGATTCGAGAAGCCAGTGGGAGGAGCAGCAAGCTTGAAGTTCGATCCCAAGTCTAATTTGGCGGAATGTGGGGGTGGGGTTGAAGCGAGAGGGAGGAACAATCAAGTGGATGATCGCATATGTTGATGTATACTTACGTCCCGCTAGGTACGTTATTTAATTGTGGTTGCGACGACAATAAATGCAGTTAGTTGGGGCTTTACCGAGCTTCCTAGTCAGTTTGTGAAAATAGCATATTACCCAGATTTTCCACCGAATACAGAAAACTTCTATTCGAACCTATTGACTACTCTCGATCAAGTTCTTGGATACGAAGAGAGGGCAAGCGTTTAGCAGAGGAAATCAATCCGTCCTTAAAGCGGAACGTCTCGTACAAGTTTCCAGAGCAAAGATTTTGTGAAATATCGAAGTACTAAGGCACCAATAGGAAAAGTCTCTACTACTTGAAATAGGGGGTTCGTAGAGAGAACTCCAACGAATCTCATTTCACTCCCATTTCATCAATGTCTCCGAAGCGCATTTGAAAGAGTGAGAAAATAGAGTGAAACGATTTTTTTCTTCAAACCTATTGACTGGCCTGCTCCCGTTGTGATAAGACGCCCTTACGCGCCCTCTAGATGAGCTGTCTTCTCGTCCTTTTCCGAATTGAACTCCTGCGGCATTGCAATAGGTCTTGTCTTGGCGTACTTAACGGTGGTTAAAATGGAGGGTGACTCGCGGAATAGGAGGTCGATTTCCTCGAGGTTACGCCCAGTAGTCTCAGGGAAGAGGAAGTAGACTGTGACGGGCATCGCGGCAGCAATGACAGCGTACACAATGTAGTAACGCCAGCCAATAGTATTCAACGCAACTGGAGTGACCATAATAACCAAAAAGTTGAAGAGCCAGTGATTGGCAGTAGATATCGAAGACATGGCCATACGCAGTCGTAGAGGTGCTACTTCTGTGCAGTAGAGGTAGTTGGCGCCCATGAGACCGATTGGGATCCACGTATTGTAGAGGAAGATGAAGAATGCAGCAGCAATCTGAGCTGGGTAATTGTCTGTTCCGAACGACGTGGCGACGGCAAGAGCGATCATGCATAGCGACATTCCTGTACCGCTAACGATGAAGGCAGCGCGGCGGCCAAACCGGTCAATGGTGAAGAACGCGATGAAAGAGGCCAAGAACTTCCATGTCAAAGTACCGCCACTGAGAATGCGAGAGTATTGGCTAGAAAGTCCGAGACCTTGTTGGAATAGAATCGGCGCATAGACACTGACGAGGTTAGAACCGCTAAAGAGGCATTGAGTTAGTTAAATCGGCAAGACTTGTGTTGAGTCTGTGAGAGAACTTACGCCATTTGTTGAAAGAATTGGAGAGACATGCACAGACAGAATCTGTACAGTAGCTTGTCTTCGCCCATCTTCAAGACATCTCTCAGGGAGACCTGGGTACCTTTGGTCTCCTCAAGGGAATACTCGATACCGGAAAGCTCGGCCTGAACCTCGAGAGAATCTCCAGGAAGCGACTTCAGAACGGAGATTACTGAGCGAGCCTGTTCGCTCTTCCCCTTCATAACCAACCAGCGGGGTGACTCAGGGAAGAAGTAAATCGAAACCATGAGAACGATGGAGAAAAAGACGGCAATGGCCAGCGGCGGGCGCCACGTAATAGGACCGGAATGGAATTGGAAAAACCCAAGGTCGATCCACGATTCGAGCATGTATCCCACGCACATGAACACTCCGGATATGACAACCTGTCGGCCTCGATTCGCTGCGGCAGACGTTTCGGACTGCCAGACCGGGACGATGGAGCTGAGCTGACCGATACCGAGACCGGTGAGAACACGTCCCACGACAAACTGTGGCAGGCCAAATGAAGCAGCCATGAGAACCTCGCCGATGAGTGTGAGGATGGAAGAGAAGAAGATAATGTTTCGGCGGCCGTAGGCATCTCCGGTCCATGAGCAAGAAAGCGAGCCGATTGTGGCACCGACTGTAAAGGTAGCCACGATAAATCCTTGCAATGTGGAGTTCCGGGATTTCTCATCCCCAGAAGTATTCACTGTGTCGATTTCGGGGAACGTCTTGATCCAGTCCTCCTCGGTCAGCAGACCGCCAACAACGCCAATATTGTAGCCATAAAGAATGAAGCTGGGTGCAATGATGAGGGCAATCCTGAGATTGTTGAGGGCGTTGCCTGTGAGGCCGAAGTACTTCTTGGAACCCATGATGTCCTGTCGCGTATTGTGAAGATAACATACGAAGAGACAAACGGGACGACGAGTGAAGGAAGATAGAAATCACAAAGCTTTGGTCTCCTTCTCTATCCCATAGGTAAGGGAGAATAGGCGGCTTTTAGTCTCTGTGAGCATCTGAGACCCCACGGGCGGTTAGATTACTCCATCGTGGAGCCGTGTGTGGGCAGATGCGGAGGTATCCAATGCCTTTCGTGGTACCCCATGGAGGAGCGCGCGGAGACGTGGGGATCGGCTGACTTCTTTGGGGTAGGGGGGATAACCCTTGACTTCTCATCCACCCTAGCCGTTGATGTCGACCCCTAGTCGATTGGAAAGGAGATCTGACGACTAAACAACTGTCCTACGAAATGTATATATGGCCCTCATTCGATTCTCGCGGAGTTACGCGAATCACGGAATACGTCAGTCATCTAACTCTCGTTGGCGATGCACACTGAAAAAAACTGCTTTGTCAAGCTTCGTCATCGCTCAAACCCCCAGAAGGCGCATTTCGAAGATCATATGGGGATGGGATGGACGTTCTGTTGGCGCCGATTGGTTCATGTATAACTACGCGGGCTCTCGTGTCTCAATGAAGGAGGTGATCGGAGTGTGGTTGCAATGCACAACAAGGTGGATAACCATGTACATATTATCAATATGAAAGCACCTTCCAAAGATAACTGCATCAGTTTCGTGTCTGGATGAGGTGCTATCATTATCATGGCATCAGAGGGCATCCGAATCGACTGGTCTTTGCATGCGAACAAATGAATTCAGAGATGGAAGCACGGGACCTCGGCAGAGAATCGCCACTAGTTCAGTGAAACCTCACCACAAAGAGGAACCTACTCCCTCAATAAAGGATGCATCGATCAGCGTGTGACGGCATAACAACTCGGGAAAGGGGCCCGGAAGCATACCATGCCTGCTTACAAGTATTTGTTGAGGAACTCGGTATCTGACCTGTCTCTTCCCTGCCGCTGCTTACCATTACGATGCATCGCTTCTATCGGACCATTTTGGTGGAGAGGGCGCGGGAGCGAAAGCGCGAGTCAACATCGTCCGCGGTGTTTCGCTAGGCCGCCAAGCGGAACCTGTCCACCGGAGGCGTTAAAGGTTGTCCGAGGCATATTGTTCCTCCGCAAGTCGTAAGAAGATGCCGCTAGCTCGTTTGACCACAAAAAACACTATTGTAATTGTTGTTGTTGCGACAGAACTCCGGATGTCGATGTTGGTGACTGCGGAGAGCCCAACTTGGCCAGGTCAGTGATATAAGTATTTGCTAGAGTCTTGGTAGACGTCGGCAGCAAGTAGTATGAATTGCCGATAAAGCTTGGCATCTGCCAAGAACGCCTCAATCTTACAGAGCCTCAATCATTGCGGCAGAATGCAACTCCATAGACAATTTGCGGCAATCAACTGCACCGCCAGACAGGCATGACGCCAGCACCAAGACAATTAGCGCCTGCCACCGACAGGATCCTGAATGGTTCTAGATTCCATAGTTAGTGTCCATAATGACGAATTGGTTGTGAAGCAGCTCTACGTAATGAGCTTAGACTCAGAGAGATCGCTAAAGATATGGAAATGAACTTTTCCTACGGTGCTCCTTTATCCTTTTCCCTTGTCGACATTTAATGGGTCGAAGGTCTCGTTTTGTATTGACATGGTCTGAGGCGGCCAAGCACTCGTGATCGCTCAGACCAATGCAACTTCTCCAGCTTTTTCTTTCACCAAACTTGTGTCGTGCCTCATCACCGTGGTTTTTGCTCGCAGTCGCGTAACTGTGGCAATTTAGCAAATAATGTTTGCCGCCAATAGATTGGTGGATACAGCAAGGAAGTAATTTGTTTTACGTTGGTTAGACTTTGTCTTTTCTAAACAGGAAGATTGCTCATGAGCCAGGCACACGCACTTGCGACAAGTCTCAGCAGAACTCACATAAGGAGTTATTCGGCCTGAATCTTGTTAGAGTGACCGACGTACTTTTCTTGAACGTTTATTCGACCAATGAAATCTCATGCTGTTGCCCCTGCACAGAGTTTGTTTGTTCATATTGTTATCGATCTCAAGTCACTTCCAGTCGTCGATTTTCCCCAATTTTATTGAAACAACCTTGCAGACCGCAAATAACAACGAATTGAGCACATTACTATAGGCAGTATGGAAGGACTTGTTCCCTTATTGGACCTGGTTTGCCTCGTAATAATTTGCCTGTTGACTGCCTCGGCCTCGGCTATTACGCCCAATTGCTATCCTGAGCTTCGGCCTCATCATGCAACGCGATGAGTGTTATTGAAAAGGTCTGTAGTATTGATTCTTTACGGTTGATCACTCTTCGAGTGGGCAGCCAGCCAACCTGTAGTACGAACTAAAGAAAAGTGCAAACATCTGCTGGCAATCACTGGTCAAATCATCATTCAGCTTAGCATCAGAAGGTCAACTGTTACAATCATGAAGATCCATTGACTCACCGCTTCCATCTCAAGGCACTGGACTATCCTCTGCGGAAGCATTCGCCATAAGCCTACCAAATAAGCGATTGCAGTTTGTGGCTGTCATCACTACCTGCAAATTTGGGAGGTCTACTGCTAAGTAGATTCGTTGCTGTGATCGCAAGGCCTGTCAAGGCTCACGACGGGCCTGACTTTTCTTTAGCAGACCCTTCTCCCAGAGGCGCAACAGGAACAGCGCAATCCAGGAAGCCAGTCAACACAATCTTAGTTACACCTGATGCCAAAGAAGTTGCAAGTTATGTCTTTTCCTGTTTGAGCCATGGCGCTATGACTCGTACCTTTGCATGGCCTCGATGGTGAAAGTAGTTAGCCTACAGCCTGAGCCGATGCTTCCACACAGTCTTCGGTAATTCTCGAAGAGAGAGGGTTTGACAGAAACTCTGCTTACGACGTGGAAGCAAAACCACATCTGGGCAAGCAAGACCAGTTTATGTCGAGCTCATAATACTGCCTATCAAGTAGAAAAACGGCTGCCTAGTTAGCCACAGGCCAAGACGAAACCGGAAGGCAAATTGCGACGAGCACCTTTTGCATGGTATTAACGCGGTACGACACATCTGACCGGCCGGCGTATGCAAAGGTCATGCTAACACTTGGCGTCTTTCATTGTGTTTTTCACCTGGATTTAAGACTGAATAAGAAGAAGGACCGGAAGTGAAGGAGTTGACGCAGGTAACATTTACCATCAAGCTGTATGATTATGCTTTTTCGTAACATTCCTTCTCGGGGAAAAATGCAAACGCGGCGTGGGACTCTGCTGAACAGTGCGGTTGACGGAAGTAAACAATAATTCAGCTTAACTTTACGGAAGAAGGGTTCATCATTGTCGGCCAGAATCAGCTCAAGGGTTTATCCAATGATAGCAGTAACTTGTTAATGTTTTTGAACATCTCAGCAAAGAATTTGAATAATTTTCCAACGTATGGCATTTTTATTAGCAAAACGGCGGGAAACAGCATCCGATCACAGAAGGCAGCACAAACGTGCTGTGATTGCAGGTCGTCGCACAGCACGGTTCATTGTACTGGAAGTTTCATAAACGTCGGCATAAGGCTCCAGGATATCGGCCATGGAGTAAAATTGCTCAGCGCTGTGCAAAGTGAGTACATTTCCAAACGAGGTCAGTGCAGTGCTAGAAGAGAAACCAAAGATTTTCCAGAGCATAATGAGATACGTTCGACGTAAATTCAGCAAGCGCCAAAGAGTTGAGAGAAACGTTCGCTGGGAGGTTCCGAGTACGTAGAGTAGGTAGGCACAATGTTGGAACATTGTCAACACGGAGATTGTGACAGACATGACATGGGATAATAAGTTTTGTTTTGCATTGAGAAAACTGCTCTGCAAGATTCGATTACGTATTCAGACCTTGGATAATACCAGACAAGACACTCAATACCGATACCGAGAGACTCGTTCCGAGATTGGATGTAGAGGTGGGAGATGAAGTACCTCAGGACGGGCCCAGAATATAAACTTCGCCTGGTCAATGGATGACTCAGCGCTCAAAACAGAAGAACCTTTCCATAGTAGGGCTAAAAGCGTGGGCGGAAGAGTGGAAATCGACCCATCTGGACACCTCGGGTCCGTCTACGGCGCCGCGCCGACCTGTGGGAGCAATTCGCATAGCACGGCACAGGGCTCGTTGATGGACACCAACAGACCAACAGCGCCTGATATGTTGGTTGGACCTACGTAGGTGGTACCACGGTATGTCACCCACACAAAACTCAATATGCTCCCCAACTCGACGAGGGAGAAGGGGACACCGGGGGATCCAGTTTGTTGATCGGAGCAACGGCCGCCGTCGGCGTGTTGTTGCACTTGCATTGCAGGCAGAGCGAGAACGGCCTTGCAATGCAGTGCTGTTTACCCGTGGTTTCAGGTGTTCGCTTTCGGCGGCGCGCTCAACCACTCGTTGCGAGACCCAAGACTCTGACCAAGCTGACAGAGTTCACAGGAAGAGAGAAGCGCTCCAACAAACGAAACGCAAACGCCACCAACGCGGCCCCGTGTTTTTTGACAGCTCGCGAACACGCAATTGCGAGAAAACAAAAAGGGTAAACGGCCTTGGCTGTCGCGCTACGCAATGCCGATCAGCTCTCCAGGGTTCCACCGCGTAACTTTCGTTCAATTGCTCCAGCCAATCGCCCGCGCTCCCAAAGGAGTGGCGGCTTGTCCGGTGCGACATTCCCGCTTTCGAGCCTTTGGGGTCATGTCAAGAGCGGCTGCGCATGACCACTGGTTGCGCCATGCCCCTTGCCCCTCCGAGCTAAGGCAGTCTCAATATGGCAGTTGTTCGCCCAGCTCGATCTCCCGCTGCTTGTCCAAAGTGCCCAGCGTCTCCCGGACGGCCCGGCTGCAAGAGCCAAGAGGCACCCATGGTCCCGTGGAGGCCTAACAGACTTTGCCCGTCCAAGAATAGGGGCGGATGGGGCGCTCGTGCAGCGTTAGGCCGAGTGCAGAGAGCATAGTTACCGGGTTGCCGGCCAGGGCTCAGGGGCCAATGATGCGCAACATATTGCAGCGCCGCTTACACCCTGCCCAATGACGACCAGAATGTGATAACCACGGTCCAGAGGACCTTGCCATCAGATCAAACTTTCGGGTGCGGCGTCTGGGTTTTCCTTGCCGGCATTGGTCGTCAGCCCCCAACGCCGAGTCATTTGTGCCTCGGGCGACCGTTGACGTTGGCCCACGCAGCCCCAGAAAAGCAATCAGTTTGCTTCGTCAACATGGGGCTGTGATGAACTCTATTAAGGTAGGGGTAAACGTGATGTGAAGCGCCGCGCTCATCTCCCGTGTACGACGTGCCGTTACTTAAGATGGTCGAGTCGTCGCGCCGGCCGTGCCACTGCGATTCTTGCTCGTTAGCCTCGAGCTGAACACTCTCCAACTTTACTACATTCTTTTGTTACGGTTCAAGTTTTCCTCCTCTATTCGATAATGTCGTTCGCTAGACTCTCGCTCGCAGCCTTGCTGGCTGTGGGCGCTTCCGCCGCACCCTGCCCCGAGAGCGGCGTCGTGGCCTCGACCTACTTCGCCGGCTACCACGCGAACCGCGGTTTTCCCGTCTCCAGCATGCCGTGGGAGAAGTACACGGATGCCAAGTACGCCTTCGCGGAGACGAACGCGGACGGCAGCCTCAACCTGACCAAGTCCGCCCCCGACCAGCTCCCCGTCTTCGTCTCGGCCGCTCACGAGAAGGTATGTTTTCCTGACTCGACCGCGCCGCGCGTATGTTACAAAAGTTGCTGACTCTTTTCTGCAGAACGTCAAGGCGCTCGTCTCTATCGGTGGCTGGACCGGAAGCCGCTACATGAGCACCAACATCGGAAGCGCCGAGAACCGTACTGCCTTTGTCAAGACCTGCTTGGATTTTGTCGAGAAGTACAACCTGGATGGTAAGTTGTGGCCGAGAGCCTGCCCACATTGAACCCCCCCCGCTGACAAGCATCAGGCCTGGACTTCGACTGGGAGTACCCCAACCGCCAGGGCCTGGGCTGCAACGCCATCAACGTCAATGACACGGCCAACTTCGCAGCCTTCCTCACGGAGCTGAGACAGAAGCAGACCAAGCAGCTATACCTGACCGCGGCTACCAGCCTGTTCCCGTGGTACGACGCGGCCGGCGTCTCTAGCGCCAACGGCACCCTTGCCTCCTTCGCCGAGACCCTCGATTATCTCATGATCATGGGCTACGACATCTTCGGCGCCTGGGCTGCGACCGGCGGCCCCAACGCGCCCCTGGCCTCGTCCTGCGACCCCCGCAACAACCAGGGCGGCATCAAGGAGGGCGTCGACAAGTGGATCAACGCCGGCATCCCCGCTCACAAGCTCGTCCTCGCCGTCGGCGCCTACGGCCACGGCTTCTCCGTTAACTCTACCAGCGCCTTCACCTCCCCCGGCGTCCTGAACGCGTACCCGCCCCAGAACAGCAGCCACCGCTTCCAGGGCAGCAGCTGGGACGACGACCCATCGATCGACGAGTGCGGCAACGCAAACCCTCCCAGTGGCACCTACACCTTCTGGAGCATGATCACCGAGGGCAACTTCCTCGACGAGACTGGCAAGCCCCGCCAGAACATCGCCACCGGATACGACAACTGCAGCCAGACGGTATGTTCTCCCCCCACTCGAACTGCCGCAGGTCGGACAGCAACTAACAATGGAACAGCCTTACCTTTACAACGAGACCGCTCAGGTCTGGGTTTCCTACGACAACCCCGAGTCTCTGACAGCCAAGGGCCGGTACATCACTTCGTCAAAGCTGGCCGGTTTCGCCTTGTGGGAGGCCGGTGGTGATTACCACAACATCCTCATCGATGCCATCCGCTCTGCTGTTGGCTTGTAAGGGATGTCCTGGTTAAGTGAGCGAAATATAGATAAAATGGTCTCGGTGACAAGGTTGTAGTAATATCACTTATTCTCCTAGGAACTGAAAGTTGTGACAATGCACTTTGATTTGATGATGGTCTGTTCAAATGTCAGATGCTTTTTGCGGTCATTCCCACATCATTTGATGATTAGCTAGCATGCATAGTGATAGCCCCTAATGAATAAATCTCCACAGATTGTATTCAGCATCCCAACATGCGGTCAAACCTGCATCGACGTTGTGGGAATCAGGAGCCATACTGGAGCCTGAGCCTGCAAGTTATCGAGCATTGTCATCCAAATGTCTTACAAGTGCATATGGCATCTTGCAATTGGTATCTTGTTCCAAAAAGGAGACTCGGATCTTGACTTAGCCACAAGTAGCAGGCAGCTCACCCGGAAACTCCTGCGAACCACCCTCAGTCCCAAGGCAAACTTCGACAGCCTTTCACCCCTCTGTCCACCTGCTTTCTACCCCTTTTCAACGTGAACTGGAAGAAATGCCAAACACCACTCATCCCCAGCAGAAATAAGTAGCAGGTAGGGAGAAAGAAATTGCCTGGTATCTCGTTGTCAAGCTTTCGATCACCTCAGGCCAGCCGTTGGTTCTACTTCTTCCTCACAAGTTCCCAATAAGAATTGCCCCCAAATCATTGTCAGTCAACCATGGAGATTGTTAAAAACTGTTCAAAGACTGAACTCAACTCCTCTTCATTTGATGCACTAGAAATCCATCAAGGACGCGCACCAAATATGACACCAACCCGTGCCATTTCAATAGCCTGAATGTGCAGCATGTTGCGTTCGGAGCCTCTCTCTTTTTTTTTTCTTGTTCCAAAGCCTTCGACCCGATTGATGTCTTGCCATCTGAAAGAACTCACAGCTTCGCCCCAACATCCGCCTCACACACTCAAAACCACGCACTACAACGCCGTTCACCCAAAACCCACTTCTCACCGGGCTTGTTCAAATACATCTGGAGGCAAGTTCAAACGGGAAAATTCTTTCACTGTCTGGATCCTTCCTTCCCAGAAGAGATGACTGTCAAGTCGAAGCCCGGCTCCAAGTATCAAATATCTGCTAAGAACCCAAGCTCAAACCTCCAGCCTCACAAACACTCAACTTCCAACTTGATTTCCTACCCAAAGCAACCAAAACACCAACTCTAATCATCTGAATCACGTCAAAAATACCAGAATCCTCTCACGGTAAGCCTCTTGCCATCTCCCAATAAGCCTTTATTTCCTTCTTGACTAACCACTAACTCCCCACAAGACCACCAACGCAAACATGCCTCCCAAAGCCGCCTCTAACGCGTCCGGCATTAACGCCACCGAGAACGAGATCAAGCTCGCTCTCGCCATTCTCAAGCTCGTACCGCGTCCCACCAGCGCTGCCGCCTACGCCAAAATCGCCGAGGACGCCGGCTTCGCCAGCGGTGACAGCGTCCGCCACATGGTCCGCAAGGCGGCCGAGAAGCACGACTGGTTCTCTTTGGTCACCGAGGAACTGGCCGCCGCCCCGCGCCCCAAGAAGGCAGCCACGCCCCGCAAGAAGAAGATCGCCGAGGCCGCCGAGGAGGACGCCGAGGAGGAGGGCACCCCGACCATGAAGCGCGCTCGCAAAGGCAAGGGCAATGACGCCGCTGCGGCTGGCTCTGAGGAGCAGGTTAACGGTCAGATTTGAGGAGGGATGAGCCGATTCTGGGGACTTTTACACGGCCATTCGATTCAGCATTGGATGGAGCGATGGAAGGCTACTTTGGTTCCGGTCTTTTCGTAATGCTCCCATTACGACATGGCCCTTCCTGATATCCATGGCTGATTTTTACACACTTGCTTCTCATGGTGGTACGATAGAAGAGTACCTTGGGGCCGTTTCGGTCTAAGAATAGCATCTCGTCCTTCGATTCTTCGTCTACGTTCCTCTTTTGTGTCGATGTTGATGAAGAGGTGGCATCGAATTCTAGTTGTTCCTATGAATGAAAGTTGTAGTCACACAGAGAGTGCTTGTGTTGGGGTTTTGGGGGCCATTTTCGGGGGGGCTGGCATCCTGTTTTAGGTACCCCATGAGGACTCAAGGGCCATATGTCTTGAAATCTTGCCTCCTACTAGACTGGGATACAAGCAGCTCCCTGGTAGTTTCTTTTAGCCTGTGCTTACGTATTCAATAGAACGCCTGTTATCGTAAAGTCGCCAAGACTGGGACCATCATGGCACACATTATTCTTCGCTTGTGGGATGAATACCCTGTTTAACCCAACGATGAATGTAAGCCGGTATACTAATTCTACTATTCTTCCGTCGACTGCGAGGGACAAAAGGACTGGGTTTTGGAGGTCATTGCCAACGAGAGTATGGTTAGGGAAGATAGAGGAGGGCGAAGGACCCTGAAAAGCCACCCAGAACTAAGGTTGGTTGGTGAAAGTAGGGGAAATAATCGGCATTGTACACCGATCTCAACTTTTGTCCCACGCTGCCTTGTCCTGTTTCGTCTCCATCCATTATGCGATCTGAAACAGATACCAAAGATTGCTCTGGAAGGTGGAAAACTATGGCCGAATCGACGAGGCACCAAAACCATCATTGCTTGTACCATGGCCTAGCAATACGGACGACTATACCTGCTTCCCAAGTGCCTCTTTTCCCCCCAACCATATTCACGCTGCCAGTACATTGGAAGTGGTCTTGAACCAGAGATCACCGAACCTGCTTTTGCAACCATGGGTCAAAGGCACTTCGGAAAATGTCATGGAAGAGTAAAGAGCTCGGGGAATCGAATCCTTGTGCCAGCCCAGTCCAATTAAATCACCGCTTGTTCCTTTTGTGCAATTCCTACGAAGTTGCCTTACATCAAGAAGCAATGCGTCTTCAATGCCCAACGCCTACGGTCCATTTTTACCAGGACGCCAATCCTGAATTCGCTTCGCGGACCCCAAACGTCTTAGGATAGAATAGTAAGCCTTCCCCCTACATGTGCTTTTAGTTCGACAATCTGCCCTTTTTAAATAATTTAACATAACGAATCCTACTCCATGATTCTCCCTATTCGTTCTTCGCCTTAACAGAAGGATGTCTTGCAGCGCTCTGTGAGCTTTGGATGCTGACATGATGCGTGGAAACATACACCGCACTGATGGCGAATAAGCTGGAGAAGAACGACGTCAAGGAGCTCCAGCCCTTGTTCAAGAAGCAGTACGACGCGATCAACGCGACGCCGAGCGCCGTCGAGAGCAGGATGAAGCCTTGGGTAACGAGGTGCGCGGTGGAGCCCCTCTTCATTCTTCACAGCGGCAGCACCGCGAAGATGTTGCCGAGCAGCGACAGGAGGTTGCCGGCAATGAGCCACATGAAGTCGGCATCTCGCGCCTTGCCGATGGTTTCTTCCCCTGGCCCCGGGCTCGAGTGCCGGTCGAACCCGAGACAAGCTGGGATGATCGCCAGGGCGAGAAAGAGGATGAACAACGTGCTTGAATCAACTTTCTCCTAGAGCATAGTCAGGGCTGAGGCATCAAATAAGAGGTTGCGCATGTACTGACGATGTTCCTCGGGCCCTCTGTACGTGCAACTTCGGGTATTGCAGCTGGTGGTGGCTCAATGGCGGCTATATAGTTTGATACATTGGATGGCGGCTGTGTCAGAAGAAATAAGTGAGCATAGGTGCTCAATTCGTCACCGAGATGGGACGAGATGGACCCCGTCATATCCCCTAGCACATCCAGCCTCCCCTTGATCCCGTTCGCAATTTCCTTGGGCAGCTCATAGGAGTAGTCTATCCGTGTTTTTTGCAGCCGGGCTCGAGTTTGGAGTTGTACACTGTTGATTGTGTGGGTGATGTAGAACTTGGCCGCGCTATCCACCTCGCCCGACTCACAGTAGGGGATGAAGATGTCGCGCAACAGGGCCCAGTAAGGAATCTCGAAGCCGCCCTGCAGGTACTCCAACGCACGTTCTCCGTAATCTTACGGAATGAACCTTGCCCGTGGCATATTTTCTGGATACACTTTTTTATGGTCAGCGGCCCGCTCCAAGAAGTTACTCAACGAGCCCAAGTGACCGCGGTCGTCAGCGACACCGTGAAAGTATTTATCATGTATACTTTTCAACTCCGCAGATACCAACTCGTTGTGGGGGACTGTCACACGGTAAAATTCAGCGAACCCAGCATCGAGGAATTGGAAGTCTCGAGCAATCTTATAAAATATCGTCCGTACATGGCTCTCTTCGATGGTCGCATACGGGGCGTAGCGGGTTGCTGGTGGCTGGATGAAAGACAAGGGGCCTCGCGCCTTGGTCACAAGTCAGTTTAGACCTAGCATTAGAGCGTTCAAAAGCAAACTCACGCCCCTCCCCGCGCTATAGACAGAGCGAAAGGCTTATTCATTTATCTCGCATTCTTTGAAAATGCTAAAAAACGAAGTGCCTGTGGAATAGGAGACATTGAAGTTGACGGTGCCACTATTGACCAAGAAATTTTCGGTGCCGACACCTGTGTGGAACCAATTGTTTACCCCTGAATCAATGTCATTATTGACTACGTCATTGAATCCGGATTCTCGGCGGTTCATTGCCATAAATTATACGGTTTCTGCTACCACCATGGACGAAAAACGCGGTTGTAGATCTGGAACAGTGCGAGGTCCCGGAGCTGGGAAGGATGATGAGCTTTCCAGGCAGAACAGTACACGGGAAGAGTTTGGACAAACGCGTACGGTGCCTTTTATATGATCCAGGCGAGAGTGATGACAAGACGCATCCTTCTGCAACAAGTTAATTCGAAGCACAGCCCTGCAGGCAGATATCGTGGTGCCTCATGATTGGTTACACTCAGCGTTGCCAGGGGACATAGCCCTTTGTATCCTGAGAAAAGACCAGCTTGCGCCTCGAAAGGTACATAGTGCTAAGTGGTGTCAAGTTGGGATAGGCTGAAAAGCTCTCGGAAGTATGGTGGCTATATTAGTCCGGCTAATACCCGAATAATACGGATTAGAACGACTACAAACCCTACGTCTAAAACGCGGCTACTATTGAATATGCCGTATTCTTTGACCGACGTTGTATTCTATACGTGATAACAGTGATAAGACACAGTAATGCCCCCTAAAGATTTAGCACCCCATGCTCCCCCTCGGGACTTATTGTGTATTGGGAGGTTTGGGGTTCTTGAGGAGGATGAAGGAGCGAAGGAGTTGGCGGACGCGGAGTGAAGGTTCACGTATTCGTTCAATACCAATATGGTGCTGTTCTTTCTCATAATTCATTAACGCATGCTACTTGAGATCCATGCTCATCCCCACGTCCAGTCCCAACCTGGTGGCAACTGATTTGTTTTCCCGCCCTAATGCAATCTCCCATTCCTATATGCCTCCTAGATGTTTTCCGGTGCCGGATGGCCATCTCAGTACCGCGGGTTGTCGCCGTATTGGTTGTGGTCCGGGTTAGCGCCGTAGTTCTGGCCTTCTCCGTAGTTTTGGTTTCCTCCGTAGCTCTGACCTTGGCCGTAGCCTTGGCTCTGCCCGTGGCTCTGGTGCTGTTCAGAGTGGTACTGTTGGTACGATTGAGGTGGCTGGTTCTCGCTGGGCCGGTACTCTTGGTGAGACTGGTACTGCTGGTGCTGATCAGGCCTGTACTCCTGGTGCGGCGGAGGGTTATACGACTGCTGGTGCGAGCCCTGACCGCCGTACTGCTCATGCGGCGGCGGCGGAGCGTAGTTCCCGCCCTGGGGAGGTCCGGAATGGGGACCGCCGGCGCCGCCAAGCTGTGACCCAGCCGTCGGCGCACCAACACTGACATTCTCGTTGCCAATGTCATCTGGCACGTCGATCTTCACCTTGGGAAGGTACTTTTGCACCTTTTGCTCGACAATGTTCTGCACGAAAACCCAGCTCTCGCGCTCGAACTTGCGATGGCCACCGTTGACGACGCCGAGAATGCTCTCGCGCAGCGTCTCCTGCACCTTGCGAACGAGGCCGCGGATCTTGTTGACAAGCTTGATCTTGATGTCGTCGCCGAAGCCGCGGTCCGCGTTGCCGCCGGCGTCGCGGTCGAGCTGCGAGTCGAACGGGTTTCCTCCGAGGATCTTCTCGAGAGGGCGTTGGAAGGCGTCTGGGAGGAGCTCGAAGAGCTGCTTCTCGATGCCGCCGAGGATCTTGCGGAACTCGAGACGCACGTCCCTGTGGACCTTGGCGAGGCCGGTGCTGAGCTTGTCGCTGATGACCTTGGAGAAGCCGCCGCTGCTTCCCTCTCCCCCGCCGTCGCGGTCGCCGATGCCCCGGGAACCCTCCTGAGAGCTCTTTTTGTTGCCGAATAGTCCTCCGAGGCCCTTGACCAAGTCCTTGACATGGTCCTCAATCTCGCCCTTGACGCCATCGCCGAGGTCCCGCGTGCTCGTGTTGCCGCGCAGCCAGCGCTTGATGTGGTCCAGCGCGATACGGGTAAACTGCTCCGCGATGGGCGCGTGCTGCTCCCTCAGCTTCAGGCCGACCTTCTCCTTGATCTCGGGACTGATGGCCCGCGCCTTCTCCTCTGGGTTGCGCGCGGCGTCTTTGACGGTGTTGCTCAGAACGCCGAGAAGACCGTCAAGCTCGAAACTCTGGCCTCCAGGGCCTTTGTTCTTGTCGAGATGGTCCTGGACGACGTTGATGGCAGAGGAGAGAAAGCCCTTGGCGCCAGAGAAGGAGTCAGTGTGGCTAACTCCGCGCGACTGCGTCTCGGGACCGCCTCCGCGGCCTTCGGTAAGGTTGAAGATGTCCCTCAGATCGTCGCCGGCTTCGTCCGTGATGACGCTGAAGCTGCGGGTGAGCTTGCCAATTTCGTCGGCGAAGGGGAGGGACTGGACACCATAGGCGTCCGGGGCGTGTCGTTGAGTCCTCTTGAGCCATCGCCGGAGGGCTTGTCCTTGTTGAACAAAGAGCGGAAAGCATCAATGACCTGGTCCTCGAGACTGTCGATGGTCCTCGTCTGAAAGGTGCCGATCTCAGCTGCGATGCGGGGCTGGATCTGAGGGGCGAGTGAGTCGACGTACTCGTCGACCTTGGTCATCAAGACATCGGGGAGGCCGCGGGAGTTCGACATTGTAACTCTTGGTTGCACAATGGGGGGGGGATGGGGATTTGGAGATGGAGGTCGTTAGCCCGAGTGAGAGAGTCAGGTTACCGGTTAGACGCTCAACTGGTGCTAGCTCGAGAAGCTCAGGTAGCTACCTTGGGAGAGCACGGGCGGGTGATCCCGAGCTGGTGAGGCAGCCGGGGGAGCTCCAGCTGAGCTCAGCTGTCTCACGTGAACGGACAGTCCGAAGGAGGGGTCGTAACCGCCCAGCCAAATGACGTCAGTGGCCGCTCGAATTACTGGTGAGGGGCCCCCGCACAGGTACGTACCGTTTCATCGCTCGGGTGAATTCGGTGAATCTCACTCACCAACGCGTCTCAACCCACTCCAGGTGGTGGATGATGAGACTGAGGCCGGTGGATTAGGGTCATTTCATTGTATGCTGAGCACTCATGTCAGGATATTTTCATTCTCACTCCTGCTGTTCAACTCTCTGATCATGCAATTGGGTGCCGTGTGCGGAGATGGGCTGGAGTCGATGTCATTTCGACGTGTTCAAAGCAAATGCGGTGATTCTCCTCCGCCAATGTATAAAGTACGTGGCCGAGCACAAGTCAATCTCATTTGCTCTTCCAGTGTGCGTTATTCTTGGAGAGACTCCAGAATCAGCTTCTTGTAGCCCTCCACCGCAAGCTCCAGGTCGGAGACAGTGATCCGCTCCTCCGCCGAGTGAGCGACGAGAATAGTCCCTGGTCCGTATAGGTACCGCTTATGCGTGCCGTTTAGATGAGGAACATCCGTGTAGTAGTTGACAACCGTAGTGTTGAACCCTGCAAGTGTCAGTAATGTACTCTTTCAGCCACGCCCAGAACATATGCAGCTTACCTTCAACGTCGTAATCCAAGCTGACTGGTAACCCTTGACCTGTGAAGACCAAGTTCACATACTCAGGCGTGGCTTCAGAGACAGCTTTGTTGAGGATGTCCTTAATCCCTTCCAGATCGTCCGTCGCTACTCGAATGGAAACTCTTCCCGCCGCACTCTCCGCGATGACGTTGGCAGCAATCCCACCCTCGATGAACCCCATATTCAACGTTGTGTTTCCAAACTCCTCTGTCGAAGGCAGGGGGGTCTCCCGGAGCTTGTCCAGCGCGCGAACGAGGAGATCAATGGCGCTTCGCCCATTCGCGGGGTACCCAGAATGCCCAGCCACTCCGTCGGCGGTGATGTTGAACCCCAGCACGCCTTTGTGCGCCCGCACGAGATTGTTCTCCGTTGGCTCGCCAAAGATGACAGATTCCCAAGTGAGATTCAGAGCATTGGCTGCCCGCATACCGTCGCCTGAAGACTCCTCACCAATGACATACAAGAGGGAGACGTCACCCTCACTGATCTCGCCGCTCTCAAGAAGGACCTCTACCGCCGTGATCTGCGCGGCAACACTGCCTTTCGCGTCAGACGTGCCCCGGCCCCAAATCTCATCGCCATCGCGAGAGTACGGGATGTATGGGGGCACTGTGTCGATGTGCGAGGTGAGAAGGACACGTGCCTTGCGGCCGTTGCCGGGGTAGGCGTAGACGTTTTGTCTGTTTCCTTCGACAGTCTGGAGCTCGACGGTGAAGTTGGTTTCAAGGTAGGCCTTGAGGGCTTGTGTCCCGAGGGCTTCGTTTTTGGTTGTTGAGTCGGCCTCGACAAGAGTCTTGTGTAGACTGATGAGTGCCTCGGTGTAGGACGCGGCCCATGCCGATGAACCAAGGAGCGCGCAAGCGAGCGCCGCAGTTCCGAGAAACTGCATCTTTGGATTCTTCAGGAATGAGGAATCCAATTATCCAGGGCAATTGTGTTGTTCGAAGGGAAGAACGTGGCCAAACACGGCCAAGCGGAGAGGAAAGCGGTGGCGGGTGCATTTATCATTCAAGGGCAGCATTGCGCGAGAGCTAATATGGGGACACCAACCCTTGCCGCGAGGTCACCTTGCACATGCACGATGATAAGGAGCCGCTGGCTGCATGAGGGTTGGTGCTGCGCCAAGGTGATTGACAGTCGCGAGGATGCACGAGATGGTGGAAACTGGATGTTTGCTGCTTCAACGCTGTCAGTGTCGGCAAGGGATTAGAAACAAGACAGGATCAACTTGTCGCCGGCATTGTGCTGAAAGGTGGATTTCCGGAAACATGAAGAATTACCGAATTCGGCCAAAATCCTTCCCATTCCAGAGCCGACGTGGGGCGGGACCGAGGCAATACCGGTAGTTAGCGTGTTAGTACACTGCCTAGACTGCATACCCAAGTATGTCCTCGAGCAGCACGGATGCGAGAGACAGCCATTGTTGTGGCGCTTCATGGGGCGCGCCAACGAGGCTAGTTACCGTTGAGATCTGCTGAGACACGTTCGTCCTGCACCCAACCTGGGAACCATCAAACTCCACCCGACGATGCCCTCAAAACCCAGCACGCTGTATTCCGTTGCACGAGCAGTTAGCGTTCGAGGCGGAGACTCCGCACGGACGACAAGATCTACGTAGTACCGGTAGCTTGCTCAAGCACGGCTTCGGAGATGATGAGATGATGACCACTTCACCAACCTTAACTCCATCCCCTTCATGCCTGGTTTCCGCTTGCTGTGGAGCTGTGGACACCACACTTTCTAGAATTTACAAGCGGGATGGGCCCTTTTGAGTGGTTCTTTGGCTCATCTGGACGGTCCGGCCATCCGTCATGCAGATTTCTAAGCAATTCCACTGACTAATGTGCTTGCAACTGAACCAGCTTATATCGACCTGAAGCCATCCTGCCCGTTTGCCAAGAATCAAACAACTTGCAAACTCAATCTCCAACTCTGCCGTGCTTCGTTTGAACTGTCCTTGAACCCCCGCCAACACTCTCCAAGCACCACCCGCAAGTCACACCATGGCTAGCACCATGAAAGCCCTCGTCACCCAAGGCGACAAGACCGCCAAGGTCCAAGAGGCAAGTGTATTCCATTCTATCGCCTCCCCTTCAGCTTACTTACCAGAGTTCTAGATCCCGAAGCCTCAACCCGGTCCCGGTGAGGTTCTCATCAAAGTCTCCGTCGTGGCTCAGAACCCAACCGACTGGAAATCCACTGCCAGTGCCCCGGCCGGCCGCATCGTCGGTTGTGACTTTGCCGGCACAATCGCAGACCCCAACGGCACGTCTTTCAAGCAGGGCCAGCGCGTCGCCGGCTGGGTCCACGGCGCGAGCGTTGACCCCACTCGCGGTGCATTTGCCGAGTACCTCGTCACCGAGAGCACTCTCGTCTTCCCTGTCCCCGACAACCTCACCGATTCGCAGGCTGCCGTGGTCTCCTTGGCCTTTGCAACTTCGGTGCAGGCTCTTTTCCAGCGTCTGGGTCTCCCTGAGCCAGAGAACCCGGCCAAGGAGCCCATCCCTGTGTTGATCAACGGAGGAACCGGCAGCGTGGGCTTGTACGCGATCCAGCTCGCAAAGAAGGCTGGTCTCTACGTCATCGCGACAGGAGGCAAGAAGAACCATGAGCTTCTCAAGAGCCTAGGCGCCGACATCACCATCGACTACCGGGACGCGGACTGGATTGACCAAGTCAAGAAGGCGGCAAATGACAACCTCCAGTACGTCTTTGACACCATCAGCGAAGTCGAGACCACCAAGGCCGTCGTCAAGACCGTGTCTGCAAAGGGCGGCCACGTCATGTGCATCCTGCCCCGGAAGGCGGACGAGGTCGAAGCTCCGCAGGGCGTCAAGGTTGAGAGCACGCTTGCGTACACGGTCTTTGGACGCAGCCTTACGTACGGCGCTTTCGACAACATCGACGGGCCGAAGCCCGATGATAAGAAGTTTTGGGAAAAGTACATCAAGCTCTTGCCCAAGTGGTTGGAGGATGGAAGCATCAAACCGAACCCGCCAAAGGAGTTTGGCGGCCTTGAAGATATCCCCAAGGGCTTCGAGTTGCAAGCCAAGGGTGGTGTGAGTGCTGAGAAGCTGGTTTACAAAGTTGCTCAGTAGTTGTCTGTCTGATGGACCGACTATGAGCGACATAAGCTTCAATTCGGTCTGTTCGCTTCACCGTGTAAAATGAAAAAGATGTATTAGATGGAAAAAAGAAATAAGTTGTCGCAGCTGCGCTTGATAGGTTACCGGCAGCAAATAAGTAGCCCTTGCAGGGTCGCCTGGGCAAAGGTGAAGTTGACTAACCAGGCTTTAGCTCGTAACAGCATGGTAATGGTAGCTGTGCTGCAGTGGGACTCTTGAGGTGAGAGGGTTGACATGAAGAGACTTGATTATAATTTGTGAAGTACTAAACAAGTCTGCTTCCCCATCTTCTGGAAATCATTCGGACCTAAACTAAGGTGAAGACTAGAAGGCTCGCAGCCTTACTAGAGAACTGGATGATTGACGGGGCGAGGTGCGTGAACACAGCCACAGTTGAAAATGATGTCAGACACACTCTCACTGCCTGCTGCTGATGCAGATCCCTTATCTTAGGTTAGGGATCGCTTGTCGTCCTACATCAATTCCCTCAATTGTTTCCTTCTTCATTTGGATGTTGGTCACCACACAATATTTTGCAACATGGCTGAGGCTGTGGCGGCATTTTCTCTCGCAGCGAACGTGCTTCAGTTTGTCGAATTCGCAAAGAAAGTCTTCGATAAAGGCTTGGAAATCCACCGCTCTGGTGGCACCGTACCCAATGACTTGAGAGATCTTCGCAATGCCGTAGCCAATCTCCAAGCCACCTCGGGGCAGCTCCAGATTTCCCAGGCAGAACGCATAACGCTCTCAACACGGTATCAACAAGTTGTCAGAGTGTCTGACTCCTGTGCCGAGAAATGTTCCGAGATACTGAAATCCTTGGACAGCATCGGGTTCAAAGACGAAAGAACCAGATGGGGTGCCGTGGTCACAGCGTTCAAAGCGACATGGAACCAGAAGAAGATTGATGACTTGAACATCCAAGTCAAGGCGTTGAGCGAAAGTCTGAATGTAGCTCTTCTTAGTTCTCTAAGGTATGTCTTTGGCTAGCGGCTGGGAACCTCAGGTGAAACCAGACTACCTAGTTCTGTGTCTATTGTCATTTGTTTGTGATCAAATTTCTGACTCAAGCAACCCAGAGACTATGCAATGAGGTCCGCAGAGCAACAGGAGCTCATTCTACAGAAATTGGGGATTGTACAGGACAACACCGGAACCTTGAGCCGGCAAATCTCTGGCAGCGAAATTTCCTGGGATGCACCCGGCGATGCAGTGATTGACTTTGTCACGCGAAATCTCGATGCTGATGCTATGGAGCGACAGCGCAGTGCAAAATCATTACGCAAAGGCATGCTGTGGCTTATCACAGGCCCAGATAAAGAAGCCGAGAACATCGCAAAAAGGAGTTGCCCTGTTTTCAACATCCCTCGCGTTCGGAAAGAGGAGCTCGAAGCCGAGTTCTTGAACAGCTTCTACCATGCAGGCATGGACAGTCGTCGTTCTAGAATCGTGAATGCTCACGAGAAGACCTTGCGCTGGGTCTTTGATGATCATTCTCCTCAAGAAGATGGTCGCAAATGGTCAGACCTAAGAGAGTGGCTCAAGTCCGATGAGCCCCTCTACTGGGTGACTGGAAAGGCTGGCTCAGGGAAGTCGACTTTGATGAAATTCATATCTGATTACGGGGAACCTGGCAATGATACACTTATGCAAAGACGGCTGTCTTTTCCGAACGACTCAAAGGCGCAGTGCTACCGCTACCTGGTTCAATGGGCCAAACAACGCCCCCTAATTATAGCATCGTTTTACTTCTGGGCATCAGGAACGGCAATGGCTGCTTCACCGAGAGGTCTTTACATGTCCCTGATCCACCAGATCTTGAGGAGATGCCCCGAAGTAATACCCCAAGTATCCCCAGCTCACTGGGAGTCCATGTGTTTGTTCAACGATCCAATCCATCGGCTTCCAGAAGATGAATTACGGAAGTGGCTTAGCAGCATCATAAAAGCCGCCCGGATAGATTACAACATCTGTCTCTTCGTGGATGGACTTGATGAGTTTTCAGGTGCACCTGAAAGTCTGCTAAAGGTGTTCAAAGATATAATTTCTCTATCAAACGTCAAACTCTGCGTTTCTAGTCGACCCTGGATTGTATTCGAAGATGAGTTTCAGCACAGACCGAGCCTCAAACTGGAGGATCTCACCTTCCGAGATATCAAGGCATTTGTTACCGAACAGTTCGAAAACGATACCGGATTTCGTCGCTTGATGGAGAGAGAGGCCAGCTATGCAGCAGAACTCATCGAAGACATCACTAAAAAGTCCTCTGGGGTTTTCTTGTGGGTCAATTTGGTAGTCCGATCGCTTCTTACAGGCATGGGTCACGATGACAGAATGTCGGATTTGAAGAAGCGTCTCGATCTCCTACCACCGGATCTGGAAAGATTGTACAGCGCGATTCTTGACACCTTGGACCCGTTCTATTTCGAGCACGCGGCCCAGTACTTCAAATTTCTGGAGGCCTGTGATGAGCCGCCCTCACCCATTCTGCTCTCCTTCGCTGATGAGGATGACTGTGATTTTGCCCTCAAACTGCCTCTCGATATATTTACGCAACAAGCTATTTCTAGTCGTACGGAGACTATACGACGAAGAATCAATAGTCGGTGCAAAGGCCTGCTAGAGATCGCCTCGATCGATTCGTCAGATGACTCTGGGACTCGGCAAATAGTACAGTACCTTCACCGGAGTGTCAAAGATTTTGTCAAGAGCCCAGCTGTGGGCGCCAAGCTTAGGGCGGCTGCGGAAACTTTCGATTGCCACATTCGTCTCTGCTCTGCTCATCTTGCGCTCGTGAAAATAACATCTAACCCCCGGCCTCGCATCGCTAAGTATGCTGCTCGTTGTTTGGATGAAGCTGCACTAGTCGAAAGAGAGAACCTGTCCAACATGGTTACATTATTGGATGATCTACAGAAAACTACAGAACGGAAGTTCAGACCTGATCGCATTGAAGAGTTCTACCAAATGGTCTCTGGAGTTGACAACCTTAGTCCGTGGCTGGAGCATTACTACGGATTCTCATTCTTGTCACTGGCAGTACACAAAGGTGTATCCGAGTATGTCAAGGTCAAAGCCACGCCGGGCTGCTTGGTGTTACGAACAGATTCGCAAACTGTTGGGAGATTCATAGAGAGCAAACGGTCTTGGGCCAAGAGATTGATCACAAGGCTCACCAAAGCTGCTGATGTAGGTGCTGCCCGACCAGATGGCCACCTCTGGTGGCCGCTCCTCCTCGATGCGACTTTTACGCTGCCTCCCAAATTAGATATGGTAGCATGTCTTCTTCAACGAGATGCAGACGTCAACTTCCAGTTCAAAAACGAAGGAACAAATGTTTGGGACGTTTTCATGGCAGCAATGCTGGTTAGTTGCTGTATAGGGAGTCACAACATTGAAGATAGATGGAATAACTGGATTCCCATCATGAAGTTGTTCATCGACCGCGGCGCAAGTATCAACAGGAGACATTTTAGCTTGGTAATGGCTGAAACAGAACGTTGCAGATGGCAAGGTATCAATAGGGAAGCTCTTTATCGATCTCTGCAGAGCCTACATACAGCTAATACGGATTCGGGTTTAAAACACTTACGGCAAGCCACGGCCAGTGTAGCTGGGCCGAATGTCTAAATTATAGAACATATAGCCCAATCAACTTCAAGACACTTGAAAAGCTCGCACCGGGATTGTCACAGCACGGCTGAACAATTGGCGTAAGTCGCGGAGCAAAGCCTTTGTGGTCCCTTTAGGCAATGTTGACAGCAGCGCAGGCATGTTTGCCCGCACTGGCGGAATTTTTAGTCAATGCCATGTCTGTCCACCGTTAGCCGCTGTTACAGTAGGGAGGCAAACGAGCCCAGCAGAAGATGAGCCCGTGAAAGAGCTACTTGGTGTCCAAGTCTAAGAAGTTGGGGGCGCAGGAACCGCAAATCTGCCGCTCTCAATGTCCTCCTGTGCCTTGAGACTCATATTGACAATCTCAATGATAACATGCTGACGCTCCGCCTCGAGGTGCTCCTCTGAGATGCCGCTCCCATACCAGATCGATGCATAGATATCCACCCTCTTCTTGCCATCGCATCCAGCAACATCGCGAGCTGCAATGTTGAGCACGCCAAAGTTGGTGCTCTTCTCATCGACCAGGTTCTTGTCGCCGCAGGCCTTTATGGCAAACTCCGGCAGCGGGCGGACCATGGGCCTCTGAGCGCATGTCTGGGGGCTGTAGTTGGGAATGCTGAAATTGGTCGTAACACCACCCCAACCTTCGAGGATATGCGATGTCCCAATAGCCCCGGTGTGGTCCGAGTATTTGAAGTAGTGCTCCGCGTTGCCGCGGTTGTTGGCTGCGTCGGCAAAGGGGGAGGCAGACCACGCTGAGAACGCCCAGGCAGTCACGTTGGGGAGATGGACCAAGGCGCGGCACTCGACAGCCTTCCATGTGGTTGGGTCATCGAGAGTCGAATTTTCGTTGACGCTGTACCAGAACTGCTTGGCCTCTTCAATGTCTTTGGCAAATATGTCGAGAAAACCCTGGTCACCAATGGCCGACTTGCGTTCGTAGAGCCTGTTCATGCAGCGTTCGGCTGGGTACGGCGCTGACAGGTTCTTGTCGGCCGCGTTCGTGCGTTCGTTGATGAGATTCCAGACGTATTGGCAGCGTTCAAGTTCAAAGTCGGTCTTCTTGCCCAAAGTCGTGGGTCCCGAGAGAAGGTAATCATAGCCATTGAACGCTTCTGTCCAGTTGCCGAATTTGGGCCAGGGCGTGGATTGTGCGGCAGCCAGAGCGGCGAAGATCGCAAAAATAATTGGCAACATGGTGACACTGAGCTGAAGAACTGAGAAGAGAATTCTGGAGTGAACAAGTGAATCATACCGCCAAGATCACTATTTCCTTCGCGTGGGCAAAAACTTTCTTATATCGGTGAGTGGCGGACAGCGCTTACACCCCGACCGCGTATCTCGTCCAATCAGCCGCCATGTTTACTATGATTGTTTACGAGAATCCTGGAAAGCCATTCGCCATCAAAAAGAAAGCTGCACAAAAATTCGAAATTGGGAATTGAAAGTTCCACCTTGAGTGTCTCGTCGGCTATCAGCTTCGAGTGATTGTTCGCCTTCGCGACGGCAGGCTCGACCCCAGAAAGCACAGGGTTGACCAGAGCCTGGGGCTATTGTCAACCCCTGTGCCACGATTGCACGATGGAATGGATCGCGAATGCAGGTGCAGGGATGCAGATCAAAGGGACTGAGACAAACACAAGTACGTATACAAACTCAAGATCATCCAACGATTGAACAGGTGCCAGCTCGCTTAAGCCTTGATGAATGTTGGAGTCAGGGTCCGCAACTAAGACCACTTGATATTACGTTATTGTCGCACAAACTCGGATCTTTCTCGATGGGACAAGGGGAAATCCCAGGGTCTTGGGTAGGCAAAAGCATGTGCACATACCGAACTCTCCCTTCCAAGTTAGGGGTTGCCAAGACTAGTCAGCAGTGGCAGATACCGTTTGTCCTTGTTTATTTTTGTGGTGTCTCAGTTTGCCTCCCAGAGATCTGGGAGCGTACAAAGTTGAATGTCATGTAACAGAGGGCGAAAATATAAGGAGAAATAGGGATTGAACCAGACTTCATCTACCTTATCTCCATCTCTTGTGACTGACACTGCGCAACCACACGGCCAACAAAGGCAAACGCGTTGAGGTACCTGTCCATTACCTGACATTTGTACTGCCTAGACACAGGGCCATTTTTGGTTGCCTACGAACAAGTCAGTGTTGTAATAACCGTGGGTAAACCCTTCAGAATCAATGCGGCAAGAACGCTTTGTTTGGTTCGAGGACTGGGAGGTCTATGCATCTACGACCAGCTGTTGGTGTCCCACCTCATGCTGAAAGCAGGCGCTGAATCTCCAGCTATCAAGTGTAACACATAGTGATAGGGAATGGGGGCCACTGTAGGCTCTTAGTCCTTGTCAAGGTTGAGTAATACCTCTCGGTTGTCATTGCAACTGTTCTAAGCCCACAAGCCATTGCACGGGTTAGCAACGGACCACAAACTTCACGTCGATGAAGCATGACCCCGTTGGTTGCAGAAGGATACGTGTAAAACCCTCTTCAAAGGTATAATTCTTTGTTTGGCAACACGCAATGGGGCTAGAGTAAGATGGGACAACGTGAAAATAAATCGCACGCCTCTGCAAATCCATTTAAAATTACCTGTGATTAGCGAAGTCGGCCTTTAATACTAGGGTTGAACGCACTTTACTGGCCTGGCAGATATGATATCGTTCAACGGCTATACTTTCAGTTTGGTAGCAAAGCTCCTTGTCAAGTGTCTTGCAGGCCGGCAACGGTTGAATGAATATTACTGGCTAGAAGCGGTCAAGAGTAAAGCCAGTGCTGGGCGGGACGTTTACCCACACATCGGCAGAGCACATCGCGCAGCTTATCAACGTTTCATGTACGTAGAAACATATCAGTGAGTAAAGTGACCCACTGCAGCTTGAATTCGACGTATTCGACGGGACTGAAAGAAAGGCTGTTTTGCCCACCACAAGGGGAAGAAGATTGACATCGTCGTTTCTGGCAATTGGACATCTAGCACAAAGCATGAATGCGCCTACGTGTGGCTGGTGAAAGTTCTCCATCATCGTGTCGTAGAAATTTCCAATTAGGTGATTGCGAGAGTGAATGTCTGCTTGTGCTCTCGTTGTTCATCAACATCAAAATTGACTGCATAGTGAGAGTTGCAATGCCGACGTTTATGTTGAATCGCGCCGATAACTTGGCTTTCGTAAGTCTGGTAGATCTACTCCAAGTAGATACAATGTCAAATCTAAGTAGGGAACTAGCGCCAAGAGTGATACTTGTGGTGGCTCCCGAAGGAGAGTCTCATGATGTTATTTTTTTCATCGACGAATTACCTCAGATCGAGTCAGGACAAAGCCAGTTAGGAAACATCGATCGAATAGTTCATGCCACATCAACCATTTGCTTCAGTTTTCTCTAGAGATACATTACTTCTTGATTTCTTAATATGCTGTTCATAACTTGTATAGCAAATCCATCCTTCACTCTAGCTTCCTAAAACCGATCGTTGTAGAGGCAAGGAGATGCAAGTGCGCACTAGCCATCAACCCTAGTAAGTTCCAGCGGACTTGATGACAATAGAGTCCTTGGCCAACTGTTCGTAATCGGCATTGCGCTTCTCTTCATCACGCTTATAGGTGCCTGCGGACTTGATTACAATAGAATCCTTCGCAAGGTCAGCGTACTACGTTATTTTGTCAGTCCATGTTCAAAAAAATGTATCCAAGGCCGGTTATGCACTCACCTCTTCGCCTCGCTTGTAGGTACCAGCAGACTTGATGACGATCGAGTCCTTGGCGAGCTTCTCATAATCGGCATCCCGCTTATAAGTTCCAGCAGACTTGATGATGATGTTCGCCTTCGCAACATTGGCGTATTCCGCGGCTCGCTTCTCTTCGTCACGCTTGTACGTGCCGGCAGACTTGATAATAATGTTGGCCTTGGCCAAGTCTGCATAGTCGTCAGCAGGGGCGGCGACAGGGGCGGCGATAACGCCAATGGCCTGTAGGGCAAGGACAGTGACAATGGAGATCTGCATTTTGGCGTGTAAACTTAGTAGAGAAGTATATAAAGTGAAAACCGGCAGTAGGCCAAGGTATCTCTTGCACGAGTCTGGGCCCTCTGGATACTTATACACCTTGAGGGCTAGCGCACTTATCTGGTCCTTGAGCAGGATGCTGCCCCTCATTGACGGCAACTCCGTCGCAATGGTGGCGTCTTATCGCATCCTACTGCTCCGGACGCTATTCAAAGCAACTGGTTTCTGAGCCTGTTTGAGCTCTTTGGCACACTCAATATCTATGAGACCAAGAACGGAAGGTATCCAGTGCAGATGTCACAGACGGGCCGTCTAGACCGTCTCAGGATCATCAACCGAGTATGTCTGGACTAATCAATCGGTCTGCTGCCATGACGTGATTGGGATTCCTCTGACTTGTTTTGAACCAAACATCCACAAGCAACTTAGAATGCCGCCGGATAGGTGGACGTGGGCTCAGCGTGAACCGGGGATCCGATCCCACAATGGCGGGGTTGCGCTTCCATCTGCTTCGGAATTCCACAGTCCAATGTTATCAAACTCCAATATGCAACCATCCGGCTTTTATTGATGACCAGTGTTCCGAAAAGGCTTGTAAGACAGTGATCCACACGCATCCGCATGAGGACTTTTGGAGCGGCCCCCATGCCGGAACTAGACCGCAATAAGCAGCTCAAATCCCGAAGGATTGCGCTATGAGAAAGTGAGTGGGCGAAAGTTTCATCGGCCCTCTTAAAAGCGATACACCAGATAACCACGAGTTCAAAACACCAATAGAGTATGAGGATCGTACATGGCAGAGCAGTCAGCTACAGGAACCTTCTGATTGTTGGGCGCACTCTCTTCTACTCACCTTCATAAGGCTTTTCAGCAAACCACTGCCTCCAGACTTTTTCAAGAACCGAACCGGAGAATCGTTTTCTCAAGATGTGGTGGAAGCTGCAGCGAAACTATGAAAGCCTTCCTCAATCGGAGGGGAAAGCAGTTAAGGCGAGCACCCCTTCGGCAACGTGGTTGACTCACCGATTGCCACGATCAATAATTGTGCTAGGGCTTACCAATTTTATTACGCTTGCTGCTTTCCTTTTCATCTTCAGTACAACTCCTTCTAAAACCAAATTAGTAGAGCAATGTACGTGGGAGCTATCAACAATATGTAAGCAGATACGTTTCCGACGTCAATCCATCCACTGACGAGTTGCAGCGCCCGCTTTTGAAGCAGTCAGGTACAAGGCGCCGGATCATTACAATGCAGAGTTCAGGCAGACAAACAAATGGCGCGGTCCTCCTGGATCGCACTCCAACGAAGTTGACCTTGCATGGCATGAAATCGAGCTAGGGGCTGGAGGCATCTGGGTTACTGAAGAAGAAGCCAAGATGCTAAACATGACTGACTCGCCAGAGATGCCCTTCCATAAGATCCCAGAAGAACAAGGCGGCGGGTATTTGGCCATGCTGGAGGTTTTCCATCTACTTCACTGTCTGGTAGGCCAAGTCTGCTGAAACTCACCAGACTCATAGTAGCTGAAACTCTAGTAGAACTCTTTGAGAATGGGGCTTTTCTTCAACTACGAACACTATAAATTTCTGGACGAGGGCGTCCCTGATGAGAATATACACTCACACTATGGTAAGATTCACATTCTCTTACGCTCAAAGCTCAACAAGCTTAACTGGTCAAACATGATGTGAACTCTGACTGACTTTCTATCCTCAATCTAGATCACTGCATAGATATGCTTAGGATGAATCTGCAATGCCAAGCAGATGTAACGCCGGCTCTCTTCGTGGACCCTTTAAACAACCCTTTGCGACGGGATGCTCTTCCAAACTGGTCATCTATGCATACTTGCAGAGACTTCGATGCGATTCTGGACTGGAACAAGCATGGCCCAAGGTCAGTGCGTTGGCGTGACGCAGGTGCCAATCCATCGTGGGATCCAAATCTCGAGGGGGCTGAGGAGGCGTTTCCACCGGAAGGAGTTGAAAAGGGACATCACCACTAGGGATGGTTGAAACTCTTTACTCGCACTACGTGTAATTCAAAGGTACGGTTTGCAACCATGCAGCCGGATTTTCTCACACATCCGGCCCATTGAAAAAAGAACAAAGAGCTTCACATGTAGGCTGCACTGTGATGAGCTAATACCAAACCCCGTTTTAAGAACCAAACGGAATTTGACATAAACTCTCGACATGGCAGTGGTCACATATGATCAAGCGAGCGGTTATTTTCCCCCACGCACGGGATTTACTGTAATTTTTACAACCGCTTTACTACCTGAGAACTTCTGTCCCGGGGAGCATGGCTGAGGCCCACGACAAGGGTTGACGTTTGGCGGTTTGAATAATTGACATTCGAGACTTAACCATTCGAAGGCCATGCCCACTCTAAATAGTTGAATGAGGCTAAAGACTGGACTCTTGCTGGCGTCACGCCTCACCTAGTTGCACAGTACCTCGAAGCATGCCCAAAGTGTTGATATTGTAGATATTGTCCAGCTGCTGTCGGTTTTTTCAAGTGACAGGTTAAATCAAATGTTGTTGGCAGGGACATCTGGTAGAGTATGTTTTCTCCCCAAGTAGCAGGTTTGTAGCCAAAACAGTCGGCCCTACGACCAGTTCGTCAAGCTTCAAGTTTTTTTCTCACTCAACAAAAGGATCTATTGGTTTAACCAACTACTCCGATAATTCGTCTTGGTAACCCTCCCCATATCTCCACTGTCTGGCTCTACGATATCTTAGTAGCAGGCAAGGCTCATTGTCCTTCCCGTAACACCTTGATCATGGTAATTTTGGGGAACTGAAAACCGCCCTCTTCCGACAACGTTCGTATTGTATCTCGTATCAGCTCAATAGGACAAGCCCATTCCCGTAGAGGCTCCCGTGAGAGGAACTTCATTGTCTTCAACACCCGAAAGCCTGCAACAGCCTCATGATAGTGACGTGATAAGCATTCCGAGTTCTCAACTTCGATTCTCAGGTGATAAATGAATCTCTTCTCCAGTTTTATCAACTTCAAGTCCCAGTATGTGGCTTGGATAGTATCAAACTCAAAGTTGACCCATATGTACCGCGGTGTGAGACCGCCTGCGAACGATTTCTCATACAATCCAAGATTTCGCGACTCGCGACACGTCTGCAGCACGGCGGGAGGATAGTTCGGCGAGTTGCAATAGAGTAGTGTGTAGTCCAGTGGGTAACGGCGATGTTTATTGAGTTCAGCATGAGCCCGAAATGTAAGTATTCGGGGCTCTCTTGTAAGCTGCCAGATGCGGATACGCAACTCGGAGGGGAGCTCGGAAAACAGGCAAAAAGTTGTCATCGCTGAAGCTAAGAAGTTTCAGACTTGATATGGAGACTGCTCGTAGCATGAAGGACTGTCTCCGTAACTGGACTCAACAAAGGAGAGCAAGCGGAGACGCGAACTCTGTATGAAGCATATCCGAATTTGCAAGGCGGAGGATCTTGATGTGCTATTTTGACTTTCGCGGCACCGTGAGCTTAAAGTAGACTCTAGTATCGCGTCGAGCCGGTACTACTTCTTGATTTGGCGACCTGCAGGTAAGACAGGCAGTACAAATTTACGTGAGGCTGCCAAGTTCGATGGCTTTGACTGTGCCACTTGCATATGTTCCGATACGTCATCCAACCGAGATAGCCTACGTCTTTCATATACCGGAATTACTTCCCATTGGCAGCTAACCATGTTGTCGCCGACACACCGTTGGCTTCCTTTTGCATATTGAGAAGGACAGGCAGTATTCGTTGTTTAAATAGCCACTAGCAGCGACCAAACAGCAGGGATTAAAACTACTTGAGGGTCATTCAAAATTTAATTTTAATGTACTTATTTGCTTTCATCTCTTCTTTTCTTATTCGTACAATTGCTGTGTAGTGTATAAATTTGCACGGGAACAGAAGTTTGTTTACGTGTCTACACAGTATACCCGGTGGTTCGCTTGTTCACAGCGCAGTGTGTCGGCGCAGCTAGTCTTCTGGCTGTAGACGGACTTGGGGCCCCGCTGCACGTGAAGTTGTGCGGCATGTCAATAAAACACAATCGTCTGATTTAAACATGCTGGCATGGACGAAGTCTCATGGACAATAAATCACGAGATCGGAGCTTTGGTACATAGGCAATCTCTTGGATAATTCACTTCGCAACGATGCAGGTGAGTCGTAACCACTTAGTCTTCTCGGGCAATGGCCATATTAGGCATGTAGCACGGGCATTTCGGCCGAATGATCCCACGGAACAGAAAGAGTGATAGACGAGGGCCCCCGCACTCTGCCATGCCAAGCTTCCCGTTGCCCGAGATCGTCTGAGACTGTGAGTGACATCAGCGAATGCAATATCTCATCTCCGCAGAAATGTCCCGCACCTAGTTAAGCCTCGATAATTCTAGAAATTGGCTGAACGGATCCATACAGGCGAAAATCATTGGTGGGATTGGCATGGGGACATCGCGGCATTGGTTGCTTGACTGCCGTAATCGCTTCATTCGGCGTAGTCACCGCCGAGATGCGACAATGCAACACTGAACATCTGTCACGAGCATACAAATAGAATAAGGACCAAACCATACGCGCATAAGAACAGCCATCTTCTTCTGGTTGGACGCCATTTGCTCTCCCATCCCGAGTTGCCTGATATCTTCTTGAACGCTATTCGGCCGTCTTGTGCACACTTTGGACTCCAAAATTTCTCAACTTGACAAAATGAGGCTTCAGAGCGTTGCAGCTATCCTGGCAACGGCCGTCACATCGGTGTCCGCAAATCCCCTCGGCCAGGTTAGCGCACCGGATATCCGACAAGCCAAGCCACCCTATTTTCTCCTCACCGGTGACTCGACCGTCGCCATCGGCGGTGGGTGGGGGGACGGATTTTTGTCATTTGTTAAGTCACCTGCTGACGGAAAGAACTATGGCAAGAGCGGTGCGACAACGGTATCATTTAGAGCCCAAGGTATCTGGGATACAGTGATTGCAGAGGTTGAGTCGAACAAGAATGGCTTCAGCCCGATCGTCACGATCCAATTCGGCCATAACGACCAAAAGGCTGCTGCAAACATTTCCTTAGAGCAATTCCAGGCAAATCTCGAGACATTGGCAAATGAAGTCACAGCTGCTGGCGGAACTCCAGTAAGCCAATCCCTCAAACGTAGCGACTGAAATAGCCAGCTGCTGATGACTATTTCTAAGATTCTCATTACGTCTCTTACTCGCCGTACTTTCAGCGGCGGTAAGGTCATCCAAAACCTTGAGAACGAGCGCATCCGAGCAATTGCTGCCGCTGATGCCGTGGATGCTACATATCTCGACCTGAACACTGCCAGCACTAATTACATCAACGCCATTGGCAACGAAAACGGACACAAATACGATCTAGCGTCTGGTGATTCCACGCACTTGAACTCTGCAGGAGGGATTGTCTTTGGTCGCCTGGTTGCTGATCTCCTTCTCGAGAAGCGGACGGACCTCACTGAATTCATCATTGAGAACAAGGCCTTGAGCGACAAGATCAAGGATGGGGAGTTTGCCACCGGGGATGAAACAGACTAAATGATTCGTCAACATACAAAATTTCCTCGTTGTGTTTCATGATCAAATACAATTGCCACTTCAATATCAAAAGTGTTCTTGGACAGTCAGCAACGAATGCCTCGCGATCCTGATTTATGACTGGTCAGTTTCATAAAGTATGCAGGTAGCCAGCTCACATGTCCTGTAAATCTCTTCCCTTGCTACATTACGGAGATCTTCAACTCTCTTGCCGCTATTTTTCGGGTGCTTTAGTGGCATGATGGTCCTAAAGTAATCGGACTTCTTTCTATTGGAACAATCAAATCTCCTGGTTAGAACTGAAATACCGAAACTTCAGATGAGCCCGTCTTGTTTTGTCCTCGTTCTGTGCTTCTCGGAACCTACCAAAGAACAGGACTATTTGTACTATTAATCCTTAGAGAGATGTGTCTCGCGCCACGATTCTCTAAGGCGGAAAGTGAGATACACTAACCCCGCGCAAATGAATTGGATAGCAACAGACACAGTTGAAACCTAGCTGACGCCATTCGCCTCGATTAAGGGAAGACAGACTGCTGTTAAAAGACATGCGAACATATGTCTCATCATATAGTAACCAGCTCGAATATACAAATCAGCAATTACATTTGTTGGAGATGTTCCCAGGGCTTACCGGAAGCTTCTCCATTTTGGTGTTGCACAACGTCCAGAAAGTAAGCATTCAAGCTTGGTAATGCCGTCAACTGTGCAACAACCTAAAAGAACATGCAGATGACTGGCAGTGGAATGTTTCCAATTTTCTTTTCCGAAGTCCAACCATAAAATATCATGGTAGAAGGCAGCATTAGGCTCAAGAAGATAAGCCTGCTCCGAAGTCTTTCTATTGAGAGTCGCACTCCACATTTCTGAATCCACGAGGCCACGGTGTAATAATCCGCCCACCTTCCGCCAATCTGAATGCCAACTACATATCCAACGCCTGGTGCAATATAGAGAAGGCCTGATTGCAATTCGTAAGAGGAAACCTGGGATCGAAGATTCAAAGCTAGAGAGTACCTCTTTCGGCAACAATATCCATCGAGGCTGAGAAGGACTTGCCTGAATCCAACGTCAGATTTCCCCTTGGCTAGCTTCCATTGGAGGTCCGGGCTCGGTCGTTGGTCTATAGAGCTGATTCTTCCCTTTAAACATATGCTTACTAAAACATGCGAACTCGGCTCTATGAACTGTATCGGCAGCTGGTGGATGTCTCGCACTTCTAATACTCTAGACTTCGACTCAAAGCAGGGACACAGAATGAAGTTTCAAAATCATATCATTCCCAATTCCTCAATTGTTTGGAACTTACACCTATGAATACATGTACCGATAGCACAATTCACCTCTCTCTGTGTCCATTATATCGGCGACCGTGACATCTTTATCCAACCCTGCAAGCGGCAGTGTATCAGTCAGACTGACATTACCGCGATCGCCTGTACCGCCGTAGTCGTGCACTCGATTCTTCTTGTCTCGCATCTGCCATAGCCACCAGACCCTGTCAAGCTGTGCGTGATGAAGGTAGAAGATGGGGTCTGGTGTTCTCAAAACGTCAGCCAACAAGTTTTGTCTCTAAGTGATGAGAAAAATAAGTGAAATAAGGGGATATATGGAAATACAGAAAGCGTACCGTTGGGCGCTGTAAAGCTGCTAAAGTCTCCCCTGATTCCCAGCGGGATGATGTCGTGGGGTCCCATTTCCAAGGCAAGGAAGAATTCTTCATAGCTTGTCGCCGCCATGACCTTTTCTAGTGCCTCTGGGTTCATGTAATGCGCGTACCAGTCCTCGTTGAACGAGCGAGCGAGGCAATGAGGGTCGTACATGCTGCCGTACCATTGCGGCCTCAGATTCTTGAACGGCAAGTCGGTGACACAGTGGGCACTCTCGTGCTCAGGCGCTTTGGGATCTCCGTCGCCACCGAAGCCGAGTTTGCTGTCGAATACGGGCGAATTGGTGATATCATCCCAATCAAGGCTCCAGTCCCAGAATCTGTATGTCGTCGTATCCGTTAGCTACGCTACAATGAGATGACATGATCAAATAGTTTGTGGCAAGGGAATTTCGTTGCTTACGGAATTGCTCCTGTATAACCACAGGATTTTCGAAGATATCTCTCGTAGACGAAGATGAAACGTCGGTGCCACGTCAAGAAAGGGGCTTTCGTATGGGCTACGTGAGGAAAAGGTCAGCTCCGATACGGCATCAGTAAAGCAATAGGTCTAATCGCAACTCACTGCTATGGGCGACGAGGTTATGCACCCACGAAAAGTCGTTGTACAGCGACCCGTTTAGGCCCAATACAGATGGCGAGTCGACAAAACATTGAAATGCATCAATGTAGTCCCTTTTCTCCTGCTTTGACAAGCTCCTCCATTCTCTCCTTAAGTATAGCTCTTTACAACTCCCTGATGTATCGACTGGTGTCGCGAGAGGTGAGAAATCAGCTCCCCAGTATTGGCCTGATGTGTAACCCAGAGCAAAGACTACGCAACCACCGAGAACGGCAGCGCAGACAAGCGATGCGACTTTAACGTACGTCGACCATGGTCGTCTGGGAGCTACTTCGAGGAGCTTCTCGTCAGCTAAGTCGGGATCGCGTAAGACATCCGATGTTGGCACATGGACATATTGCTGCTGCGACGAATGCGCCAAAGGAAACATATTGGTTTAGTAGCCAGCTTGGCGAACGCTCGCACTGCATTCACATATGGCATGCCAGATCCAAAGAAGGGCCAGTGATTGTCAGGTTACCACACAATGGCCATGATTGGAGTGTGTAAACTCTGAAGGGCGTGTAATGGGACATTCTTCCGTTTACTTTGCAAGACAGAGGAATTCAACAAGAGGCCTTACATAACAATATTGGAAAGCACACTCTACCATGCAAGCAGGGATTGCGGAACCCGACCGCCCGCTTCTGGTCAGGTTGGGTTGACTGAATCGGTGGCATGGGTTGAACCCCTGGCAATTAGCGCGCTACTTAAAGTGAAACGAGTAGAGGGCCCCCTTTCCAATTCGCTACGATCCAGAGATGTTTTAAGCTTCTATTGTGGGCTGGCTAGATGAGGTGGCAAGTACGGACGGACACAAGGCGTTCTGCATGGGTTTCTTGTTGACTGTATATAGTAGCTAAAGTAACCCTGAAGGCCTGTGATGCTAGCGCTTCTGGTAATTGGCGCTTCCAAATCGAGGCTTCTGCTCCTCTTATCTATAGAAGACTTTTCGTGAGTCAGCGGTGAAAGGATAACAGTTGAGGCATAGAGCGTTGAAAGTTTGGTACGCGAATGTTGTATTGAAAGTTGAAGGGGGCCCGTACAATATTCCATCCGCCCTCACAAGAGGGGTTAAGGAACGGATATAGAAGGTGCAGCCTCTTGATGGCAACTCTGTGTTGATAAGAATAAGCTGCCATTTAAGTTCGGTTACCCGCGCATGCAGCTTCTCCAGAACAGCTGCGGATGGTTTACCGCAATTCTGAATCCTGACACGCGCTAAACAACGCTTGATGGAGCCGCCGGCGTCCACCCTGTCACCGTGAAAAGGAGACGACATTGGTCGGCCAAGCTCCTGATCGCTTGGCCTGCGCTTACGAACTTTTCCCGAGGTGCGAGGCACTCCTTTATGGGGCCGCCTGCAATGCCCACGTGCTAGTTTGAGAAGTGATTTCTCGGGTCGCGGGCCTTTTTGTTGTCGCGTAGGTACAGGACATGACGGGAACCATAAAAATCGGAATTGCATCGCCAAATATTTCTCGTCTCCACTAGTCTATCTGCGGACAGAGATCCTTTCCATCCGCCAGACGATGGATAACATGGATATACAGTGCCGAGCTATTGTGAACAGGGAATTAGGAAGGAAAACATAGTAAGGACTGGCTTGACTGCGTGTGCACACACATGAAGTCAAAACCTCCATACGTCAAGGCCATTTAGAAATGCGAGGCCGTCTCTAGCCAAGAATGTAGTATCAAAGTGACAAGGCGGCTGGGCGGCTCTCATAACCATGGCATAGCAAACAAATCTGCATGGTGTCTCTTGGCGGCCTGTATATCGAACGACCGGAAGGCCAAGCGCGAAACTCATACTTCTCACATGGTACCGAGGCAACCAAGCAGGGAGAAAAGAAATGCCCAAGAGGAGAAAATTGGATACAGATATGCTATCTCAACACGGTCAAGCGTGTATGGTATTTTTGGGTGGGGCGCCTATTTAGGAGGTATTACCCAGGGGCCTGGTCTCCGAGGTGGGACTGGACCTGATCAGGGGCTGCTCCTCCTATCACGTAGTTAAAAGCTTGCTGCGAATTAGATCGGTGAACTCTAGAATCGTAAACTTTAGATTCCCGTTGTCATGATCTTCATATTGTCCGAGATATTGATAAACTTTCTCGAGTGGTGGTAACAAAGTACGTCATCCCGTACTCGGTGCGCCATCGCGATACCAATCCTTCGTTTTCCAATGCGCTTATGTTAACTATTTCTAAACCGATGCCTACTTTATCACAAACAAAATAACAAGAGAGAATACGAGGTGCGAAAGAGCCATGAGTAACAGAGACCGCCTGTTAGGGAGCAAGCTTTGCCCCTTCTGTAAGACGGGCCCAATCTCGAAGAGATCTTGGCAGACTCCTTTAATCAGAAATCGCTATGCAGGGTGTGTAGCCAACTCCAGAGATGCCATGGTCATGCTCCAATCACAGCATTGCAATACAAATGCGGGCTTTGAGGCTCGGCAAGCAAGGTGTTGGCTCCGAGAGCCTCGTACACTCGGATCAGCTACCCGAACGTAAGGGTCCTGGATGTACAAACCTCCAAACCGAGTCTGGTTGGATATATAACAGATGGGCGTTTGCTCCTGCATCTTCACTTCTTTTATACCTCCTCAGAGAACATCTCCAGTTACATTCGCTTCAGCTGCATTCGCTTCAGCATTCGCTCTTTTTTTACTTCTTCCTTGTCCGATTACAGAGAACTCTTCTAGCAACAGCTTGTCTGCAGCTTTGACCATCCTTTCCAAAGTCACCATCTAACAGCTTTTCATCTATCACAATGAAGGTCTCTGTTTTCGTTCTCGGCGCCGTTGCCCAGGTGGCATCTGCCCACTACTTCTTCGACGCCACGGTCGTCAACGGTGTTGCCTCGTCGTCTTTCAAGTACATTCGGGACTTCACTCGCCCAACGAAGTACAACCCCATCAAGTTCTCGTCCAACCCTGCTGCGGACATTCGTGACAACTCTCACGTCGATGGACCCGATATCAGGTGCAACCAGGGCGCCTTTTCCGCGGCCGGCCGCACCGAGGTGTTGACCGTTAGCGCCGGCTCCGAGGTTAAGGTCCAGCTGGGCGTTGGTGCCAAGATGCAGCACCCAGGTCAGTACTCACCATCTCTGTTTCCCCAAAAGTCCCATTCCTTTACGTGAAAATAAAGGGATGGAATTTGGGACCTTTAGCAAGAGAGCAAGATCTAATGTTGGCGACGGATATAGGACCCTCTCTGGTCTATCTGTCCCGCGCCCCTGGTGACAACGTTAAGGCCTATGATGGATCTGGAGACTGGTTCAAGATCTACCAGGATGGTGTCTGCAACACGGCCGCCGACTTCACCAAGAACGCTTGGTGCTCCTACGACAAGAACTTCATTGCTGCCACTATCCCAAAGAACACCCCCAGCGGAGAGTACCTCTTCCGTGCTGAGCACATCGGTAAGTTGGCTTTTGCCTCTTCTGTTCCGTTTCATTGTACAGGTGATCTGACGATTTTCAGGCATTCACCGCTCCCACGTCAACCAGCCCGAGCACTATGTCTCTTGTGTGCAGATCAAGGTTGTGAACGGAGGAACCGGCACCCCCGGGCCCATGGTCAAGTTCCCCGGCGCCTACAAGGACACCGACGCCTACGCGAAGTTCAGCATCTACGGCGGCCAGAAGGCCTTCCCCTTCCCCGGCCCTGCCGTCTGGAGCGGTGCTGCTGGTAGCTCTTCTTCCAGCGCCGCTGCGGCCGAGGTTCCTGCTGCCGCTGCTCCCGCCACGACCCCCGCCACAACCCCTGCTGCTGCTGCTGGCTCCAAGTGCTCCTCCTTCTACGGACAGTGTGGTGGGAAGGGATTCACTGGCTCCACGTGCTGTTCTCGCGGATCTTGCAAGGTTGTCAACGAGTGGTACTCGCAGTGCGTGTAAGCGTACCGCGGCAGGACACTAGGTCTGCCATTACATGAGCTTTACAAGCTTTCGATCTCTGTGATCGTTCTCATGCATATCGAGTTCAGAGGGTTGACGAATAAAACCGTCGTTGAATCCTAGCATATATCTTCTCTTCAATACTGTAACTTAGTAACAATACAACACATCGCGAACTGACACTGTTTCAGTTATGCTGGACATCAAGCATGAGGACCTTGCTGCATGATGAGGAATTGGGTGCGGCAAAAGACAACAAACCACTATACAAGGAAATTGATTTGCTGTCCATCGTATGACCTCATCTGACGTTAAATTCGGGAGTTCTGACCAGATCTAATATGGAAATATGGAAATCGGTTAAACATAGCGCTATCATGTTTCTTTGCGGCTCAAATACTTGTTCTCTATCGTGTGATTGCATGGTACTCTTAACTTGGCTGTAGCTTTAGTTAACGCATGGTAATTCAACACCTTAGGAAACACGAGTACTTGACACAAACATTAGTGGGATCCGAAACCAAGGTGGTAAGCTTGAAGCAGAACGATGCGGTCTTTCGAGAATTCACAACCGCTTGGCGTTGCGTCTGCCCACGCCTAGACCTTGAATACTTTTTACCTCAACTCCTTGACGCTTCATGCCAAAGTAAAAGCAAAAGCTCTAGTATAGTCTTATGCTCAAAGTTAGCTTTATACAAAGGGCTAATGTGCTTGTTTAGAATAGCAAGGCGATTGGGAATGTGTTAATACACAATTAATTTCGGTATCCGGTTGAGCAGGGGATATTCTGTTGCTTCCATTATCCTTTTGCTTGAGCCTTGAGAGCGGGAACCACAAAGTGATAATTGTAACGACTATTGAATATTTGAATTCTCCAGTTGTCCCCAGAGATCGTTGTTTGTAGTCTAGGGTACTAACAGTGCGAAGGAAGCGAATAAGGTCACTTTCATGCCTTTATTATGTGTTTTAGTATCATTACTGTCATCCAGCACACAGCAATCAGTAAATTCTTTTTCTTGATTAGTCTCGCAGTACTGAGAATCAGAAAATTCATGTGAACATTTTGTTAGTCCTCATGAATCAATAGTTTCGTTGCCAGGCGACCATGGCTTGGGACGAGAAACTCGAGTTGCGCGAAGTGGAAAGCCAACAGGCCCGAAGTAGATTGACAGACGGTATCACAAGCCTAAATCCAGAGCTTTCATGAGAGAACCCCAAACCATTGGGAAAGCGGCTCGGTTGTATTAATCTCCCGTAACTTAGGGTTGGGCCCGAGTACTTGATCGGTCAGGCGACGGATAAGGATGGGGGCACCCTAGGGATCACCGAGTACTCGGCAGATATGAATGGTCAGGATACTCATTAATAAAGTAAATAAGAGACCGATAAGCAGCAATATACAGGAATGGCAGAACGGTATAAAATCTTATTATTTGATGTCTCCCCCTACACTGGAGAGAGCTCTCGTTTAGTTCTTTACTACGTACGACCCCAGCCTCCGACAGACAGCGACCCGGGCCTTGTGAAAGATTCATAATCGTTAGCACTCTCCATAGGCAACACTTCTGTCAGTGGTGGGCACATCGTGTCCAAGTGGTTCAGAAGGGTTCACAGTGTTTAAGGTTCATGTTCACTATTGACTAAAATTTGGAAATAAGGGACCGAAGAAGAACAAACTACGGGCGGGGACTTACGGTTTGGTAATATTTCGCTTTTCATAGACAATGTATGGACACTTCGGTAGTTAAGTCTCTAGGGCGAACAATATTCTTCGACACGGCCAATAATCAGATAAAGGGCACATATGGAATTGTTCCATCACCTCACTGCTGACCACTGTTTGTTGGACTGCAGACGTTGCGTGCCATCAAACCACGAGTGGCGCAAAACCAATCTGAAGCAATTATGAGCTCTTGTCGGAATAGCTTACGCGCGCTGCTTGAGGCACACGATAATAGGGGTTGACCGTCAATGTATTGTTGCCGATGATGCTCTAAGCCCTAGATATCTGGCAGATCTGGCCGTTACATAGGCTGGATCCTGCTGACTAATGTACAGGTGGCATTGCCGCTTGGATACGTACGAATGCGTGCAAATCTCTATTCCAACAGCTCTCTTCATTTTGAAACCGTATGGGTCCCGATACTTCACAATCTTGAATTGTTTAGACCACATCACGTCCATGACTCTCGACTTCCAACTGCTGGTTTGAATTGCGTACGAAAAGCTGGATCAAGTAAACCAAAAAAATTGGGCGTGATAGGAATGGTGCAGATTCAGAAGACGTACGAGAACGCAGGGGAGCTTTCAATGTCAGAAACTGACTGGCAACAATATTCTCAATTTTTTTGTCGCTCGAATCTTCATCTTTCCTTCCTTTGGAAGAACTATACTTCAAGCCATTGATCATCTTGTCCCGGGTATCTTTGTTCCGAACCAAACGCTCAAACGTCCAAAAGCGCCTTCCTTGGCTTCTTCGCTCGGAAAAGCATCACCTGGCCAATGACCCAGGTCTCTACCTCCTCAAACTCCTGATCCAACGCCTCCTGGATGTCCTCCTTCTTGTCATCCCAGTTGTTAAATACTCCCCACCATTTGTTGTACCACCGAAGCTGGAACTTGGTGAGCCAGCTGGTCGACTCGTTCGGACCGAGCACCGTGCAGCCTGCCAACACGCCGTTCTCGGTCAAAAGCTCTTTATACATGCCAAACGCGCGTAGTTTCGCCTTTTCGCCGGGCATGCAGTGAAAAAGGTTGAACATTGATATGGAATCGAAACGCTCGCCTAGGAGTTGCTTTGGGGGCGGCTCCGTGACGTCGGCCTCGACACAGAGAACCTCGGTGTTTGTGGCGACTGAATCAATCCGAGCCGTTGCGGCCTTGAGGGGATTCGCCGTCAGGTCCAAGAGTGCAAGGCGCTGCTTGCTGTTCTTGCGGAACGGGCGCGCGAGCGCCGCGGCAGGGAACCAGCCTGTGGCAACGCCGCAGTCGAGGTGGTTGCGAGAAAAGTTCTCGGCGAAGAAAGGGAGAAGAATGTCCTCTGTTGAGCACTTCCATACGTATTTCATGTTAAAACCCAAGACATACTTGTCGTAAAACAAAGTGAGGAAGGACGGCGAGTAAACTGCACCGTATGCGGCATTAGGGTCAGCCCCGAGGTCAGCCATCACGGATAAGGAGATGGGAGGGTGGGGTGGAGGAACGATCGGAGGTGATGGAGATGATGGTGTTACGGCTCGAGCTTTCTCGACGAAGATTGGCACTGCAGTAGGAGCAGCCGTCGGATTCTCTGGGGAGACGATGATTATCACTTTATCAGTGGATTCGTACCTGAGTCGGAACACCAGCAACCAGCCTCGACACATCCCATCCGGTTAAATTCCGCAGTGGTCCTATCTTCATGGACCCGAATACTCGATCTTGCACTAACAAAACTACTTTTCGGCCGCACCCAATCAGGGATTTCGACTTGAAGTAGACTGGGAAGTTACGCTACGTTGCATTTCTGTAGCTATTCCATTGCTTGTTCAGAGTAAAGAAGTGGTCCCCGAACCTGCAACTTGGTGGGTTGAACTGCCGGGCATCCCTTCTGTTTCTGGCACTTGCATAGTCACCTACGTATGCTGTTGGGACTAGAACAACTGGTCCGAGGCATTGCTCAGGTCGAACCCCGGTCAGCCACTCATTGCTTGCAAAAGTAGGGTTAAATGCCGCAAAAGACCCATGAGTGCCGGTTGGCCCAAGACCTGATTCTTCATGTACGCGTGCATTACATGTAACCTCACAGAACGCTGACGCCAATAAACGATTGGAGAGTCCGAATGGCCTCATTATAACATGGTCTGCTGAGTTACATCTGCACAATTGAGAAGGATGCACCCCTAACGGCCTCGAGCATCCCCACCATTCCTGTATGCAGTGATCGTCTCTTGGCTGACTACGCCGCACTCCTACGTTGCAAGCTTGCGAACCTTGCAGGGTCCTATTGATATTCTGCATGCGAAGATTCAATAACCCCAAAGAAGCTCTGCTCGCTAGAATGATGTCCAACCGCACTTCAATCCACACTTCAATGCCCGCCACCGTTACTTGTCTGTGAGCTTTACACAGTTCGAGTAGCACATAATCCTTCGGAACGTGTTATTCTTGAAAAGGGATTGAATGCCCGGCTTCTTTGGTTTCATTTTGAACGCAAAATTTAAGCATAATGGTCGCTACCTTTGTGCATACGCTGGGTTGTGGTATATCATCCAATGCCATCATAACATACATTTTTAGACGCCTTTTTAACCCTGTGAACTAAGATTGGAAACAGACGATTGCGATACCGACGCTTGCGCTGAACGCGATGAGCTTGCCAGCGATGCAGACGATGATGTGCCACTACGTGGCTTCCGGCAGTACACCGTCAACCTAGAATTGTGATGGAACGTTGGCAAAGGCACTTGATACAATCTTGGGGGAGAGTACACTCACAGTGTCATGAATGAATGGTAGTTGGTGTCCGCAATCTCTTTACGGACCTTCTTCAACAGCATTTGGACCTGACTCTCGGACCAACCAAGGCCGATGGTGAAGACAGGAACGCTGAGTGGTTCAATGATGGCGTTCCAATTTGTGATCATCATCGCGCCGAATCTCTGGCACTTTTTGCCCGGATAACACGGATTCGTGGGTGCAGCGTGCTTCGTTAGTTTCATCCTCTCGAACCCGGCCTTCTCCAACAGCTGTTGATATTCCTTGGGGTACTCAAGGTCGCGGCCCATATTTTTGAGACCCTGGCCAAGGAGCGAATTCCACTTTTGGAACGAGCTACCCTCTAGAGAACGATCTGGAGACTGGAGGACGGCAATCCACTCGGTGAACTCGACCCAGCCGCCAGGATTCAAATGGTCGTAGATTGACTGAATAAACTTCTCCTTGTCCACCACATCGCCGAGCATACGGACATGGATATAGTCGAACTGCTTGTCGAGAGTCCAGTCGGCTGTGGCGTCCATGACCTTGAATTGGCAGTTGGGTACTGAGTACGGCGGGCGTACTTTTTCGATATCGATGCCCACGACGGCACAGTTCGGATTCTTCTTAGCTAACGGGCGGGGGTTAGTGTGGACCGCGCACCACGACTGCGAAGGAACTTGCCATATTCCTGCACAAAGGTTAGCCGAGTCATCTCGCGATAGTTACATCACTCATACGGAAACAAAGGGGTTGGTGTTGGGAGAGGAGTACGCACTAATGCCCATAGCCCCGGTCCCGTGCCAACATCGAGCGCCGCCCTGGCTTTCACGACCGGGGCTAAGTGGAGTCTGCTGTCAAAAAGCTCGGCAATGATTTGGTGTTGAAGAACTGTAAGCAGGTCAGCACGCACGTCTGGGGCTACGAGATCCACGCGCTGCAGGACACGCGGGTAGTGGTTGAGGGGAAAGGAGAAGTGCCCCTTACCATTTCTGTCTTGTTCCTCCTAGGCACGGCAACGCATATTAGCAGGCGCAATGTCGGCGATTGGAGGCTGACAAGCTGTGAGAGGTGGACATACCTTGCTATTCGGTACGAAACCGAAGCGCTTCCCGGTTTTTGCGAACTTGTGGAAGATTGATTGGAAGATGGATCTGGAATCTTTGGAGCGTGATCTGCCTGAGCCGCTACTGTGTGGGCAGGAGGGGTTAGTCGGGTCCTTCAAAAGAAACCTTGGCGCCCAGGCGACTCTTGAGACAGGCGACGATGCAAGGCATCACACCGTGGTCTCCCCAGAGCGGACTCACTGTGTCGCCGTACGGATGCTCGCGGCCGGCGTTGCGTCGTCCGAAAAGTCGTCGGAGTCGGATCCTCCCGCCCATAACGCGCGGCTAACCTCATCGGACGTTGGGCTTGGATGGTCATCGGGGTAGTCCTGTATCTCCCACAAAACTCAATTGCCAATTCTCTACCACGAATCAATGATTGGCAAGGGTGGTGAGCCATACTTCTTGTTCGCCAGACTGCATCGAAGGCCTCGTCGAGGGCGGCGTGCGCGGCCTTCCACTGTCGGTTGAAGAGTTGCGGGGACGGTCAGACGATGAACTAGCGGTGAGAAACGTCGATGTGGAGGCGGCCGAGACGCTGTTGGCGGCCGTTGAGGGACGCGGGTGCTGCCGTCCCACGGGCGAGCCAGGAGCAGTCGAGCTACCGCCGTTTTTGCGAAGCCGATGTTGGTTGTGTCTGTCCATCAACCTGCAGTCCGCCTTGGGCGAGGCTGTGGGCAAGGGAGGGTTGTGGTAGGTTTAGATGCCGATGTGGTGTGATGCACCCAGCTTGCAGCCAGTAAGCAAGGGCAAAAGGAGGGACGACAGGAACAGGACGATAAGGTGTGACCCCGTCTCCGTCTGCAGCAAGGGGAAGATGTAGGAAGAAGTGATAGACAAGCAGCAAAAGAGGGTTGCGAAATAGACAAGGACGTCCCATGAACTTAGAACAGCAGCAGTTGGTCTTGTTTTTTCTTGTTTTTTCATCCTGGGAGGAAAAACGGGCTAGGGCAACAGTTTATTTTTTTCTGCTATTACATAGATACCACCATGGTTGGTTAGCTGCGCGGACAGTGCCGTCGTCAATACCCCTGTCGCCTCCTCCTTTTCTACGCTTTAGTCGCTGGGGGAGAACAAGAACCCTGTACTGATTTGGGGGCAAGCGTCGTTGTCAGTGAGCTGCGGAAACGTGCGGGGCGCCGTTCGGCGCTTTATCAGAATCCGTGACAATGCATCGGTACGGATACATAGACCGGATACCCTCAAAACCAGGCCGACATTCGTCTCCATGCGCTAGGCTCCAGTGAGCCTGGTTATGAGAACTTTTGCGAGCGTAGGAAATGCGGCCTAAGTATGGGAGCTTCGTGTCGGGAGCATGTTATCTGCCCCCCTATGCCTCGAGGGCCGACGCGTTGGACGGCAGCTAAGACTGGCCGTCCGGCTAGTCATGACCTTGCATCCAGCACGGAGCGGAGCAAGCAGCCACGGCCCCATGTAGCCGAGAGTATCAAGGGTCGGCAACTGGGACGCCATGAGTGGGATCGCCTTTGCTTACTGGGTCTTGAGTCAAGGTCTCTGCCATGGTGCGTATCGCCTGGTCTGGACAATGATTGGGCGCCGAGCCTTGCCATGTTTCCCAGCGATTGTCGCCGGATCTCCGGTATCCGGCTCCAAGGGATTGATTGCACCAAGGAGGCAAAAGGGGAAAAGAAACCTGAAAATCAACTCGCCATGAAGTGAAACTATTGATATGGAAGCCGTCGTGCGCCTCACGTGGTGTTGAAGAAATGCAACGAAACGAATTGGGCGACCAACAGCAATCTCCCGGCCCCCACCTCCTCAGCCACTTGAGCGGCAGATGCCCATTGCCTGTCGCCTAAAACAGCAAACATCTGAGGGACTTTCAGACAATTGCCGACTGGGCTAGGCACTATGCAGTTTACGGGTCCAGACAGTCGATGCTTACTGTTTCGAGTATTCTGCTTGTCGTGCGATGCTTTGTATGCGATTTGTGATCCATGAACTCCCTGTGTTGACGCTCGTGATGGCTGACGTGCATTAACAGCTCTACCGACTCCTTATCGGGCCCCACAGATGCTTGTCGAGCTCCGATACTAGAAGACTCGTTGGACGCAGAGCGCCAGCGAATACGTCAATCCCAGAGTCCTGTGTCATAGTTCGTGTACACTGGGGGCATGGCTGCTGCCAGAACTCTTTGTAGGGGTACCCTTGCGTCGCGTTCTGTTGGAACGAGTTCCGCTCTGCACCTGTCGTGATAGCTTCCGAGTCTGGTGATGAGGTGCAGCTAGTATGGTGCGTTGGTTCGCGAGACGAGCCGGGTGGAGGAGAACTCTGGGCCGCTTGTCGAGCTTGACGCCAAAAATCATGATTCTTTCGTTTGTCCGCAGCTAACTTCCAGAGAGGGGCTACTAGTGGATTTCATCTAATAATGCCACGACTGCTGGAGCCCTGATCCAGGTTCTGACTTCGTTCTAAGGATCTTGCTCCGCGTCTCAACCGCTTCCCCGACGCCTTCATCCCAACCTTATTACCGTAACTTACCGCACGGACGAGAGTAGATCATCATCAAAACGCGACCACTAGCTTATACCTGCCATGGAAGAACCGATTGCCATTGTCGGTGTGAGCGCCAGACTTCCTGGAGATTGCGACACACCAGAGCGGTTCTTTGACTCTCTGCTCGCCGGGAGGTCGGCCCGGACGGAGGTGCCGCAGGAGAGATACAATGCAGACGCCTTTTGGCACCCGAACGCAGATAGGAGCGGCGCTGTGCGTTACTCCATCCCTTCTCCGTTGTGAATGTTCAAGACCGAGATTGACCAGGGAATAGACACGAGTGCGCCACGGTCATTTCCTCAAAGGCAGCATTTCGGCGTTCGATGCGCCCTTTTTCTCCATTACGCCGACGGAAGCACGGAGTATCGATCCACAACAGCGAGGAATGCTGGAAAGCGTGTACAAAGCCCTCGAGAATGGTTAGAAATTCCCATGTGCTCGTTGATAAGATGACGGTCAAAGCTGATACTGGCTGGTCGCTTAGCCGGGATCTCCCTAGACAAAGTGGCCGGGTCGCAGACCGGCGTATACGTCGGGTGCTTCACGGCGGATTACAACGACCACATAGCCAAAGATCTGGACATCCCAAATAAATACTCCGCACTAGGTACAGTTGCAAGTATGCTCAGCAACAGAGTCTCCTGGTTCTTTGACTTCCGAGGCCCAAGTGTGACAGTCGACACGGCCTGCTCAAGTAGTCTTGTAGCAGTGCACGAGGCGTGCATGAGCCTGAAGCTCCGCGAAATATCCATGGTGAGTTTAAAGAGCTACTGCAAGGGATAAATAACCCAGATTCAGAGAACCTTGGCTAACCCCATCGTCGCTGCTAGGCCATCGTGGGCGGATGCAACCTTATCTTGACTCCCGAGATGACGCTAAAGCTTGACGCGGCGGGTGTCCTGGGCCCAGACGGCAAGTCGTACAGCTTTGACCACCGAGCAAACGGGTATGCCCGCGGTGAGGGATTCGGGACTGTAGTGCTCAAGCGGGTGTCGGACGCAATCCGCGACGGAGACGTCATCCGTGCCGTCATTCGGGGCTCGTCGACGAACCAGGACGGCCGATCCCCCGGCATCACGCAGCCGACAAAGGCCGGCCAGGTCGCGCTGATCAAACATGTCTACTCCCGAGCAAATCTGGACCCCTCGCTTACAAGATTTGCCGAGGCCCACGGAACGGGTACACCAGTGGGCGATCCCATCGAAGCGAGCGCACTGGCTGAGATCTTTGCGCCCCATCGATCACCGGACGAGCCTCTCTACGTCGGTGCGCTAAAGAGCAATGTTGGTCATTTGGAGGGTGCCGCTGGAGTGGCCGCCGTTATCAAGGGTGTGTTGACGCTTGAGAGCGGTGTCATTCCTGGCAACATTTGGTTCGAAAAGAGGAATCCAAAGATCCATGACTCGTGGAACCTGAGATTTCCAACAGAACCGACGGTATGGCCCCAACGGGGGCTGCGTCGCATGTCGATTAACTCTTTCGGCGTCGGTGGCAGCAATGCGCATGTCGTGATGGATGATGCATTTCATTTCTTGAAGCAGCACCGGCTTGTTGGTAACCACAGGACTGAGGCGATCCCAAATATTCCCCGGCATTTGAATGGAGGGTTAACAAACGGTAATCGTGAGTTTGTCTAATGGTTGAACATGGTCTTGCAATTTCGCTGACCAGTTGAGCAACAGATCGTGTCAATGGGTTCCACCGTCCATCAGACAGCGGTGTAGATCTGAGTGGATACGATAGCGAGGATCTTCCGCGGCTGTTCGTTCTCTCGGCGAACGACCCAGATGCTGTGTCACGTCTCAGGAAATTGTACAAAGACTACCTGACAACAAAACTATCTCTAAGCTTGGGCGAGACCGCTCAATTGCGCTTTTTGAGAGATCTCAGCTATACCTTGGCGTCAAGGCGAACACATCACTCATGGAGATCAGTGAGCATCGCCAGCTCGCCAAGTCAACTCCAAAAGGCCCTCGAAGGCAGTCTTACCCCGGTAAAAGCAAAGCCAAACCCTCGTCTAGCCTTCATCTTTACTGGCCAAGGAGCGCAATGGGCGGCCATGGGTATAGACCTGTTGGCTTACCGGGCTTTCCAGGAGAGCCTCCTCGCAGCTGACAGATACCTGAACGATCTTGGCTGCAAGTGGTCGTTGACATGTAAGTCGCTCCCCAGAACAAACCTGTTCCGAAACTCTACTGATAGCCCCGTTTACAGTTGAACTATCCAAGCCAAAAGTTTCTTCTCGAATCGACGATCCGGAATTCTGTCAGCCAATATGCACGGCTTTACAGGTGGCTTTGGTTGATCTCCTCACCAGCTGGGCATCTACCCTCATGCAATCACCGGCCACTCGTCGGGTGAGGTCGCTGCAGCCTACGCCGCCGGAGCAATCTCCAGAGAAGCAGCGTGGAAAGTTGCTTACCACCGCGGAAGACTAAGCGCTCAGTTAGCTCGCTCTGAACTGCGTCCCAGAACTGGCATGGCTGCTGTTGGTTTAGACAAGGCCACCACTGAGGCTGCCATTGATCGTGTTAACCAGCTGGGCGGCGCTGGGACCTTGGAGATTGCCTGCATGAACAGCCCTGACTCTCACACAGTCAGCGGTGATGCCCAGAAGATTGAGGATCTTGTTGAGATGCTCAGCGGCGAAAAGGTGTTTGCGAGAAAGCTTAACGTTGAGATCGCATACCACTCCCAGTACATGAAGGCCATGGCCGATGAGTATCTCCAGGCGATGGGTGATCTTGAACAGGGAGTACTAAGAAGCCCCTTTGAGCCCCGGTTCTACTCATCAACAATGGGTGTTCCGATAGCGCTCTCGCAACTTCGACAACCGGCCTACTGGGTCAAGAACTTGGTGTCGCCTGTGAGATTCACGGAGTCAGTTACCGAGCTGCTCAAAAGCTCTTCGCACCCTAAAGTCAATGCGCATGTCAACCGCTTCGCCAACGGAGACTACGGGGACAATAGCGAAGAAACCGGGATGAAACCCATCACCGACTTCCTAGAAATTGGCCCCCACAGCGCTCTGAAGGGACCGCTGTCTAGTACAGTCAAACAAGTCCAAGGCACCTCTAAGATTGACTACCACTCTCTACTTCGTCGCCAAAAGCCTGCTGTAGAAACTACACTGGAAGTTGCCGGCTCTCTCTTTTCCCAGGGATATAGCGTCACCCTTGCCCAAGTCAACGAGGCGGACGAGCCACATGGACCCAAGCCTCTCATGCTGACGAATCTCCCGGCTTATCCATTTGATCACTCGAAAGAGTACTGGGTTGACAGCACATTGAGCGATCACTATCGAAAGAGACCCGTTGGCCGGCATGAGCTACTCGGGGCTCCCATGCCGGGTTTCAACGAGAACAACGGAGCATGGCATAACTACATCCGACTCACTGAGAGCCCGTGGATTGAGGACCACAAAGTCTCGGGAGATGTTTTGTATCCCGCTGCTGGCATGCTCGTAATGGCGATCGAGGCGAGTCGACAAGTCGCCGAAAAGACCAAGGTTCTCAAGGGATTCAGATTCCGAGATGTCTCTTTCAAGCTTGCGCTACGCGTGCCTGACGATGCAAACGGTGTCGAATCGCAGTTTTACTTGCGTCAACACCGGGAATCAAGCGTCTCAGCCGCATCTGCATGGAAAGAGTTCCAGCTTTGGACCTTGCAGAACAGCGAGTGGAGAGAGCACTGCCATGGATTCGTTAAAGCAGAGTATGAGCTTGAAGACTTCACTGCCTTTTCAGGTCCTGGCGGCGACCTTACGAGTGACAACCTCGGGTGCACAACTGAGGCATCTGTCGACAAGCTATACCGTAGTCTTTCAAAGTCGGGGCTAGAATTCGGTCCAACCTTCCAGACCTTGAGCAACGTACGCCTTGGGCAGAATCTTAACATGGTTGCCACAGTCGACTCGCCCGGAGAAAGGATCAAGATGGTAATGCCACACCATTACGTCCAGCCCCATCTAGTGCACCCTGCCACTCTCGATGCCATCGTGCATGCCAATCTTGCACCACTAGTTTTGAACCCCAGACACTCCAACTCGACTAGGGTGCCGACCTACCTAACTGATGGATGGGTTTCGGCGTCTCCCGATCTGGCCCATGACTCCTACAAGGTATCCGCAGAGGCCGAAATCCAGGGTCGGAATGAGGTTACCGCTGAGGTCACAGCCACACATCCGGAGCAAGGTCAAACAATGGTTTACATGTCGGGTCTAGTCTTCCGAACTATTTCACGAAGCACGTCCAACAAGGCCAAGGACACGTCAGTGCACCCCGCCTTCAATATCGCATGGAAACCGGATCCCTGCTTTCTCAACAGAGAGCAGGCTTCAAAGTTGTACGCGTTGCCTACAACGCAAGCAGACGACCCTTCCTCATGGATGAAGGACGCCGAAGCGCTGTGTCTCGCGTACATCCGTCGCTATATCAACACAGTGTCCAAAGATGTGACTGGCGACATGGTCTGGTATCATCAACGATACGTCTCATGGTTCCAGCATGTTGTTCGTCAATCCTCGATCGAGCCTACCAGCGAAGACATCGCTGAACTCGAGGCCAGAGTCATCACCTCGGGAGCTTCTGAAGGGAAGCTGATTATCGCTGTTGGCAACGCGCTGAGCGAAATCCTCAAAGGAGAGCGTGACCCCTTAGACGTCATCTTCAAGGACAAGCTGGCGGAAGACGTCTACAAAAACGGCCTCGGCTCAAAGCGTTGCTACGTACAGCTCTGTAGTTACTTGGACGCTCTCGCCTACAAGAACCCTGCTATGGAGATTCTTGAGATCGGTGGCGGTACCGGCGGCGCCACTCGCCCGGTTATGGCGACGCTGACGAAGGACGGTCGTCGGTACAAGCGATACGACTTCACCGATATCTCACCTGCCTTCTTTGAGCCGGCCAAAGAGACTTTCAAGGACGAGCAAGGACATATGAGCTTCCGCGTTCTTAACGTCGAGAATGACCCTTTAACGCAGAACTTCGACGCTGGCAAATACGATGTGATTGTCGCGGCCAATGTTCTGCACGCCACAAAGAAGATCGATGCAACGCTCAGCAACGTCAGAAAGTTGCTCAAACCTGGCGGAAAGCTTCTTCTTTTTGAGATCACCAACACGGAGATACTTCTCGGGAGCTTCTGCTTCGGTGTCCTTCCAGGATGGTGGTTGTCAGAGGACAAGGACCGCATCTGGGGCCCCTTAATGTCTCCAATCTCGTGGAACCACCATTTGAGCAACACGGGTTTCAGCGGCCTTGACGCTGTTTTTGATGACTTTTCCTCATCGCCGTATCAAATGAGCTCTATCCTTGTGTCTACTGTTCCCCAGTCAGACGAAACACTTACATCGTTGACATCAAGCCATATATTGACGAGTGGTACACCTGTGCAACTCAAGCTTGCCGAAAACATTTGTCGAAGCATCAAGCAAGATGTGTCTTGTGACATTACCCCTATCGGTGCAATCGCCGAAAAGGAATTGACTGGCTCGGCATGTATCGTAGTGTCTGAGCTTGACAAGCCTGTTTTAGCGAACATGACCGAAGAAATCTTTGCAAGCTACAAGGAAGTATTCAGTCAAAGCAAGGTCATTCTTTGGGCCACTCGAGGACAGACTGCTACAACGCCAGATCCCGATGTGGAGTTGATTACCGGTCTTGCGAGAGTTGTTCGTTCCGAGAGACCAGATGTTAAGTTCCTTACTGCGTGCTTTGAGGCAACGGCAACTGAGGACTTGATCGCTGAGAAGTGTGTTCAAATACTTCGGACAGCACAAAATACTGCAGAAAACTCGTTCAGAATTGTGGACAATGTCATCAAGATACCTCGACTCGTCCAGGCAAGATATCTGACGGAGCACCTTCAAGCTCAGACGGGATCTGCAAGTGTACTGGACGAGCCCCTTGGCGACAAAGCTTCACGTTCCCTGGCTTTGCAAGTGGGCAACATTGGACATATTGATTCGCTCAGGTTTGAGGATGATGCAATCTTCGATATGACACTGGGCGACCACGATGTTGAGTTCAAGACCATGGCTTGCGGACTCATGATCAGAGACTTACTCTCAGCTCTTGGCAAAGCCGACGAATCAGCTTTAGGGTGCGAGGCATCCGGCATCGTTACCAGGGTCGGTTCCTCGTCTAGATTCCAAGTCGGCGATCGAGTCTTCGGTCTATCTGTCTCAGGCGCCATCAAGACCCACGTGCGGTCCACGGACGGGCTCCTGGCCAAACTACCCGACGGGGTGAGCTGGGCTCATGGCGCAGTCCTTCCAGTAGATTATACGGCTGCTTACGCGGTTCTTTGCGAGCTTGGATCTCTCCGCAGAGGCGACGCCGTCCTGATTCAAGGTGGTACATCCACACGTGGACTAGCCTTGATCCAAATCGCCAAGCTGCAAGGCGCTGAAGTCTATGCGACTGTCAGCAACCAGGCGGAGCGCGAAGCCCTCGCCAATGTGTGTGGCATTCCACACGACCTTATCTTTGATGGCCGCCACATGTCACTCAAATCGTCGCTTCAGAATATGACCAAGGGTCGCGGTGTCAATGTTCTCGTTACCACAACCGACACGACCGGGTTTATGGACGACGCAGTTGGCTGCGTTGCGCCATTTGGGCGCATTGTTAGCACCGGCTCAGACATTTCCATCTCCAATGCGCGCCTCCTTAGAGGTCGCAACATCCGCCTTGAGTCTTTTGACTTGATTGCCTCCGCTTCCCACGATCTTCCCCGTACAGAAGGCTTGTTCCAACGCATGGTGGACTTCATCTCAGCCAACTGGAACAGTATTAACCGACCGGCACCCGCCGCTGTCTACCCATTTTCTCAAGTTCAGGATGCGTTCCATCAACTACAGTCCGAAGGACAAAACTCCAAGATAGTCTTGGAGCCTCATGCCCAAGATATCGTACCGGTCTTATCTAGCCAAAAGCCAACGAGCTTTTTTGACCCTGAGGCGTCTTATGTCATTGCTGGTGGTCTCGGTGGGCTTGGAAGATCGATTGCACGCTGGATGGCGTCTCGAGGAGCTAAGAACCTCATCCTTCTTTCAAGACGTGGTCCGGTTGAGAAACCTGCGATCGATGTCGTCAGCGAACTCAAGTCTGTCTGCGATAACGTAGTCACGCCGGCTTGCGATGTGACGAATGAGGAAGCCTTTAGAAATGTCATGACTGAGCTCTCGGCAAATCTGCCGCCCATCAAAGGCTGCATTCAAGGATCCATGGTCTTACAGGTACGTAAACACCCACTCCCTCTCAAAAAGTCGTAGCTCACACTTGTCTAGGATAACCTCCTCCAAAACATGTCGCTAGAAAATTGGGAAGCGGCCATTCTTCCCAAGGTCGTCGGGTCGCGGAACCTATGCAACCTCCTCGGCGACAAGGTAGACTTTTTCGTTTTTCTCTCCTCATTTGTGAGCATCATTGGCAACCCCGAACAGGCGAATTACGCTGCAGGTGGTACGTTCCAAGATGCCTTGGCGCACAAGTTGGTTGCGCAAGGCATCAACGCTGTCTCGATTGACCTTCCCATCGTCGAGGGTGTTGGCTACGTGGCTGAGAAGCCGGAACTTTGGGACTACCTTCGCTCTACCGGATGGAGTCACATCTCGGAAGATGAGTTCTATGCCGTTTTGGACTACCATTGCCGGCCCGCAGACAAGCCGGTGGAAGTCTCCAGAGCGCAAGTTATCCCGCGACTTTGGTTACCACAAGAGACCGCCGTTGAGGGCTATCAGTCGCAGTCGTGGGCTGAAGATCCTCTGTTCAGCCACCTTCAACAAACAGATAATGACAAAACCGTTGGCAGCAGTGAGACCAACAAGACCCTCAACCACAAAGCACTTCTTCAAGGTGCTTCTTCATGGGAGCAAGTAGAGAGTATTGTTCTAGACGCACTGCTCCTCAAGATTGCGCGAATGCTCAGCATCGAAGTGTCGAACCTTGAGATCTCGAAGCCGCTACATGCATACGGCATTGACTCTCTCACTGCGGTCGAGCTCCGATCCTGGCTCATGAAAGAGCTCGGTGCTGAGGTGTCTGTTTTCGACATCACGAATAATTCAAGCATCTCTCATTTGGCAGTAGTCGCTGCAAAGAAGAGCAATTTGGCACCTGGTCTTGGCGGGAATTAGTACATGGAAGAAGGGGCTTGGCCGGCGTCCAGGTTTTCTTTGCATTTCGGTTTAGAGTCCTCGCATGGTTTCCGACTTGTCTGCCTTTTTTCTTTATTCGATGAATGAAATGAATCATGAGAAGAATTTTTCAATTTCGCATGGATGATTAGCAGGCGCGTGAGCTGTTCCGAAATAAAGGAAAGACTACGCTTCGCGAACGTTACCAGCGAAGTTACTGCCTGGCTGTGCCCCTAAAGTCGAAATGACAGTGCCATCCTAAACAGACGTTAGCGTTCCTCTCGCCGTGGAAGCGCGGTGTAGCGACGTGAACGCAATGACACCAACACCGGCAACAGGCGGGCATTTGCCGAATTTGGATGCCAACCACACACAAGAAGAGTAGTGAAGAGGAAAATCTAATCTTGACTGCCGGCCGTAACCTCCCAGTCGGGGAACGGGATTCGGCACGGGAATTTAACCCCAGCATTGTGTAATCCTCCGGAGTTGCCCGTATGACCGAGGCGGACGGCGTTTTTTCCCCGCCTTTACTGGTTCTGCCCACCGGAGTCGCGAGACGAATAACCCGAAGAAGTCACGAGCGAGCAAGAGCTTTAGCTTGTGAGTAAGAAGACGCAGTCTTGGAGTATTTGCCGGTGAAGCCGGGGCCGGGACGGCCGACATTTCCGACTCACTCACAGGGTCCTACCAAGAACGGAAAGACCTGTCCTCCGAACATCCGCAGAATACCGTAGGAGTGGCAGTCAATCACAATCAGGATATTATTGCCTGATGCGTAAACGTTGACACGACAGTCAAGGCTCTCGATGGACTTACATAACAAAGCTACAATTTCTGTTCAACGGTTACTGGTAGTTTGCAAATACAACAAAGCCTGAGACTGGCTGACAAGGTCGGGAGAAAAATCGGTGTTTTCCCATACGTTCATTAGAGGGATAGCGAGGAACAGGGCTACAAGGCGAGACCGAGGGCTCCATAGAAACAGGCTGCTAGAGGCTAACTGCAGCCGGCGTAAACCTTAAGTCACCTTCGTAAATTTGCATGGAAAACCACATTTCGTCCAGCGCCCTATGGACGCTAATGTAAACAAACCCGCCCCTCTATGACGTTGCTGGATTAACCCAGCGCACGACAGCGGCGGGAAAGATAGGAACAGGGAGGCTCGGGTGAGAGATGACACACGTGATCGTCACCGAGTCAGCGTAAACGAATTTGCAGCTGACTTCATAACCTCATTTTATCCCATCGCGACAACAGACTCTTCAGACGACGACCAATTGACCATTGCATATTGAGAGGATTACCGGCAGCCCAGGTTACTGGGTCTGAGCCCATCAGAGCCTCCTCATTATGGCACTCAGCCGCGTCACTTCAAAGGGGTTGGGGCATATCCAGCTGGGGAACAATGACAGATCCGACACAGCGACCACCGGCAACGTCGGCAACGACGGACGGGTCAAAGTTCGCTTTCACGAAAACCCTCAGAAACTGGTGACTTGGTTTCAAACCTTTCAAGGCTCCTTTAGGCCGCATTCTGGAGACTACAGTGATGGGATCGACGAAGCGAGGCTACGTAGACGCAGCAGTGTTGTTTTGGAAAACTTGAAGCAGCACCCGCCAACAGCGAGTCCGCGCCTGAACATCGCCATACACATCGTCGGATCTCGCGGGGATATCCAGCCGTTCATCCCAATTGCTCAACTTCTCATGAAAGCGCCCTACGGCCACAGAGTCCGCATCTGCACGCACCCTGTGTTCAAAGAATTCGTCGAGTCCAATGGCGTCGAGTTCTTCAGTATCGGCGGCGACCCTGAGGCGCTCATGGCGTACATGGTCAAGAACCCTGGCTTACTTCCCAGCCGTGAGAGCGTCAAGGCTGGAGACATTGGCCAACGCAGGAAAGAGATGGCTGAGATTATCAACGGCGCATGGAGGAGTTGCATCGAAGCGGGTGACGGAACAGGAGAGCGTACGACGGCCGCCACTGTGAAGAAAGCAGAGGATCTTTTTCTCGCAGACGCGATTATCGCCAACCCGCCTTCGATGGCACATATCCACTGCGCTGAAAAGCTTGGCATACCGTTGCATATGGTCTTCACGATGCCATGGTGCCCCACGCAGGCTTTTCATCATCCTTTGGCGTCCATGAGTTATGGAGAAGCGGACACAAGCGTTGCGAACTACCTCTCATTCATTATGATGGAGCTCTTGACTTGGCAAGGGTTAGTCACCGTGTTATCCACAACAACTCCAGTGCATTACTGACAATCCTACTTCAACTCAGGCTTGGTGACTTGATCAACAAGTTCCGCACACAAACCCTGGGTCTTGACCCCATCAGCCCCATGTGGGGATGCCAGCTTCTCCCCAGACTACGCGTCCCATATTCATTCCTTTGGTCCGAGTCGCTCATCCCAAAGCCTACGGACTGGGACTCTCATATTAATATCACAGGCTTTTCCTTCCTCCCTCTGGCTGATAAGTATACACCACCCCCAGACCTGACAGCATTCTTGGAAAGTGGGCCGCCGCCAATTTACATCGGCTTCGGTTCCATCGTCGTCGACGACCCGAAAGCCCTTACACAACTCATCTTCAATGCCGTCAAGATTGCAGGCGTCCGCGCCATCGTGTCGAAAGGCTGGGGCGGCGTCGGTAGTGGTGACGACGTCCCCGATGACGTCTATCTCATCGGCAACTGCCCGCACGACTGGCTTTTCAAGCGCGTCTCGGCTGTCGTTCACCACGGCGGTGCTGGCACTTCCGCAGCTGGTATCGCGGCGGGACGGCCCACAGTTGTCGTTCCTTTCTTCGGCGATCAGCCGTTTTGGGGACAGATGATTGCTCGAGCAGGTGCTGGCCCAGCACCTGTGCCATTCAAAAAGATGACGGCGGATACCCTGGCATCGAGCATCACCTTCGCCCTGAAACCCGACGTTCAGGTGGCTGTTCAACAAATGGCTCAACGAATCGCGGAAGAGGACGGTGCGGGCGACACAGCTAAAGATATCCAGGAGAGGCTTACGCTTGATGCGATGAGGTGCGATATATGTCCTGAAAAACTGGCAAACTGGAGGCATAGAAAGACAGGCGCCCATCTGAGCAACTTTGCAGTGGGCTGTCTGGTTGACAAGGGCTATATGAGGCCTCACGACTTCAAGATTCTCAGGCACAAGCACTGGTATGTGGACGAAGGCGCCGAGCACCCCATTATCGGCCTGGTCGCAGCGGTCGCAGGGTTCTTTACTTCCATCGGGATAGCGACCTCAGACTACTCCGAGCGGCTGCGCAATCCTCAATCACCGGTTCGGATGCAAGAAACAGATCTGGACCTTGAGGCCCAACCTGAACGAGAAAAACCCGCTGAAGAGGAGAGCAATACTACATGCGAAGCATCAGTGGATCCCAGCCATAACGGAGAAGCGAACACAGAGGATGGACATCTGAAGCGGGTGGCTAAGGCGAACACTATGACGCGGAAGCAGATGAATGACATTGCCATGAAGATGGCCACCAAGTCGCTCCGGTGTGCTGACCCCACCGTTGAACTCGCGATGGACGACTTGATGAAGCGAGGGAAGCGAAAGAAATCTGTTGTGTCCATTGGCAAGCGCCAACGGAGCCGGCCAATGGAGGTTGCTCGCGCGACTGGCCGATATGGCATCGATGTGGCCAAGGCGGGACTCAAAGCACCGGTGGCTGTTTTCTACAACATCGCCAATGGTTGTCACAACTTCCCTTCGTATGCCTATGCGGGTCATGATGTGAGGCGGCGAGACGAAATCACAGGGCTAGGGAGCGGTATCCGAACGGCAGGCAAGGAGTTCGCCTTGGGGGGCTGGGATGCGTTCAGCGGAATCGTTGTGAAGCCCTACAAAGGCGCGAAAAAAGAGGGTATCAAGGGCTTCGGCAAGGGAATATGGCAGGGTGGCCGTGGGTTTACATATAACCTTTTTGCCGGTAAGTTCCCGCTTGTCGACACTCGCCTCAACATTACTGACAGTTACACGTAGCGATTTTTGGGCTACCTGGATACACTCTAAAAGGGATCGAAAAGGAACTTTCGAAACATAGTCTCAACGAACTCAAAGCCGAGGTTCTGCTGATTCGCTTGAGGCAGGGTATTGACGACTTTAGGAGATCGACAGAGGCGGAGCGTGAGGAAGTCGTTGTACGATGGAAACAGTTTTTGTTGGTGCGGCCGTGATTTTGCCTAGATGTATACCCCATATTTCATTTGTACAAAATTCTCGAGTGTCACTTATAAGGAATAAGACTATTCATCATTCAAACCAACCCAAGTCTACCAACTCACGGTATTCACGATGCCCTCATAATGTAATCCAATTCGTCCGCCTCAACAAATAGACAATTGTCAGTCCCACATCTTTTCTGCGCTAGGGAAGGACCGAGTGTGACTGGAATCAAGCTTGCCAAACAGCGTTCTGGATTTTCAAAATACTGAAAGAAGCTCGAGAGCCCTCGGAGCTGGTTTATATAAGGCTCATGTTGGAATAGAGATTTGCACGCATTCGTACGCATCCAAGCGGTAATGCCACCTGTACATTAGTCAGCAGAATCCAGCCTATATAAGGGCCAGATCTGCCAGTTATCTAGGACTTAGAACATCATCGGCAACAAATACAGTGACGGTCAACCCCTATTATCGTGTGCCTCCAGCAGCGCGCGAGCTATTCCGACAGCTCAGTCGTCCCTTATTTTCTGTTTAGCTTTCCACACGCGGTCTAGATCGAGCTGCCACCGAATTTGAAGTCCGAAAGCCTCAACAGCTAGCGCCAAGCCATGGCCATAATAGCGAATACTCCATTGCCGCATGCGGCTCGAATTTGCCATCTGCTTTGGAAGGCCAAGTGGATTTTCACATTCTCCAAGTATTATCTCTTGCTTATGGCCAATTATTGAGGGCAGCAAGCTCTTCATAGTTAGATCCCACATTCTTCATTCCGCACTTGGCTTCATACACCGCGTGCGATTGGCTCAGAGCTGGCCTTGTGTCAATGCCACCAAGACGCGTATCCCTTGGGTCGCTCTGGGCTGCCCCTCCTGCTCTGTTTACCCACTGGGTGCGCTTTGGGGCGTTTCTTTTGGATCGGGATACCCTTATAACTTAAGCCGAAGGCTGGGCTGTTAAATAGTCGCGCGAGAGCCTTTCTTCGGACGTTTTACGCATTTTCGCATTTTTGCATTTTCCCAACACAAACGGTCCACTACGTCTTCGTAACGATTCTCTAATAGATGCTGTTTCAAAGAATCGCCATTGAATACATTGTTAGCATCATTCAATCATTGACTTGTGATAGCGATCGTAATCTTCACATTAATCTGGCCGCTAGCCCGTTCTTTCAACCACTGATACAATCAGCAACATGTTTATGCCAGCGAGTGAGAGAGCAGAATGTTGGGTATGGTTTGCCTTGGTTATCGCTGTGGTTTTTATGCGATAGTACGTTCATTAATCAACTCAACCTCCATTAAGCTCCTGGCGCTAATCAATCAGTATAGTCTATCGCAATATACCGTTCGAAAGCGCAATTTTTTAAGAGATATACCCCTAGATGATATCTTGATGGTTTTTACTGTGGTAAATATACCAGCTTTTGTTTCTCTCCCACCTTCTCACTACCCCTATTCGGGGCCTGTCGGAGCATCCTGAAACGATTCCGTCACTGATATATGTTAATGCCCTTGTCATCAGCTCACATATACCACTGCAATCGTGGCATTGTACTTGTACTTCGAAACGGCGTCGGACGTTGATTTCGACAACGTGACCGTCGAAGAAGATGCCATCTACGGCCGGCGTTTAGGAATATTGAATATCCTAGGCGAGACTGCCATACAGACAACTTTATGGAGCAACAAATGCTGCCTTTTACTTTTGTACAACCGCTTGATGTAAGCAGTTCCTTAAACCATTACTTGAGGCGCCCCTTCAGTCAACAAGACTCAAGGAAACTTCTGGCATGAAAAGCTAAGATTCACAGTCTCCTTGGTCATCTGAACAAAGTCTGGATCATGGTTGCGACGTTTACCGGACTAGCATACGTTGCAGTTATTACAGCTTTGTATGGAGGATGGTGCAGGCCATTCTCTGATTATCTAGTGCTTGATCCCCAGAACAGTAGGTGTACAGCTGAATGAGCGAATTGACCAGCGCAAAAACAGCATTTACTTCACAAGGTGGAAATATGGCACAGAAGCTGACATGATATTCACAGCCGAATGCTTAACGTGGTGGAACTACAACATACTACAGATGACTATGAACCTTTCAACCGATCTTGTGCTTTTGCTTATACCTGTCACGCTCATCAGCAGGCTCAACATGAAACTTGGAAAGTACGTGTATTTTCTGGCTGCACGCCTTCAAAATGCCATTGATGGACCTGGAAACTAAAATTGATGATCCCTCTTCTACAGGAAAATATTGTTCATTTGTTTGTTTAGCATGGGAATTTTCATAGTAGGTCTTCCATAAGGAACATCGTCTCCAACCCACAACCACCTTGCTTACCAAAGATGAAACCAACAGATGCTCTCGGCTATCCTGCTCAAGGTGGCCGTCTTCACAAATGCGGTCGATCCCGTCTGGCTCATTTGGTGCGTCCGCGAAATCAGCACGGCAATGCTTGTCGGCAATCTTGTCATGTGCATGCCTATACTCAAAACCTGGTGGAGGTTCCTCCGTACCAGCAGGAGTACGAAGCACGATTCATCGGCGTCAAATGATAGTGCAACAAAGAAGGTCAAGCAGGTTTCACAGAGTGGCGATTGCAGCACGACGAAGACGTCCGAGTCTGGGTTGTCTAGATGGAATTCAACAGCAAGGAGTAATATGGACCAAGGTCGGATGTTTGACGTAGAACTCCATGGTCAAGATGGCGCCCATGACAGGATTCCGGCGAGCTAACGAAGAGTATTAAAGCGTGTTAGGCGAAATGCATCAGGGCATTGGACGGCGCTTGGTAATGTTGAATATATGAACTCTGTTCGTACCCTCTGGGCATCATGATGACCGCCATTTCAAATGGCTGCCGGTGAGGCTTTCTGTCTTGCATTTTAACGAACCATCGATTTCAGATCTGGCGTTCGAAAGCTTGCCTTGGCTCACTCCATGCACATCAAATACTAGACTACACCGGCTCTAATTTCTTAAAACAAAACCTTACAGACGATATCAACATCACAATTACGGAGTATTCCAACGATAAGATCAAGGTTATTAAGTACGCCTTCCCACAGTCGACAACGCTACTGGTTCCCACAAAACTTGTCGCTCACGTTTTCTTACCATTTGAACACCAACTTCGATCTGTACAAGTAGCCGTGGAAGAGGGACAAAAAACGCAAATGAACTTGAGCACTTCATTGTTCATTTAGAAATCATTGAAATGTCTGACCCGATAAGGTTCCCGAAAATCAAATTGTTGAGACACCCATTGAAAGTAGGCATGACGAGGTATCTGCCTTGATTTGGTTCCAGACCACCCATCTTCCGCGCCTTTACAGCTCAACAGCCTTAATTTGCTCCAAATCTGGCCACTCTAGTGCGACATAAAGTCCCGTGGCCTTGACCGGACATTTAAGCCAATATTGGTAATAAAAGAGGCCCCTCGGCAAATATCTTGAACGCAACCTCTCCAGTTTTGCCGTCGGCTAAATCCTAACCCCATGTTAGTGACTCTCAGCTGGGACGCCAACGTGTGGAGAACCTGGTATATTTATGCGGGCTACATGCTCCGAATTCTTTTTAGAATGTCTGAGGACACCTGGCTTGCGACAATGAGGAACGAGTATACCCTCAGGGAATGAAATCGAATGTGCGTTGAAAAACTAAGATGCGAAGGTCCCGAGATAAGGAAAATGAGATGCTCATTTTCCTTATTGTAGTCTAGCAATTATACCCATTCTTAATTATCACAATAGAAACTTTCACAGTTAATTAGACTGGTTTCGTAATATTCGCAAAAAGCAAACCCAAAAGATTTCATTGTTAAACTTGTGGTGGCCTTATGGAAATCAAAACCTTTATCATCGAAGGTCGTGCCATGGTTTGGGTACCGGCTGAATTCACAACATCTCTTAAGGTTACCAATGTAACCCAAGGGCTCTATACTTGATTGATCCTTTGTATGAGAACCAAAGGCCATCCCCGATCGGATGAAGACACATGTTTGGTTACACCATTGCTTAACTTCGTTGTACTTGGCAGTTGACGTTTATTTAATCTATCGTTAAGGTTCGAATGGGTGTACCAGTTTGGCTGGGACCAATCGACCCCAATCAGAGAGAGGGTGCCAAGAAACAGAAGAGACCAATATAAAAGGGCTGGGAACATCTTTCCTTTCATTTTCTTTCACTCAAACCTCATCCGGCATCCAGTGACCCTATCGCTATGGTTTCTTTCTCTTCTCTCGTCGTCACTCTGACGGCTTTCGCCGGGGCTCTCGCAGCCCCGGGTGAATTATTGAAACGCCAGTCGACTCCCTCATCCACCGGGACGCATAACGGGTACTACTACTCGTTTTGGACTGACGGAGGCTCTCAAGTCACTTATACAAACGGTGCCGGTGGCCAGTACAGTGTTGTCTGGCAAAGTGGCGGCAACTTCGTGGGAGGCAAAGGTTGGAACCCTGGTGGCCCAAGGTATGTTTGTCGCACTTAAACTCCTCAGCGTTACCTTAAGTGACTTTTACTTGCAGGACCATCACCTACTCTGGCACCTACAGCCCGAACGGCAACAGCTACCTAGCTGTTTACGGCTGGACGAGAAACCCCTTGATCGAGGTAAGAGTCCGCAGCTCCCAAACGAACGTTATCCGACGCTTACGGTTCTCTAGTACTACATCGTCGAGTCATTCGGAACCTACAACCCGTCCAGTGGGGCAACATTAAAGGGCTCCGTTACCAGCGACGGCAGCGTTTATGACATCTACGTTAGCACTCGTACGAATGCTCCGTCCATCGAAGGCACCAAGACCTTCCAGCAGTATTGGTCTATTCGCCGAAGCAAGCGTGTCGGCGGTACCGTTACAACAGGGACCCATTTCAACGCCTGGGCACAAGTCGGCCTGAACTTGGGCACACACGACTACATGATCGTTGCCACGGAAGGTTACTTCAGCAGTGGCTCTGCTACTATCACTGTTGGTGCCTCAGATGGTGGAAGCAGCCCCCCTCCTAGCAGCCCCCCTCCTAGCAGTCCTCCGCCCACGAGCCCTCCACCCAGCAGCGGTGGAGGCACTGTAAGACAACTGTCCCCCAAAACATATATTTCATCCGTGCTAAAAACTCATGGAACAGTGTGCCGCCAAATGGGGCCAATGCGGTGGCTCCGGATACAGCGGGCCTACTTGCTGCCAGTCTGGCTCTACCTGTCAAGCTCAGAACCAATGGTACTCTCAGTGTATTTAGAGTGCGGGGCAGCCGCCGATTCTATCAAGCTAAATACTGAGATTGTTGGTGACACTGAAACCTCACAATGCGACGGAGCCGAGCTAATGGTGACGATGGACAATCCGTGGATCACCCGCTTTGTCGGGATATTGAAATTTTAATACACTCATTTATACATAGTTAATTGTCTTTATTATGACGACACCTCTGATTGATTTACATTCGACTGGGTACTCGCGTATCATGTCTCTTAGAAACGCGGCCTTACTAGAGCTTCGTTACGTTCGGTTCCAAGTGGTGCAGGAGTCATGTTGCATCTTGAAAAAGGTTTCAGCAAACTTCCCCAAGCTGGCCAATCCATTGCTTTTGTATTCTATGCAGTTTGATTTGTCATGTTGTGACTCACGAGAGGCGCCAGACTGGTGCCAGGGATCTTGACGAGACTGTAAGTGATCCCAACAGGTACCCAACTTCCCAGTTCTCCTATCCAGTCACCCAGTTCTCTATCTTCCAGTGGACTGGAGTGCTGAAGAAATATATGTGCTTCCTTCTTGGGCCAAGGTTCTGAGGATTGTTTGAAGCGATACGAACGCGCACGTCAACAAGCCGACACTCTTTGAGTGCAGCTGGTACTGCCCATGGTGACGCGTAGGGGCGCAATACTATTTCTGGTTGGCATTGATTGAACCTGGGGCGAGGATGATTGAGTTAAAACCCTACCTTTTTACGGTTGAGAGCCCAGCCTAGGATCATTGACGACAAAACGCGAGTCGCTTCAGACAAGGCCCATCTCCAAATCTAATTATCTCGAAACATTAAAATTCTCTATGCTCTCTATGTAATTCAGCGGTTTCGGTGGGAAGTTCTCAATCTCTGGCATACACTGGTGAAGGCTCTGATCAGTTTCAATCCCCAAGTGCTGCTATGCCATAATCAGTCTCGTTCGAAGTTAGATCAGTTCAATACCTCTTCTTGTTATTTATGGTATGTGCTTCTCTCCCCTTCGTTCCTGTCCTTGATTCCATCCCCTCAATCTTAGCTAAGAAAAGAATATAAGACGGGCATTACCTACCCCGCGCCGCTGACCAGATGGGCTCGCTGTACCATGATACTTACTAGAAAGGATTCAGAACCCTGCTGGTAAAGGATTCGCGAAAGGAGCCCGTGGCATTTTGTGATGCTGCCTTGACGCGTCTTTTGACTGGTCCGAATCCTCCAAAAACCCCTTTCTCAGACACCCAGTCGAATCTATCTTTGTTCTGGTAATAAGAGAGTGGAAAGCCTTCTTTCTTACTATTTTGCCAGTCTCATTTCAGGACCAATCGGTTTGGCTTTATCCAACGACCAAGTACTTAGCCATGAGCGAAAAAGCGATCCCCAACTCAGCCCCGAATCTTTGTGGGAGATCTTCAACAAACATACGAAAATGGGCAGCGGCAATTCTAGGCTTCGGTAGTGTCGTAATTCTAGGCGGAAATGTCTTGCTGCATGGTCTAGATCTGAGGCTGGCACCCACGCACCGACAGCAGCTTGCAACACCCTCCCTGCAGAACAACTACAACAAGCTGGACTTTGACTGGGACGCTCTTCCACCATCGAGGGACCTGGTCTATGTGCCATGCTTCGAGAAACTTGAATGTGCGAAGCTACTACTTCCCATGGATTGGACGGCTCCAGAGGAACACTGGCTTGATCATGAGGTCGCAATAGCCATGATCAGACAACCTGCCAACGTCTCAATTCTTGACCCTCGTTACGGTGGTGAGGTCTACCTCAAACCAGGTATGCTGTATTCACTTGCCTGCTAGGAAAAGTGCTTACTTTTTTAAAGGCGGACCAGGTAGTCAGGGGGTAGGCTTCTTGACGGGGTCGTTGAACGCTCATCTCTTATCTGTTATCAATGGCAACGAGTCTGACGGTAAGGTCTTTGACCTCGTGTCTTTTGATCCACGAGGAGTGGACTTGTCGACCCCGCGAATATCATGCTTTGAGGACCCAATATCTCGTCAGCTGCGGCATCAACTTGGATCTGTTTAAGACAACGTCGATGTCTCTGGCCGATTGTTCAACCAGTCGTGGGCAAGGACCCTCTCGCTTGGAAGATTGTGCGACCCTGGAAACGCTACCTCCAAAGCCTTGGCCATGAGCACGGTTAGAACGCCGTTTGTTGCACGCGACATGCTTGCCATGGTAAAAAAGAGTGGCAAGGAGAGAGAGAAGAGGGCAAGGGTGGCTTTGACGCATGATCTAAAAGGATGCAGCACTGCTGTCTTGCCACAAGCTCTGCGGTATAAGCCGGGAAATGAGCTTTTGCAATTTTGGGTAAGAAGTGGCTATTCGATAAAATCTGACCTTGTCTAAACAATTTTGTAGGGTATGAGTTACGGCGCCTTCCTCGGCGGCACCTTCGCAAGTCTCTATCCCGAACGCGTTGGACGAATGATTGTTGACGGATGTGGCGACTGGGTCGACAATGCGTCGGGAAAGTTCCAAGGCTACCTCATCGACACGGAAAGGGAGTGGCACGAGTTCTTCAATCTCTGCTATGCCGCTGGGCCGGAGAAGTGCGCTTTATATGACGAGAAAGGCCCTGTTGCCATGCAGCAGTCGATCGACAAGCTTCTCAGCGACCTCAAAACCCACCCGATCGTGGTTTCGAAAGAAGACATGTTGTTTCCCGAAGTCTTTGCCGAGACACACCTCTTTCAGGCGATATTCAAATCCTTGTACCGTCCGTACCGATCGCAAACTTGGGTCACACTTGTAGAGACCTTGGCAGGGCTGATCAACGGCACAATCGCCCCAGCAATCTTCGATATGCTCCCGTCTCGCAAGTTGCGAACTTCGACCGATGGATGCCGCACTCCAGATTGTGTCACTGAGTACATGGGCGAAGGATCTTGGACCGAGTTCAATTTTGGGGTCTACTGCCCTGATAGCCCCGACTTTAGAAACACCACAAAGTCCGAATCGATTGCGTGGGTCGAGGGCCTCAAGAGGCAAAGCCCGCTCTTCGGTGGTCCATTTGCTTTGTCGTCGATGTTTGTCTGCGCAGGGTACCCGATCCGGCCAAAATGGCGCTTCGACGGCCCGTTCAGAGGCAAGACCAAGGTCCCGATGCTTTTCATTGGGAACTCGATGGACCCCGTCGCGCCTCTTGAGGGCACAAAGCTGAACATCGCTGGCTTCGAGGGTGCTAGACTGTTGCAGCAGGACTCTGTTGGACATTGCTCGGTCAATGCGCCTAGCCAATGTACCGTGGGTTATATTCGGAAGTATCTCGTGTCTGGGGAGTTACCGGAGGCTGGCACAGTTTGCCCGGTTGATTTCTCGCCGTTTGACGACGGAAAACAAGACGAATATACAAACTTACAATGGTTGTCGACTGTTCAAGATGCTCGTTGCTGTGGCTGGATTGCAGGCACTCGACATAATGTTTGATACATTACCAATATGAGTGTTTACATCCCATCCAAGAGCCCTTAATGGTATAATGTTAAGCACACTGATACTGAAGAAAGAATCACCCGTCGCCTAAAGTGAAATTCATAACGCCGAGATCTCCATCGCTCCATGTTCACTCAATTTGGCAAAGCCCGTCTTCTCCCTTTAATTTCAACACTTCACGTCATTGATCACTTTTGCCTCTAAACACGATGTCCATTGATAGTATTGGGATATAAGGGGCTAACTTTGTCACCCAGTGTATTGCCGTCAAACTTCGGAACCAGTTCCGTCGTATGTTTCGCGCCGAGATCATCATACCTGTTTCAACGTGGCATCCACAGTACGATGCGGATCGTGGCAAAGAGTACTGCATGGGGCAGCACAGCCGGCAGAAAAGATGATCGCTCATTTACCAACGACATCATCGCAATATCCAGGCAACTCATCTTCACAGATACTACCTACATGTTAGAAAGCGCCTTTGCCCCTCTTTCAACCTTGCTGCCGCTTCCACAGACAAGCGTGAACCTACCTTTGCCGAAATTATGTTCTCGGCTACAATGCCTTTGGGTCTAGAGAACAACCAGCGGGCGATGTCCAAGGCGAGAAAGTCATGTTTTGGCTGCTGCGAATGCTCTGCATTGTCCACGGCATAGTCGACACCCCTAAGCTGTGCATATCATACTTCTGTAGACATCAAACGCACTTACATGCATGGCCCTGAGGTGCTGGCTAGAAGTCGTCGTAGTTGTTGATGAAGCCGTGGGATAGAAATAGCAACGAGATAGTTTCACGAGTACAGATCGTGAACAAGCCGTAGAGAAGCCCTTGGATATGGAAAGAAAACGTGAGCTACGGGTTCTCCTTAGTTTGATTATCCCATTTCTTCAATCGACGAGATCAATGACGAACAAGCCTGACTCATATCCGATGCCGAGGGTAAGCCACGCTCATTTGTCGCCGTCGTAAAAAGAGCCGCAGCCGGGGCGCCCGATGAATCGGCCTCGCGAATCTCCCACAGACACATCGCCTCAACATGTCGAGAGGCCTTGCCGAGCCGTTGCAGCACGCGCTACAGTCGATCCAGACCAGCACGTGGTTTGCAAAGATCGCCTGCCCCGTGCAAGAAAGATGACGAAGCGACGAATCGTCCGTGGGTTGGACCGAAAAGAGCCTATTCACTTCACATGACAGCAGACACTCGTGTTGCAGTGGGTTCAACCTTTTTGATCCGGCGCCGGTTGCAGATCCGAGGCGTCCGTTCTAGCGCGAATCTACATCAAACAAGGCCGGACCTGCAGGTCATTCAGCCTTGACGATGTAACGACGGACCCAGCGTAGTGGTGCTCTGACAGGGAGTAGCGCAGGCTTTCCCAAAACAAAAAAGATTCGCATGGTCCCACGTCCACGCGTGAATGCGGCACAGCCACCCCGGCACCCGGTTTGCACAAAAACCCGCACACCTAGAAAGGCATGCACTACGTTACTATATGAGACTTTTAAAATTCAAATAAAATATCAGTAAAGTACATTTCGTTCTAATCTTACATTATTATGTCTTTATCAAAGAGCTCATGGCCTTCATATGCTGTTCTGTTCTTCAACAGAGGTCACCCAACATTGAGAGTGGATAGTACGCAGTGTTAAAGTGTACGGGGTTTTTTGCAAACCGGGTGCCCGGTTGGTGTTCCTTCTACCGTCCGTCTAGAAAATTCCGAATGGGAGGGGTCAATGCCCTTGTGGAACTCACGCATCGATATCTCTGTGGAACGACCGTGGAACGGGTTTGGAATCTCTCTCCATTGCCTGTGAGGGCCTCAAAAAAAGAGGTCAGGAGGTCAGGAGTAGCATCCGCTGCGTCATCATCGACCGAGCGCGGTGGGGCGTCTGAAGCTGGCATGCTGCGAATGCGACAACATCTCGAGCCGGCGGGCCGTTTGCATTTGCAGACGTACGCAGGACTGATCTTGCATGGCAAGACCAAGGGGGAAGGGTTGTCTGCATCGGTGAAAGCCGGCAAAAGTAGATGGCTTCAGGCACGACCTCGAAGGTTTGATGGAATGACTCCTGACAGCCTATAGGCGCGGCGGCTAGGGGGACGCTGACGGGATGCGGCGTCAGTCAAACGAGGATGGTGTGTCGCTTAGTCAGGGCTATCCATTGCAAGCGCTCTTTCGAACTCTCGAGGATGACCGCCAGCCACGAGCGAGCGCCCGTAGGGCCCCTTTGAGAGAGCCCTTGAACTTGAGTTGAATAGTCCGAGGGCCCCGTTAGTGGAGTTACTGGAGGCTGCGGGAAAAGTCACCGACGGGTTGACTGGCGCATCCTTGGTCAGGCCGTCACCAGGTCACCTTGGCCGGCATTGGGCGAGGGGCGAAGCGTGGTTTCTCCTAAACATAGGGGGGAAAAAAGGGAGGGGGTTGCATTTGGATGGTGCGAGAGTCATGTTGCTTAACTGGTATCATCAAGACATCAATCCCAGTTCGGTTTGAGAAAGGAGGAGGTGCTGTGTCGACATAAACCGTACCATTTTTCAATGTGGTCCTCATCACTGGTACAGCAGGCCAGATCGTGCGGAGATGAGCATGCAAAGCCCGGGTGGGCAGACTCGGGCACTCGGATGCTGCCCGTTGTATCTGACCGACGATAATCCAGCATCCTTTCAGCAAACGTTTGATTCGGCCACTGTTTGACAAGGCCAAAGACAGGGCCGAAGCGTAGCTCTCGCTGCGTTAGTCTCGATTCCCAACCTTGACCGGAACGTGGGAAAAACGAGGGCTAGCTAGCGGGAAAGGGTCTAGAGGGGGACCAGGTTCATGGTTGTGACAAGCAGCAGCTCACAAGGTACAGCGTTAGAACGATTCGATCGCAAGGGTCAGACCACAACCGCCGCAGCAGTAGGCGTTGGAGGGCACAGGGCAGAACCTTGGCGAAAGTCAAGGCATGCCTGCATTGAAAGAAGAAGAAACATGGGAGAGTCTCGTACAATGGGGAAATGCAAAATTGGGGTAACGGGGCTTAAAGAGCAATGGGAGGGCGAGTTGGCGTGGTATGCGCTTTGATGCCGCATCTTGCCGCATGTCGCAGCATAACCTGGAGCAGCTCTGGGATGAGCTGTTGCTTGGCATCGGCCAGCTCTGGCCTGTATGCAACTTGTGCCCATGACCAGAGCTCCCCTTTGATCTTCTTTCAGCTCAATATGCCTTGATCGGTTGAACACGGCGTGCATGCGCTCTGCTGTCGCTTCTGCCATGCTCTGCTGTGTGCTCTGATATACGGACTTGACTCCGCACTAGCGTTTGACGCTAGAACCGAACGCGGCCGAGCATCAACGGTTCTGGGCTCGAGTCAAGAACATGGGGACCCAGGGCTCATCGGCTCCCTCGAGTCCAGCAGTGGCTCTTTTTCAGGAGCCGAAAGACAATGGGCATGCTGAACCTGAGGTGGTGCGCACCCCGGCCTGCACCAGAGTAAACGCCAGGGTCGGCCCCTGTGTCGGGAGCTAATCGCTGTTCCGCAACGGAGTCCGTCGCCGATCGTGGAGAGGCAAATCCTCCGAGAGTTCACTTTCCGGTTGTGGCTAGATGCTGGAAAACAACGTTTATGTCTTACAGAACTGAGAGGTCTTGGCCTGGACATCTGACAGGGGATGGCCGCCGGCCCAAAACGAAGCGTCTTTTCAGCGAAACGCCGCTCCTTTCCCCCCTCACTGTCTGATCTTTCCCATCCCACACCAGGACGGGCGGGCAAACGTGGTCCAAGGGAGTCCAGAGCACTGGCGGCCGTGGTTGAGGTGGATATCTAGGTTAATGCCGGACAAAGCTTGCGAGGAAGGGAAGAAGCCACCCACCACATCCAGCACCCCTTCACGACCCATGCCAATCACGCGCCACGGACGGCGTCCAGCACAAGGAAGAGCCTCTCGTCCGTCGAGTTATCCGAGGACACTGCTGGCTGCTGCTCGGGGCCCGAAAAGGAACATGCTGTGGAACTGGCTCAGATATCACCTGGGCACGTTTTCGAAACCAGGGACCGGCCGGTCAGGCATCCGTCTGAAGTCGCGATGCATTCATGCTTCCCTCATGATTCGTGTTGCGACGGTGGGTGGACGTGCGCTTGGGGGATCCGCGCCACCACACCTGGCCAGTGAAGCACCCTTCCATATGAAGTAGTCGGCCGCTCGCTCTGTATGGTTGGAGGACTAAAGCGAGCTCTGGTTCTGCCATTACACAACCGAGCCATTGAGAATATCCATCGTCGTTGCTGTTCGTTTGGCGCGCGCGCAAAAGAGCTGTCGTTTTTCTCGTTCTTTTCTCATGCTCATTCACTCCTCTTTTCCCCATCTCCTACTTGAATCCAGAATCGCAGCATCGCACCGATGCAGTCGGGAAGCAATGTGCCAGCCGCTCCGTCGGGCGCTGCTGCCGACATCACCAGCGACGTCGAAGGCGAGCAGATAACGTCGTCCAAGGCAAGCTTCGAGGACGCGCCTCAGGAGCAGGTACCTAGTACCTCGCATTCGGGAAAAAGCCATCCATCCGAAGACAGAGCACCAAGTGAGGATGCCGGGGTCGACAATGGCAGCAAACCTGGCTCGCAAAAAGCGCCCAGCAGAAAACCATCGCGTGAAGGCGAGGGAAGTCGGGCAGCCGTCGTGGCGGGATCGCAACCGGGAAGCCGGGCGCCGTCGAACAAAGCGCCCTCGCAAGCAGGCAGTCGGGGCGGTTCGCAGCAGGGCAGCAGGAGAGGATCGCAGGAAGCCGCGGTAACCGGCGAGTCCGCACCAGGAGGACCGGTCGCCGACGCTCCCACCGCAGCCTCGGATGCGGCCATTGCCCGAGAGCGGGGCCCTGGTGACGAGAACCGCGAGGCGTTCCGCGATTCCACCATCACCGCCGTTAGCGAGAGCACGGCGCAGATGCTCGGGCGGGATGGTGTGCCCAAGACAACGACTGACCCGTCAACCCCTGGAGTTCTTGCCGGCATTGGCGAGGACGGCCCCGATGATGACGAACTCGAGCCGTTGACCAAGTACGTCGATTGGACAGAACACATCTCCATCTCCATTGGCCCCTTTGTCATCCTCTTTTTCGATCTCGCCTTGCCGGTCTGCATCTACTACAGTTGGCTGCGTGCACGACGCAACGACCGCCGCGCCGCCTGTCAGGGTGCGTACGATGCGGGCGTGGAGTGCGGGTTACCTCCCGTGCAGACGATTGAGAGCAGAATCCTCGGTTTTGCCATTATTGCTTTCGGTTTCGGCGAAGTGTACATCCTCGTGGTGCGCGTGTACCGCCTCATTGCTCGCTGGGAAGAATGCGCGCCGCTGCTTTCCAAGCACTGGTGGGAGTTGGACGCCACGACCTGGGTGTACACCCTCGGCCTCATTGCGGCATTGGTTCCATTTGTGTGCTCGACGACGGTCTACGAGCCTTTTGTCGTCGAGTGGCTGTACCTGTACGCTCCCGCCTTCATGTTCATGGTCCTGGACGTCATCGCCTTCTTGACGTTGATCCCGATTAAAATACCGTTCCGCATCAACTCGGACCCGAAAGGCTCGCGACTCAAGCCCATCGTCTACTACGCGGCCGAGGACTTCTTCGCCGTCGACGGAGCGCAGAACCGGGAATTCCGCAAGAAGTACGTTGAGCGGTACGAGAAGTCAATGATGTTTCGCAAGATGATTCTAGAGTTGACCTTGTTCTGGATCGGCGGGTGCACATGCTACATTGGCTACGTGGCGGCCATGATCTGGAACCTCGAATTCGAACGTGCCTTTGGCTCCACGTTGGGTGTCCTGTTTGGGTGGATCATAATCTGGGGTGTCTCTGCGAGGTTTTGGATCGAATACGCAATCAAGCGAGAACAGAAATGGTGGAAAGAGAGTAAGGCCGAAAGAGAGGCGGCCAAGCTCCAATGAGCCTAGTGTTTAATCACAGCCCTCCCTAGGACTGGCGAAGAAGACGTCGGAGAAGGGAGCGGCTCGTCACAGTAACCTAGTGTTAATATTGGCACAGCCAACAGCGTGTATTTATGGCGGACGGAATCGGTTCTGGATCACAAGACAAGGCATGAGAAGAGCCTGGATACCCAGGAAAAGGAAGATACCGAGATGGTGGACTGTTGCGACTAATACGTACATCTTTTTCTTTTTGTTTCATTCTGCTCCCCGGTGAGCTGTCTGATGAACACGATGCCAATGTCAAATCCTTCCCCCGCGTAAGTCGAGTCAACGTGAACGGCCTTGCGATATCCTCCCGATATCATTGTAGGCACTCAGTCGGCACTCAGGTGCTGGCCAAACTCAGACAGCCACTGAAAGAGACAGCGAAGTCCCAGGCATTCGAAGGAGCGAAGGGCGGTCTTCCTGGAAAGCCAAAACTGGTCCAGGCTTCGAAGTTCGTGGCAGCATGGGCCGCAGGGTGCCCTGCGAAAGAGGGTTTTGCAACAAAGATTCTGGTGGAGGGCATGAAAGGTGGTGTGGTGTCTCGCTCATGTCGCGATGTAGTCGTGGCAGGACGAGGTCCGCGGTCGCGGTCGGTCCATGTCTGGGGGAAGCTTTGGACGGCCGTTCGGGGATGAGAACGGAAAGCGGCTCGCATCGATGATGGATGGGGTACAAAGTACGTACCTGGACTGAGCAATTATGTCATCTCACTGAGTTGACTTGCACAAAGTGGCGATTATGAATCGGTGAACACTGTGAACCAATTTATGCATCTCTTACTTTCTCGCCCTTCATCCACAGATGGATAGTCATTTAACCGGAGAGCCTCTGGATTGAATTTTACCACATTTTCCATGATCGGGCTTCAACTGCTGAGGCGCTCTAGTCGTAAACTGTCTGCTAGCCAGGACATCCACTTGCGAACGCTGTTTCCATCGCAGATTATGCTTCTTAGCGATCTACTCGCTCTCCTTAGAGAACACTCGATAAAGACCATTTCGCTGTGACTGACAGTGGCGGACCCAGCAATCTCACTTCAATCGGAGAGATGGCCGCAAACGATGGTTGTTCAGATCCCATCTCGTAGTGATTGCTGGCTTCATGAGGCGATCCTCTGCCTTCATACCCTCCACATGGCGTCCATGTTTCACTATGAGACGTCGTCTCTTGTGGTAGACGATAGAGCCGGATTGCTGTGACGAGGACAACGAGAGAACATGGTGAGATGATGGCCAGGTTTCCATCTGAAGCCCTAACTGAATGAAAGGCGTCTCACTCAGCATCTTCTCAGTCGCTTCGGATGAGTCTCCGAATTCTCACACCGTCCAATAGCTCACACACACTTCAGACAACTTGCCTCGCCAGTCGCTCACAAGCTTTGCGAGAAACGGAGGACCCAGAATGAACTGCGTCGGTTCACTGATTCCAACTTGATCCATAAGGGATTCCTGTGAAGAAGCCCGAGGCAATCAATCAGCCAACTCAATCGAATCACCGCCGCTCACCCCACCTTTAATCCCACAGTCCCTCTTTGCTCCCACATACCTCCCGCGACCGAACTTGGCCTCCCCGTCTCCAATGTTACCCAGAGCCCAGCTAGACGACTCGCCCCTGTCCAATCGTAGTCTTTCCCATCTAATTCCAAGCGAGCAACATTAAGCTACATAGTTTTTGATCAAGCCCGCCAACCCCAGATCCGTCTAGCGGAATCCAGATTGCCATACCCGTTAGGGGCAACAGAGTCTAGCATGGACGGCTGGTGCGATGGTTTTCGGCTCGCCAAGCCCTCGGCCACCTTACCCTTTCTCCCGGGACGTCCTCCAAACGACGTAGCCGGCCTCGAGACGGGTATCGCGATGTGGTGGGGGGCAAGTCATAATCTCGAGAGCTTAATCACACCTTACGTACCAAAAATCTTAACATAGCCAAGGGTTGTTCTACTCCTAGGTCTTGGTGGTTCCGCGGATCATTCCGCCGTCGTCGCTGCAGTCTCGACATCGCCGAGAAATGATTAATCGCTCACGAAATTTTCCGCTCCAAACTCTGCACCCCTCCCGTCCAGCCCAGCCCATCAATTCCTCGCTCGCCCAGGAGAACGCGATTTTGGCTTTTCCAAAACAGCGCAAAAATAGAGCCGGCCCTCCCGCAACGAGACCATCCTAGCGACGGCCGACGAGAGTTCAGCTCACTCATCCACACCCCCCCTCCCTACCTTGGGTCCTCAACCTTTGCTGTGTCAAGTCTGGGAAAAGAAACCGCTCAGACACACATAAGATACACCAACTCAAAAAACAGGAGCCGGAAAGGGGAAACAAGGTGCAATCCTGCCCTACACACTCGCACACGCGACGCGCTCCCGCAAATGGCCCCCGAAAAGGACTTCCCCGCCACCTCCGGCCCCGCGCCGGGGCCACTGACCCCCGGACCCGATGCGGACGTCGAGGCCGTCTCCTCCTCCTCACCCCGTGCCGGCGACGACGACGCCCTCGCCATGGTCGGCACGCACACGCAACCCTACGACCCGGCCGTCGCCGCCCGCGCCGTCCGCAAGATCGACTGGTTCCTCATCCCGGCCATGATCGTGGGCTACGGCCTCGTCTACTACGACAAGGCGATCCTCGGCTCCGCCGTGCTCTTCGGCATGACCACCGACCTGCGCCTCTCCGTGCCCCTGCCGTCGGGCGGCGTCGACACCTCGCGCCTGTCCTGGGCCACGTCCCTCTTCTACTTTGGCATGCTCGCCGGCCTGTACCCCATGACCTACGCCCTGCAGCGCTTCGACATCGGCCGCATCCTCGGCGCCGTCGTCGTCTTCTGGTCCGGCATCTGCATGCTCACCGCCGCCGTCACCACCCACCGCGGCCTCTACGCGCAGCGCTTCTTCCTGGGCTTCGTCGAGAGCATCATCCCCACGGGCTTCATGTGCATCGTCTCGGGCTGCTACACCCAGGCCGAGCAGTCCCTCCGCCAGAGCTGGTGGTTCTCCTCGACGGGGCTCTTTACCATCATCGGCGGCGCCCTCAACTACGCCTTTGCCCAGATCCGCGCCGGCGCCCTCCGCCCGTGGCAGTACATCTACCTCCTCGCGGGCTGCCTCACGTTCCTCTTTGGCCTCTTCTGCTTCGCGCTGCCCAACTCGCCCGTCTCGGCGTGGTTCCTCACTGCCGAAGAGCGCTTCGCCGCCGTCGAGCGCCTGCGCCTCGGCCAGACCGGCGTCCGCTGCACAAAGTTCAAGCCCCACCAGCTCAAGGAAGCCCTCCTTGACGTCAAGGTCTGGCTCGTGGCGCTGATGATGGCCTCGGCCTACACCATGAACGGCGCCGTCTCGGGCTTTGGGCCCCTGATCGTCTCGACCTTCGGCTGGACTTCTCTCGAGTCCATCCTCTTCCAGTTCCCCCTCGGCGGCATCTGCTTCGTCGTCATCCTGCTGACGGGCTACCTCGGCACGCGCTTCCGCAACGTCCGCATCCTCATGCTGGTGGCCTGCTGCCTGCCCGTCATCGCGGGGTGCGCCCTCATCTGGCGCTCCGAGTGGACGCACCACGCCGCGGCGCCGGTGGTGGGGTACTCTATCACGGGCTTCTTCGGCGGCGTCGTCAGCCTCATCATCACGCTCGGCATGTCCAACGTCGCGGGGCACACCAAGAAGAGCTTCATGGCGGCGACCATCTTCGTGGCCTACTGCGTCGGCAACATCGTCGGGCCGCAGCTGGTCAAGTCCCAGAGCAAGGCGAGGCACTACCCGGAGCTGTGGCTGGGGCTCATCATCTGCTACGTCATTTGCATCCTCGCGTCGGGCGCGCTGTACTACGTCCTCTGGAGCGAGAACAAGCGGCGGGCCGCGCTGCCTGTCGATGAGGAGGATAGGGCGAAGCTGGCCTTCCAGGATTTGACGGACAAAGAAAACCCGTACTTCCGTTACGTTTATTGAATCGCGAGTCTCCGCAGTATGTTGTGCATGATGCCAACCATTCAATCCAATTGTAATATATAGTCGTAATCATATTTATCCGGGGAGTTGCCACGGGACCACGGGCACATCTCCGCAGTACTCACTCGACGACTTGCAAAATAGGCAGCGACGTCTGTAGGCACTGAAGCAATAGAAATGAGAATGCCATGGGCGAAACGCCTAAAAATGGTCTTCCCGATCGACTCGTACGTTGGGGTATCATGAACTTAAGCAACATGTACCACACATCCCACAGAGGCGATGGCAATCTAACTAGAAGTACAACCAAGGCAAACCATGCATGCGCGGAAATGGAGCCCGCCCCTCCTGTTCGTTTTTAATCGCGATTTGGCGCATCCGTTGATCATAAATAGGTGCGATGGCCCCTGTGTAGTAGAAAAGATATGTCAATCAAATCCCAGCCATGCTATCCGAGCATATTGGCAGTTGCGCCGGACCCTCAAAAACGCCCGTTTTCTATGCATGTCTCTCGCCACGTCCAAATCAAACGCCATAGAATCATCCCTGAAATTTCATTGTTCCATATGCCTTGAATATCATAGAGGCAAAACTCGCCGTATTCGGTTTGTTTTGTGTAGAGACTGTTCACCTCGGCGATCTAGGGGGGTTGTTTGGCAGCTCCGCCGGCATGTTCTCCTCCCCACGCCCATCATTCAGCTCGGCCGGTGATTGTGTCGTGCCGGGCGCCGGCGGTTGATTCGGAGGGTGTTGCTGTGGCGGGTGTCCGGGGTGTGCGGTTCCTGGAGGGGGCGTCGAATAGACACCTTGGAGATCCGACTTGGTAGCTGCCACTGGGTTCACCATGGGGAACTGAGGCGAGCCCATATTGCTGCCAGACTGGCCAGTGTGTTGGGGCGCAATAGGAACCTGTTGCTGGTACATGCCGTAGTTTTGAGCCGGCCAGACGCCGCCCTCAGGTGGCGGTTGCTGTTGAGGGGGCTGTGGTGGCCATTGGCTGCTGGGGAAGTATGCCGGTTGGAATCCGTGGGGTGGAACGGACGTCGGCGGTGTAGGGTTCGTTTGCGAGTGCGGTGACTGCGTGTATGGCTGGCCGTAGTAGTGATAGGCCTGAGGGTGATGCGGGGGAGGGTATTGGCTGTTCCAATGGATATAAGTCGGAACGGCGGATGTCATCTGCGGCGAGGCGATCATCTTGTCCCCTTCAGCCTGGATCGTCTTTTGCGAGTCGGTCGTGCTAGGTGCCTTTTCTAGGTTTGCTTTGCGCAGGGCATGGAGGGCGCGGCCTACATTGGTTAGTCAAGGTCAATGGAAAGGGGTGGGGCTTCTAGACGCGGGCATCAACCATGAGATACCAGGGGGAATACGCACCGAACACACTAATAGTGATGACGAAGAGCACAAAGTTAACGACTGAGGTGGCGGTGCCGGCAAAGGTAGCGGCTACGAAGCCGTGTGCAAAAGGTTCAACGTTCATCTTGTAATAGACCTCGTACTTTGGCCCAAACGTCACGATGAATGCGTCGAGGGAGTCGAGATCGTCGGCATGGCTGGCCAGGAGGGCCATGGTAATAAGCCAAAACACGACAGTAAGCAATTCGAGGCCGCTACGCAGGTAGGTCAGTCGAAGCGCTTAGGGATCATGTAAGGTGGGATATGTCCTACAGATGTACCCAGCAGTTGTACATGACGGGAATGAACATTACAGCAACGCCCAGCCACGTCAAGTAGGAGAAGGTCCAGGCGAAGGCAAACCACGAAAAGGCTATGCGCAGTGTCAGTATCGAGCCATGAGAGAGTGGACGGGTTGATGATGGTGTGACGTACGGAAACCCTCTGTGCCGCTGAAGGACTGTGGCCAGAAACAAACAAACAAACGGTCAGCAACGGGTCGACACTTGCGCCGACAGGGCGCGACGCCCCTAGCGATGGTGAAGGAGTGGTTCGACATACCGTTATCCTGCGATATCCCGTCGCCTTTTGCATGGTAGTGAGACCGTATACGGTGATTCCCAAAGTCGCAATGGCGAGGACCTAGTGTTCCAAAATCGTCAATGTCCTGTTCCTGGGGAGTGTATCCGTGCCTCCACGGCACGTCAATTTCGAGCCGGGCCGTCATGTGTTTAATCGGGGAACAGGGACCTTACCAGCTGCAGAACCCTAACGCTTGCAATCCACACCGGCATGGCCGGGACATGCGATCTGTTCCTCCCATCTTTGGGCCAAATATTCTTTGTCAAGAAAGCCATCGACGACGAGGTGAGGGTTTTGGACCCCTTGGGTTCGGGGGAGGGAGGCCTCGTTGGCTGACCCGGGGCCTCACGAGGAGCCGAAGGGCTGTCGGGCCGCCGTGGTGGCGTGTTGGAGCCAGCAGGTTGGAGATTGGCGAGCGGTATGGAGTTGGATTCGGCGGGGTCGGCGGGCACGGGGTCTCTCGAGGGAGAGGAATCGCGAGATCGTGTCGACGTCGTCGTGATGGAGTCGGTGGAACGGGGGGTGGTTTGGGGTGCTGCGAAGCCTTCGTCGCAAAGAGCACGATGTGCAGTGCAATGGGATGCAGCAAGGTTTGATACCAGTGCTGATGTCGGTGTTGAACTCCGGGACGGCGCGAGCGGTCGTGTGTGTTGGTCGTTTGGCAGCGGAAGAGTAATGGCGAGAGGACGACAGCGGGTTAGCAATATGGTAGAGGAGCGGTAATGGTCGAGGCGATGTTGCTCTTCGCCAATCGACGTCACAAAGGGTTGGAGTCGGCAGCAGCTAAAGGCTCTGCGCACTGAGCAAGCAGCAAATGGGGTGCCTCTTTTTTTTTCTTTTTCTCTTTTTCTCTTTTTTCTGTCTCCTCCGTCCCAGTGCAAATGCGACAGCAACGTTGGTTTCTGGGGCGCAGAACGTCGGTGCTGTTGGAAGATTGGGCTGGCGGGTTGGCGGACTAGGAAGGAGCTTGACGGAGAGTTGGCGGACTAGGAAGGAGCTTGACGGAGAGTTGGCACCGGTCGGTGGGCGGGTTCGGTTTTGGTCTGGTTCGGTTGATTTGGGAGTCAAGGTCCAGGTTGTTCCCGGTGTCAAGGTTGCGAGAGATGAGTTGAGTTTAGGGCGGCGGCGCTTCTTTGGGGACGTTGGGACGAGCAGGGCACTCCCACTCCAACCTCCACTCTGGCGGCGTCTGGGTCGGGATGGTGGGAGGGCGGAGACGCTTCCTGTTGCTGTTCTCTGCCCAGTCAGATGGAAGGATGTCTTCCGTCCTGCGCGATGGATGGATGGATGGATGGATGGATGGATGGGAAAATGTCGGCAGGCTTCTGGATCTGGACAGACGGTAGGTACTCTGTGGACAGGGCCGGGATGAGATGGGTGAACGGGGGGAGGAAGATGGTGGGATGGATGGAACGGGGTCGGGACCAGGTTGGCGGGAAGGATACGGGAGAGAACGAGACACCAGGGCGACTGATGGGAGGATGCTTAACGCGACAGAGGCAAGCCAAGGTTGATGCAAGCCAGGACTGGACAGCAGATAAGAGACAACAGACAACAGGCCCAGAGTCCAGGCATCAAACAAGCCAAGGGCAGGAAGAAAGCAGGGCAAAAGGAAAGTCTTCCCTCTCCGTACAGAGCACAAGGTAGCAGCAGCAGACCACGAGAAGCGCCGAGAAACTTGGTCTGGGTGTGATGTCGCTGGCTGGCTGGGCTTAGACGGTGGACGAGGAGGGGGCAAACGAAGGGGGAGAGAGAGAGAGAGAGAGAGAGAGAAAGGGACTGAACGATGGAACGGAACATCACCGCCCAGCAAGCCGCTTCACTGACTACTGCTAGCGCTCGAAGCACCGCCGCAGCAGCAGCAGCAGCAGCAGCAGCCAGAGAAACACCAAACGAGACGGTGAATAATGGGGACGGGACAACACTGGACAGGCCGGGACAGGGCAAGCCAAGAACAGGGAGCATGGGGGAGCATACACTAAGAATGGGCTTGGGAAGCCGAAGGGGGGGGATCCTGGTCAAGGTCTGGATGTGAATTGTGAATGCCCACAGTTTTCGCAGTCAATGCCATCAGTACATAGCATGTATTCGTACAATTACTTCCCATTGGCACGTTCCATGGTTCTGGGCATCTGTCGGGGAAAGAGGCCGGGGGAGAAAAACCTGGAGCCAGATTCGACAGAGCGTCCAATAATGGAGGCAGAATTCTGTGGGGACTCTGAACCTGCTCCATCGACGACGCCGAGAGAATTTGCCAAGCTCCAGTGAGGTGAGCGAGCGAGCGAGCGAGCCGGCGAGAGCTCCTTCTCCATTCGATAGTGAGGGAGAGAAATGGAAAGAAGGAAAGAAAAATAGGCCAGACGGTAAGAGCTCTTGGACACAGCAAGTGCCAAATAGTCCAAGAAAATGAGGCGTGATGGCGAAAAAGTGCGGCGAAGGAGAGGAAAGAAGAAGGCACCGGCCGCCACGGCCGTTGTCATTGGATTCGCTCTTCCAGGTGCCCCACCCCGCCAAGCGGCCGGCTGTTTTCCGACGTCATGATTCGACCGCTCGCGGGTCCGCTTCTTCTACAAGTATCTTTCCGCAGTGCTGCGTGCAAACATGTACCTTGCCTCTGCTCGAGCTACCAGGGTACGTACCGTTTCCTCCCGGGTCCTCCTCGATGTGTGTGTTCATCGTCATATTGGACGGAATGCCTGCCTGCCTTTCCAACGCGAACACAACTCGATGTTCGTCTTCTGCTTTCCGAAATCATCATTCTCCTAACCCTGTACGATTCTCATCGGTCCAGCATCGCCCCCAGTGTATGAAATGACGCTTCATAATCGTCCTTATCCATGTCCCTCGTCCAAACCCGATCACCAACCATCCCACCGTGCTGCCTCCGCATCAACATGCTCATGGAGGGGCGTCCAGCACGGTTTCTAGGGTTCTTTCATTCGTCGTCGACTGCTCGCTCCTCAAGACCACTCCCCGTCCAATCACCGTCAACCTTTGCAAGCTGGCGTGCCCCAAATGGCATCGGTCGCTGCTCCGGTCTGTGGTCTCCGCCGCAGGAGAGTGGCAGAGCCATAATATGCATGGGTCGACGACCGGGATAATGATGGGCCTTGCACAGGCGGATGCGGGTGCAGAGATGGAGATGCATCGTGCTTGCTTGCTCCATTTCGACCTGTCATCGCTCGTCCGGCCCAGCCAACCAGTCACAGATTCAACCTGCAATACGCTGTCCCGCCGTTTGAGCGACTTCTTACTGTACAGTACACGTCTGTTGTGGGCTGGCAAAATCGCCTACTTGGATTTTCAACTTTACGAACATTTCTTCCATCGTATCCGATACGCCCATCTCACCCGGTACTAATCGCCTCTACCGTGGAGTACCACCATCCGTCCAGACCTGTAAGGGTCTCTCACAGCGTCTTTCATTCGGCCTCTTGCGGCTCATCCAGACCTCGCACATGCACAAACCTCCTCTGAGACAAGCTGTACCCACTCGGATGACAGACACCAGACAGGCACGGCATGAAGAAACACCCTGTCCATATCACGATGCACACGCGCAAATTCCACGGTCACTTTGCAAAGCGGTGGAGAGTTGGCCAGGCACTAGACACGGTGTGGGTGGCACTAGAGAGGTTGGGGTGGTGCCCATCATCAGCAGCTTCAACTCAACGTCTGAGACATGCCTGCCAAGCGGAGAGGAGCATCTTTTTGGTGACAACCCGGCCTCTACCGCAACGCAACGCCTGCAAGACGGTTATTGATCTTCTTTCATCCTCGTGCAGCCAAAACCCCCGTGATCCTGGCCCGCCGACTGATGGGCTACCCTTCCCTCTCGCCTCTTTGACACAGACTGATTGATCCCGCAGTCGCCATCCATCTCCATATGTGTATTGCCTACAAGGACGCGCCGTCAACCACTATGCTCGGTCTTGTCTGATAGGGCGGTGGCTACCACCAGATCGGTGTTAACCCGGCCGTCTATCGGAGTGTATTGCCCGATCTGCGGACACATCTTGCCTTTCGCCCACCAGGCCTATCGTGCCGTGGACCATGAACGATGTACTATGTATGCATTGGTGGACCCTTCAGCCCACAACGCCGCACGTTTTGCCGCCCTGGCGAGGAGAGGCCCCTGGATTACAGACTACATACACTACAGCCCAGCCGGCGACAGGAATTGCTCGAGGAGGCGAGGGTGCAGACGTGCAGAGTCAAGCCCAGACGCACATTCCCAGGCGGCAACAGTAGCAGAAACGGAACAGAGCAGAGCGGTTGCAGAGGAATGCAGGACGCAGACGCGGGTCACAAGTTACAGCGAGCGACCAGCTCACACTGGACGACTTTGTTCCATGACTCTTCGCCAAGGCCAGCTTTACCGCCAAGGTCGACATTCCGCCAAGATCAAAAGAGAACCACTGGTGGGAAGGAAAAGCGGGGGTTGGTGCCCCAGAAAGCGTGCAAGATCTTCCTCCTTCTCCGCCAGAGGCCTCCGCTTGAAGTCACTCCTCTCGGGCACTCCGTCTCCTCCCAAAAGCCAAGACTTATGCCCAGGAATCTCTCAACATCTCCACGGTCCTCCTCGGGCGATCCTGGCCAAGAGACAAATTGGCGCCCCTTCTTGTCACCGTCTTGACCGTCTTGTCATTCCGTCTTGTTATCCCCATTTCCTCGATACCGGCCCCCCTGCGTTCCCCTGACTCGGCCCCCCGGATACCGCTCCACGGAGACCGGAGGACGTTCAAAAGAAGCCGGCCTTGTCAGCAGCCCGCAGGTGCAGAATCACGGTCTCTCACACCAGTGCACCTGCCGATCCAACGGCCCTGGGCATTTGTCGGCGTCCCGTCTTCGCTGATGTTGGCTCAGGGTCTGGCGGAACAGTCCATCCTAATTCCCGCAGCCCGCCATTAAAGCGACCCCCATCCCTCGGCCCTTCGGAGCCTATTCCTTGTCACAATGACGAAATGCTTCATCCCTGGCCCGGCACAATGAAAAGCGACAAAATGTTGGAGAGGCGCTCCCTGCGGTTGGCAGCCAAATGCTTTGAGAATTGTCTTGGGAGTTTTGGTGAAACGAGCCGGCTCTCGAACGACTCGAACACCATCCACGACCTCCCACCGCCAAATGCAGTTTTGTTGCAACCTCTTTTGCAGCGGCGCAAAACTTAACATGCTACTGCCCCGCGCGCCAAGAGCCATCGCTGTCCGCGTCAGCGCACGGAGACCAGCCGTAACTCCATAACTCCCGGCACTTTGTCAAAATTCTCGACATCCACCCCCGAGCGGTTTGCCAAAACTAGCGGCTGTCCCAGCAAGTAGACAAGCGCCGCTTATCTGGTTATCGCCGAGCTGCCGGTCTAAACCTAATCTGAATCCCAGGTCGATGTCCTGCTGCACGGCGATGATGATCCGAATGGCAATTGACCATTGTGTCCCGCTACGTCCCGCCAAGATTGCCTGGTTCACTTTTATAAACTTAAACAGTAAGACCAGTTGCGGTCAGACTCGGCTCCTGTGTTTTCCAGTCTGCTCGAATTCGTCGGAGTTTCTAGTTTCTGTGGGTTGGGTTAGCTTGGCCGGTCATTCTGGAAGATGCCTTCCACGCGTGCTTATCGCTATTTGACAAGCCACGGTAATTTTACCGTCGCGTCGAGACCGAGCAGATTTTACTCTCAAGTGCCTTCCGAGGTGACATGATGAGCTGTGTCTGATGCTCTGTGCTGATTGCTAACGCATGAGGGAAGAATGATGCATGTAATGAGGCTTTGCCATTCCATAGACAGCTTGCCCCGCGTTGGTTCGTTGTGCTCTGTGAAGCCCATTTTCCTTCTTCGAATTCATACGGGTGATGACACTGTCTGTTTGTCCTCATATGCCTCCTCGTCTCCGTCTTTTTAGCCCCCCCTATGTTCAAGGTGTGTAGAAAAACGGCATACAACGGTAAGGGCAAGACTAACAGTCAAAGACGACGAAAGAAACAGCGAACGCGAGCAGAGCATGGGGATCAGTAATATTCTAGGGTGTCCCTGTCTTTCTTGTACCGTCATAGCTATCGACCATGTAACGACTCATGATTGTAGAACATCTGCAAGACGCTCGATTGGGACTACCATCACAGAGAAAAGCATGGCAGAGGCCGGACATCTGGCCGAAGCTGGCATCAGTGCGTGCTGGCCCAGCACCCTCCCAGCCCCGACTCTATCCAAACTTGCGGTCTTTTCCCGACGGCAAGTGGGCGTGCAAGTTAAGCATCGGAAGCAAGCTTTCCACATGGACTTGTGTGAATCACGTAGCCCTACAGAGCGCGATAGACACGATGGGCGAAATGGCGCTTTAGTTCCGTCATGCGCGTTGACAATGAGTCTAGTCGTTGACATGATCAAGGGGCGAGTGTATGGAGCTTCTGTACGGCGATGCTCGAGTCATGCATGGACTTCATAGGCATAGCCATCGTAGTACATTGTACTTTCGCTTTCACTCAACAATCTGGCTGGTGGGAAGGGCCATTTTCGCCGGACCAACAACTGTTTACATAGAGGCGGTTCATATCCGCCGCTGTGGTGGAGTTCGACTCGTCAAGCCGGTTCCAAAGACTCTGATCGGCCGCGATCACGGCTATACACTAGATGCTCTCGAAAAAGCATGAAAAATGTTGCCTTGTCAAAGTGGTCCGTGGGCCTATCCGTGTTTCTCACCACTGAGTCTGCTCTACGCCAGGTGTTTCTGAGGCCGGGTGATTAAAATAAAAGTTTTCGGACCCAGATCCGAGTCAGATGCCTTTCTAATCGGATTTCTGACTCGAACTGCGACTCACAACGAACCAACCAGCGAGCGGTCGTCATCGTTTTCGCATCTTGAACTTTGCGTCATGCCGTCCCTTTTGTAGCCAAACGTAGCCAATAGAAATGGAGCCTAGGGCGACTGAAGGGGCCCGGCGTTTACCGGCGTAGTAGGAGTGTTTTTTGATGTCCGACGGAGGAGATGGGACGTTACCCGCGACCTATCAACGAGAAAAGCAGGAGACTAATATACTCACTTGTCAGTACTATTCAAATGTGCGGGGAGCACCTTTTAGAAAGATACGGGACTACGTGATGCCAGTTTATCTGGACATTCAGAAGGTTGTGGGATGAAATACGCTAACATGGTTGACAGTTCGTATGCTAATATTGACAAAGACGCATCCGTTGCTGATTAACACTTTTGATTAGGATCAGAGAAAAAGTGTTGCAGAAGCAGGTGCTGTAAAGTAAGAGCATAATGACATAACCGTATGGGAAAGAAGGAGAAATCAAATAGATGAAAAATAACAATCTAGTCTGCATTGTTCCGTGTTCAGATCGTATCTTGTCCTCAGGGTAGAGATATAGGGTATAGGCATAGCTCTAGTCTACCGTACGCAAGCGTCAGAAAAGCTACGTTGCAGAGAAAACGTACACTAAAGCCGAGGGCTGACAACCCCAAGCGCTTGGAAGTCGCTTCCACCCTCCACCTCTATTCCGAAGACATCAATCTCCATTTTTACCCCTTTTTTTGCTCTCATCTTATCAACGTGAGTTTACAGTTAAGTCAGCCTGGTGCAAGTGAACAGATAAGTTGCTGTACTTGATACACTGCTCTAGTGCGGCGAGGACGAGCAACTTGGCACGTTGTACTCAGTTCTCTGGACGCAAGGACTTTTCAGATACAGTACAACAGGTGCCAACCTGGAGCTGTTCCATGTTACAATTTTTATGTACTTGTTCTATCACGGCAAGCGGTATAATGAGAGACCCAGGCCACTGTTTCCGGCTTTTTGGAGAGGCTAGTGCCTCCACGTGGGCTTGTGTAAGTGTCAGCGTCGCGCGCAATGGCCTCAACAGATACACGTCCGATTCTGTCAAAACTTTTGGTAAGTTTGATTTTATTCCTAAGGGTATAGTGAGTGAGATGGAATACAACCACCGTTATGGAAGTCATCATGGGTATGAAGTATTAAAGGTGTTGAATGGATTCTCTCTTCCTGAGAGAACCCATTTGTACGATCGTACTCGGGTTAAAAGTTAGGGTGAACCAAAGATGTGTTTTCCGTGATTATCTTCCTAACTACAAGACTTGGCTTTCGTACACGAGATATATGATCTCGTACGTCCCTGAATCAGTTCGGCATGAATATACTTTTGATCCCCTCAATGGATAACCGAGGGCCGAATTTCCAGTCTGTGCCCTCGGCCATGATGTGTGTCCCTGAGTCGTGCGTGTCGTACAACCAGCTGGTGCTGTTATTCCAACAAAAGGTATAATTTACTAAAGAAAAAGCATGTAAGACTCCTTAAATGGAACAAGACATGACCCGTCACACCCAGTGCCTCGCTTTTCTGGCTACAAAAAAAAGTGATATCCAAGCAACTCCTCGTCAATCTTGCAGTTCATGCCAGTCGTCTCATGCCGTCAGCCACCTCAGGTGGTGTAGAAATCGTAGGTGACATTCAACAAGTTGTTCATGTTGTTGGTGACGGCGGTGGCGTTGGGTTGTAAGGTGGGATCAATGTACGACAGAAGAGCGGTGGTGAAGCCGGCAGTATCTGTCTTGATAAGTTCGAGGTAGTTCGTCAGACCCAGAGGCGAAAGGATATTGACCGGGGAACCTGCAATGGAAGTGTTGGTGCCGAGAGCGCCCACGGTCTTCGCGGTGTTCAACAAGTCTGTGGCAATCTTCAGAATGGGGTAGATGACGTTCTTGAGCTGGTTGATAACGGCGACAGAATCATCGAGACTGAACGTTCCGGCGATGCCCTGGGCATTGAGCCGGGCTGTCTGAGTAGCGATCTGGTAGGCAATGGTCTTCTCGAGGACAGCTGTCAGGAGGGTGACACCATTGCCGATGTTGGTTTTCTTAAAGTTGATGATATTCTGGACCGCCGTTCCTAGGTCTGTAATCGCAGTGTTGAGGGTGTCCAAGTCCTTGAGGACGAGGGTGCTGGTGGTTGGCTGGGAGGGAAGGTTGCCGACCGGCAAGAAGATACTTGTTGGGATGGCTGAGACGGCGCAGACGGCCATGAAGCCGGCGAGGAAGGTGGAGAAGCGCATGCTGACGGTTATGAATATCGACTAGTCACTCGTAGAGGGGAGGACGATCGAGTCGGGTTTATAGAAAGTCTTCGGTTTAGTTCAAGGCTTTGTTGATTCCGCTGGTGAAAAACGTTGGCAGAATGTCTGACTCTTTACTATCAAAAGGGGGAGGCGAGGATCTTATATATCGAATCGTCCGCGGCTTCGCGTCCATCAGCCTACTCCCATCCTCACTTTCCTTCGGATCGTCGGTCTGTTGACGAACCTGGCGCCGTCCGCAAAGCCTATCCGAGACACTTTTCCTTGCCAGATGTCTCACTCCCCCCATCAACATCGAGGCCATTAACCTTTTCATCCAAGCTCCCCAGACCCTCGAAGCCACGGCTAGGCTAATCGCAACGACGTATCGGGAAGGTGATTGGCCTTGTGCGCAGGAGTTGGGCCAGAACGCAGCGAGGAGGCCGGTTCCGGGTGCGCCGGGGTGGCTGCATTCAGTCGCGCGTCAAAGAGATTCTTGTTTTGCGGGGCCCTCTGTCATCAGGGTCCAATCGAGATCGTCGCAGCTGACCGGTTCAGCAGATGCCTTCGACCTTACACGGGCGGAACGACTAAAAACTGCTACTGGAGAGGCCTCTTGCCTCCGGTCCTCCTGACGTTGACGATTTGCAGTCCCCAGGGTGGACGTTGCTGTTTGCGTTGCCAGATTTACGTCTCGACCTATTGAACATCAGCAATCCGTGCAGGTGTGGGTAGGTCGGCGGGCTAGGAGGCCGTTCTACTATAACACTCTTGCACCCTTCCGTCGTTTTTCCCAGCGTCACATTCCTTCTTTTGCATCATTCAGAATCCGGCAAGATTTGGCCCAGACCGCGGCCCGAAATCATCGACAGGGACCGAAGCGAAAATTGTTCCTTCTAAGACGGACAATGGCGTTGTGAACTGTCATGATCTAATCGAACGAGGGCATCCGCACACAAGCTATCATGTAGCCTTATTACTAGGGTCTTTCTAATCATTTACAGTCTTTGTCTCCTCTGTGATCTTCCATTCTTTTCCCCAGACACAATTCCCTCACGTAATCTAGCTAGGCCTTCCAGTGTATGGGCTAGAAGACCGATAGGGAGGTGAGTTAGAGGAACACCAGACAACGGAGATAGCGGCAGAGGCAGATGCTACACGGGAAGATGATAACTACCGAGATACACTAAGAGGCAAACCGGCAGGTAAAGGCGTTCTAAAGTCCGTTCGTCTAGTTTGTCAGCGCTTTTGGGTGGCCTACTATGTATGTGCCTGTCGCGGCCCGAAGGCCGGGGCTGGGCTAATGCATTCCTAAGGCCCTGGAATGTTAGCAGACCTTTTGACAAATATAACGTATTCGGGATCTCCGCAGAATACAGCCCTTTGCTCCTTCGGAACATTGCGGACTATTGTTCCTAAAACGGTCCACGATTACAATTACGTTTTGAGGTGTACTGGGTATGCTGTATGTCATCTGAGTGGCCTGGAGGTGGCCTGGACACGACAGAGGATGACTTCATACATCAATGACGCATGACAATCCAAAGAGGCTTAATTTAGGTCTGCCTCTCCTCTTATTGTAATAATTTGGCTAGTTCTTTACGTTTTGGTGCTTCGTTCTGACGGTCCGCACTTCGTCACCATCGGGAACCCTGGAGACTTCTTGGGGTGAGGGTTTACCCTCAGGATAGAAAAGATACGCGGATGTGAATAGCAGGAGCCCAGGATACAGTAAAACATGGGACGAGGAGAGATCCGACATGGGACGAAAAGACTGAAGCCCATAATGTAAAACCTTGACATTGATCATGCGTGCCTGGCCGCCGTCAGGTTGTCCTCAGTGATGCGTCTAGTGCGACTAGAAGGCCAGGCTCGATGCATTCCTAATGGAGGCAGACGCTGCATCATGTTCGGGTGTTCCCGTGTCTTGCCTTCCAAAGACGATCCGATCTTTGACGAACATTGTCTGTACAACCCCAACTTTTGCTCTTAGAGTGCACCACATTGCTTCCAACGCGTAGGCTGCCACCGCACTGCCTCATGGATTTGAGAAAAGAGGCCGGAGATGCAGATTAAAGCGCACACAACCTCTGCTAGGACGTGGGTTCTCCCGTGCGGAGAGCTAGTGACGGTCCAGACCATGTACATTAGAACCATCCCTGTTTGTGGCTGTGAGGCACAGCGGCTATAAGCCGCATCGGCAAATCAATAGTGGAAAAGAGATAAAAGAACTACGGATAGGAGGTTCTGGCCGTCGTCGAGCTAGTCAGACCAGTAAGGAAGGCCAAGCCCATGACTACGAGAAGTGGCTTGGGCAGGGAATATGTGACTTGCGAGCGCCTTTTCGCGGACACCGGCGGCCTCGGAGATGTTAGTGGCGTAATTCTAGAACCGACTTGTGCCGCCGCAACGAGACATCGTTGCGAGGCAGAACGTGAATGCAATTGAATTGATAAGGCCCGCTGTCCCGGAAAATTCCAGGAAGCTGCTCCAAGGTTTTGTTGTTGGAACCCAGGAGCCAAAGTCTGCTTCACATCACGGAACCCGGAGACGACGGTTTTGCTTCTGTTCCTGCATGTCTTGGAATCTTTGCAACGATTTCTGGCTACCGTGCAGCCAGCGCGGCGACTCCGGTATTCCAGTAATCAAGCGAGAGTACGAGGATGCCCGGGAGGGCTTGGAGGGTAATCAGTGACCTCTCAGACCAGCTGCTCGTTTTTGTTGTCTTCTTTGGCTTCGGCTACGATACCTCGCAGAACTGGTAAAGTACGTCGGTATTTCGATAGTCAGTGCAGCTGCGACAGGAGTCTGCTTCATATGGCAACTGACCTATATGGATTGATTGCGAGTGATCTTGACTATTATTCTGATAGAAGACGCGGATTAAACAATGGAGACTTCAAGATCTGTAGGCAATGGATGAAGATCAACTATGCAGAACCAAGTAGTGAGTCGGCCCAAGGACTAGCTATCATCTTTCTTGACCAGTATGCCCAAGGATGATGCCGCCGCCATTGAAGCTTCCTCATTACCAGTACCGATACTCAGAGTTTTGAGGCTGTTATGCTCATGGACCCCATATATTATGGCGGAGTAATTATTTTGCCCGGATTTCGTCATCGCCGTTGTTGGGTTTATATCTTTGGCAATCGCTCCTGCGCGTTGAGTGGCGCCATTGATTATGAGCCCCGATGACACCAATAGCTTCACATATTTGAGATCAATTATGCTCGATGAATTGAGTACAGGTTCTTGACCGGGTTCCGAGAAGTTTTTCAAGGCCAAAACCACAACCGCAGCCGAAGAACCGCAAGCTATGACGCGTTGTTTGTTGAAAGGGGCAGTGATCGGGATGCCAAAAGATTGGCAGCAAGAGGTTGAGGTAGAAGAGTAAAGCACTCAGAAAATAGAACATCTCAGCTTCGGAACCGTCCATGATTGCCCTAAGCCCCCAGTTGCAGGCCACTGGTAAATGTAGAAAAAACAGTATCGTTGAAGGACCCCAAAAATTGCTGAAGCATAATGAGGCAATCCTGCAACACGAACACCTTCGCCACTGTAATTGGTTAGCTCTTGTGATTTCTTAGCCGTTTGTTCGGCAACGTTGTCTTGTACCGGGAAAGGACATGAAGCCGTGAAAATTTAGGCTTCCAGGGGCGCAAGACACAGAGTGTCTCGTTATCGGCCAAGAACGGGTAGGATCAACCCTCTGATAGGTGGTCAACGAAACCCATTCCGTAGAGGTAGATGAAATGTGATTTATACGGTTGTAGAAGGCCATGTTTCCCCGTGACAGCATGAGACCGTCCGTTTGGCAACAACTGACTTGTGTGATCTGTTTGTCATCGGTCCAACGAGACCAGCGTTTCCACACGACATATTGCCTTGTTCACTCCTCCGATTCGATGACGAGAACCTTGAGGTGTATAGTCTCGTTTGAGATATCCTCATGGGAAGGCGTCGCGAGATGTCGGGGCAGGCCGGCGGCGCGGCCGATAAGCTGAAGGATTCACATGGAAAGACCGAGGCTCTTTGGCGTCTTGGCGGTGATGAAGAGGGTCCAGGGAAATGGGAAACAAGAGGGGCTTGGGATCGGTGGCATCATATATGGAACGAGCGTCCAAAGACCGGAGCACGAAAATGGCAAAAGCTCCTTTGCTGGAACAGCCAGTTGGGTGCGAGGTAATCATGCGTTGACATGGGCAATTTCTCCGCTGGCGGGACGCTTGTCCACTCGGTCTGGGTTCCGGTCTTACCCTTGATACAGGCCGTTCATCTATGTTGGGGCATTCTTGATTCGCGAGTATCAACCGGGCATTTTGAATATTGCGGCGGAGTGCGGAGTTTGACAGCATCAGGATTAAATAGCTCCACCACATCTATTACTACGTCCAGTTTGTTTGTCTCCTTTGCCCTTGCAGGCCTCGTAGCCCTCTCGGTTGTTCCCCACAGTCACCACGAATGCCCCGGAAATGAAAGGATGACAGGGGTGAGGAGTGAGGCTCAAAATCTTGAAAATCCAGAGGAAGACTCACTTCATCAGCTATTTTTCATCAGTTGTGTGTTTGATTGAACGAAGAGGAGGTCTGAGGACCTTGATGGCCCGGCCCGCCTCTTCGCGCCTGGGCAAACCCGGGACCGACATGGGTCCCAACCACCACTGAATTGGGCCATGGGGGAAAGTGAGGAGACCCTTGGGATCCCTGGCTGATGGATCGTTCGTAAAAATGGCACTTTTGCATACGCCAAGTTAAGAGGCGAAGAGCAAGGGAGGGGCGAGCACGTTGAGATGTCTCTGAACTGACTTGCTTGGAGTCTTGGCAACTTGGGCTGAATCCGGTGCAAACAGCCAACCATACCCATGTGACCTGAACTGATCAATCAATTTTCGTGATCGTGTTTTCTCTTGCCAAGAGATGCTAAGAGGTACCTATTTGTTCTTTCCGTCCCTTGACAGTTGCCTTGGCGGGTTAAGTCTTTACTTGGGCCAGGAAACACCAGTACGCATATAAATCTCACTTCACCTTGACTGCAACGTTTGTCTTGCACCTTCTTCACTTTCCACGTCACATTCCACATCCATTCGTTGATTTTCGTCATCGGTTCATCTAATTCACCCGCAGCTATTCCGAGATCCCCAAACCCTCGCCAAAACACCACCACCACCATGAAGACTTCCCAGGTTCTCGCCATCTTCGGCTTCACGAGCCTCATTATGGCTCAGAGCGAAAGCCTTGCTCCTTCACCCACCGAAAGCATCGGGTGCGAACCACACGGGGACCATTATACGTCATTTCCAGACTCCTGTTAAAGTTGCTTAGATGTGCTAACCTCCCTATACGGCACTGCGAGGCAGCTCGTGCTACTACAGCAGCTGCTGTATCTTCTGGTACTACCCTGAGCACTGCAGTTGCCGCTATCACTACCGCCACTGTCACTGATGATCACGACCACGACCACGACGACGAAGATGACCACGACCACTCTGCGGGCACGGCTAGCCTTGCTCCTTCGCCCACTGAGAGCGTAAACTGCCTTCCTCATGGAGACCATGTAAGTAGCAGTTTCGCCTTGCCGCTAAATGTAGTTCTAATATCTGTTAGTGGCACTGCGAGGGCCCGGCCACCGCCGTCTCGGGATCAGTCACCACCACCGTTGCGGTCACCACCACCGCTCCGGCCTCCACTGACGCCGCTGCCACCACCGCCAGCGGCGATGCTGCGACCACTTCTGCCGTTCCCGCTGGTGCTGCCCGTGCTGGCTTCGGCGCTGCTGCCATCGCTGCCGCTCTCATGGCCTTCTAAGCGAGCCAAGGGGTGAACTCGCGTTGAAGAAACGCAGCATGTACCTTATGAATAAAAAGTTACGGAAATACGGGTTCTGATTCATGAACATTACTTGGGAAGGAACTTTTTGGCGTGGTAAGCCGAGATATCAGACATGGGATACACGCCTATAACTATGTTGCCGCTCCATGGCGTTTGACTCTTTTTTAATTTCTACCCCAAAGAGGGAGGGATAATAGTTGTAGCATGGAAAAAGTCGCATGCTATTGGAAAAAACGAATTTTCTCATCTGGCATACTTCTGACTGGTGGCCTTTCACACTTGATGTTGTGGCATAAAGTTGCCTTACTGCCAACACATACAGTATTGGTATCCATAGATTAATGTGCAATTCGCGTTTTTCTCGATATGCCGATCAATGAATCTTATGTTTCTGTCTCTAAAAGTAGTGTTACCATTGTTTCCCTTTTGCCATGATAAGATTGCGAAAATTGGATAATGTCTCATGTTCATCCCATACCTCACGCGACCATCCTGGCATCATGTAAACGCAGGCACGGACGCAACAGGAGACCCGGCAGCTTGGTTAAGCTATGGAAAGCGGAAAGTCAAAAATGCAATCATGCGTGAACCGTTCATACGATCAAAGGTTCACGACGCGGCCGGGGAACGCCAGCCGGTAATCTTTGCTGGTGTGCCTGCCTCACAAGTTCTCAGAGTACAAGGTGCCTTCACCAAGTGCGGCTGAAGATTATCGAAGGGCCGTTGATTAGGAGAAAAGACTCGGTAAGCATGGTAGATGGTGAGGGAACGCCCGTCCCCCCCCCCCCCCCCCAAACTTCATGCCCACCATTGAAGACGCCCGTTGCGGCGTTCTTTGCGCATGAGGGAGAAAATGTCTCACTCCCCACCAGTCAGCGCTCACACAGGAAAACGCTGGGGTGTCACGCAGAGTTTTCGCCTGTCAGATGCAGAGACGAACAGAAAAGTCAGCAGACAAAGGTGCCCGGCGTCCGGCGTTGGCGACTCTACGAGGTTGGGATCCGTTGGAGAGTCGGCTCGTTTGGTTAGCCGATGGCCTTGGCGTTCATTCTGGTCGAAGAATGAGACGAAAATGGATGAGACTGGAGCGAGCCGTTGTCCACCATGGCTTCGACATCGTCGCCGTTGGTCGACTGCTGGGCTTTATAGGGGCTTGGCATGCAGCAGTCGCCACATGTGAGCCATCAAGGTTGGCGGGGTTTTGTAAGGAATGGCAAAACGTCGTTGGGTGAGAAAGTGAGAAAAGAGGCAGAGCCAGGGAGAGAGTGGTTGAGAGTGAGAGTTAGAATGAAAGTGAAAGTGAGAGTGAGAGACGTGCGGTTGCGGTCAAAATGAGAGGCCATCAAGGTTCTTATTCCAAGGTGCATGTGGACGGTACGTACCGCCGCCGAAGAGGCATGTGGACCCGACGGCGCCGCACCCCGGCTGGCCTGTGCCCAATCAGGCCGTTCGGGGACGAGACAGATCGTGACTTGGAGCCTTGGCTCAGCAGGAAACAGCCTCTCAGCTGCCCTTTCCTTCCCATGATGGCCATCCGGGTGCTCAGCCTTGGCAACGGGTCTGTCAGCCTTGGCAAACCGTCTGCGTCGTGTTATGCTTCTTTGGCTTTGGCTTCTTTTGCAGCCATGTTTCCGCTGATTCCCGCTTTTCCACACCCGCAACGACCCTCATCCCTGGCACGATGCCGCCTTTGACCCTCCACGTTTCTACGTTTCCTCGGGTTGGCGTTCTTCCCGTGCTGCGCAATGTCAGCTATGGGTCTACTTTTGCAAGTGGGCTGACCTGTTCACCTATTGGTCTCGTTGGCGTGCTCCTTGTGTGCCCGAGGCCGGGCCATATCGATAATCGGACAAGACAAACATGACAGGGTCAGCCGCCGCGGCCGATGGCCAAGACGGTGAAAGACAAGCCTCAGCCGTGGAGACGGCATAATAACCTAGCAGGCATAGCTCGGAGTCACTACCACGTTGCGTAAGAGGAAGAGAGAAAAAACTTCAGAGGTGGACGCAGAGACGAGGGGAATATCGAAAGGAAGAGAGCGAGAGAGACATCACACAGCAAAGGCAATATTCGCGCAAGGAATCGGCATAGCACTCGGCAGGGATCTCATCCGCTGCGCCTGGTTGTCGCCCTTTTTCGCCGCACCCGTCGATTCATTTTCCTGAAATTCCAGCCTCCATCGTTCGTCGTCCAATCCTTCACCCTCTCCCACCCGAGTATCTTTATCCCTCTTGAGAAGTTATCCCGCTGCACGACTTCTCTCCCCGTCTCTGACGCCCCTGGTTCTTCATCCCATCCCCGCCAGGCCTCTTTCTCCGGTCAAGCTTGCCAGCTCGGCGATTTCACTTGTTACTCGGCGCGCCTTCTCTCAAGGTGCTCACTCTCACCATCTGTCTGGGACGCTCATACTTCACCCTAGCCACCTTTATCCCGAAGCCTCTCCCATAAAACAGCCGGCTAAGCACCGTCCGATAAGCCAACTTTGAGAATCTGCAGCAGCATCCTGTCTTGGACAACACCCAGCGCAACCCAGCCCTGTCAGCTCATTTCAGCAAAGACAAGGCCCTACTTCGCTTCTCGTGAACTGCATTCCTGACGACGCTATCCAGACACCAGACATCGCAATGGCCAGGTTCACGGCCGCTGCCGCCTTCGCGGCTCTTCTGAGCACCGCTTCCGGCTCCCTCGTCGCACGACAGACGGCTGCCAGCACCACCGCCGCTGCCGTGTCCGCTCCCACTGCCATCTCGGAGTGCTCCGTGTCATCCTCTACGCAGTAAGCACCTCTTTGAAAAGCCTCCCTCTTGTAGAGGAAGAAACATCATATATCACTGTCGAACAACCGCTTATCCGCATCCTAGGATCTGTAAGGCTGGAACTACCGAGTTCAGAGTCGTGTCCACTCCAACCGGCGCGCTGCCCAGCTCTTACACAGGATGCCACAAGCATGCCACCGATACGTAAGCTCCCTTTTCATATGTTGACGAAAATTGATCTCACGCTCTATGCTAGGTACTGCTTCTTCGATGATGGAGAGGTGCAGATTCAGCCCGCCGGCGCTCCGGCTGCCACTGCCGCCTCAACGACCGCTGCTGCTGTCACTGGCACTCCCACCGCCGTCTCTGACTGCCATCTTCACGGAGTAACTGTGTAAGCCTTTCTGCCTTACAGCCCCAAGGACCCCGATTAACAGATTCTCAGCTTCTGCATGTGGGGTACCTCGGAGTACCAGGTCATGACTACGCCTACAAACACCGCCGCATCCGCCATCCCCACGGCCTTCACCGACTGCCACGCCCATGGGGCCGACACCTACTGCATTGCTCCCAACGGCGACGACGTCGAGATTGTGGCCGAGGGCGCCGAATCCTCGGACAGTGATCACACCGACGGTGAGGAGCCCCAGGGCGAGAATTGCCATTTCCACGCCGGTGTCGAGCACTGCGTCGGTGCGGGCGAGAGCGAGAGCAGCGGTACGCGAAGCTGTGAGAAGGTTGACCGTGACTACAACATCCCCCTGCGTATCGGCCTCATCTTTGTGATTCTTGTTACCAGCGCCTTTGGCGTCTACTTCCCCATCTTTATGATCAAGTGGATGCCCACCAAGACGCACACCATCTTCCTCATCCTCAAGCAGTTCGGCACCGGCATCATCATCTCGACTGCTTTTGTCCACCTTTACACCCATGCTCAACTGATGTTTGGCAATGAGTGCTTGGGCGCGCTTGAGTACGAGGGAACGACGTCGGCCATTGTCATGGCGGGCATCTTCTTGTCCTTCTTGGTCGAGTACGTCGGGAAGCGCATGGTCATGAAGAAGATGGCCAGCAACCCGAGTGCTATGAGCCGTTTGTCCCCCGAAACCGTCACTGTCTTGGTCCTCGAGTGTGGTATCATCTTCCACTCTATTCGTACGTCACCTCCTGTGTGCCAAGTTTCTTTGAGATTGCAAGCTAACAAACAACCAATCAGTGATCGGAATCACGCTAGTCGTCGCTGGCGACACCTTCTTCATCACACTCTTTGTCGTCATCCTCTTCCACCAGATGTTCGAGGGTATCGCTCTGGGAACCCGTATCGCACAGCTGGGCCAGCTGTCCCCGACCGAGAAGGCCGCGAGCCCTGCCCCCATCGAAGTCGAGCAGACCTCTTCCGCCCCCAACAGCCTCAACTCCCTCAAAGCGCCCAACTTCTCTCTTGTCAAGAAGCTCCTCATCGCCACTCCGTTCGCCCTCGTTACTCCCATCGGCATGGCCATTGGTATCGGCGTTTTGCAGCAGTTCAACGGAAACGACCGTGATACAATCATCGCCATCGGAACCCTCGACGCGCTCTCCGCCGGTATCCTAGTTTGGGTTGGTGTTGTCGAGATGTGGGCCGAGGACTGGATGCACGGCGACGCGGAGCTCCTCCGCACCGGCCCTCTCGTCACTTTCCTCGCCGGTCTTGGTCTTGTTGGCGGCATGGTCATTATGAGTGTGCTCGGCAAGTGGGCTTGAGCCGCCTTGAGGAACCGAGAGGGATGAAGAGGGAGAGTAGATAATGAACAACGGCGCTGTGGTGCTTCTATAATGTGGAAATGGGAAAAGCTTTGAAATGATTGGGTCGGTCCTAGTCTAGATAGATATTATACCCTAAACGACTGTAATGATACATTGAATCTCAGTGTCGCTTCCTAGGATCTTGGCCATTTCTCCGTGTATGAGCCCTTGAAGGTAGGCTTCGCCAATGAGCACTCTATTATCGTCGTCAGGCGTCGGGCGCAAAATGTAAAACATGTTGGCGCCAGGTATCAGCCACAGGGTGTCCCCTTGGACGGCTTCGGCCGGCACGAGCCCAACAAATCCACGCTGTGTGCGTGCCAGGCGGCGGCGGTTGAGGCGTATGACTATGCCCGGGTTGAGATGCCAGTCTGCCTGGCTGAAGATTTCGACTTTTTCACCCCTAGCTTCCAGAGCCTTGCCAGACTCTATAGCGTCTCCTGTGTCTGGCTGTGTAGTAGTGTTTACGCCGACAAGATGGATCCCTGCCAAAGCGCGAAATGCCTCTATTACGGTACAATCTTCTGCCACGTATTTCTCGTGTGGGTTGCTCAACGTGAAACTTGGGTACCTCTTCGTCCGCAGTACCGTTGTTGTGTCAAACGCCTCCCAGAGTTCCATTACGACGTCAGCCTGGATAGCATGGATTTGCAGCCTGCCCCCATCGAGGATCCTCCAAGGTCTCTGGCCGACAGTTGAAAGCCCTTGGCTGGCAGATACAATCTGCTCACCTGTTGACGTATCCCTCGAAAGGATCTTTCTAGGAAGAAAACGCCAGTCGGGCACCCACGACGGCATGTCTGGCGAGACGCCATAGCGACAAATCTCCAGAACGCTGTAAGGCCAGTACCATTCGTCTTCGAGGAGGCGCTCCGCGACGACGGCGTAAAGTTGGCGAACCGGAATGGTGTAATCGACGGGGATGATGGGATCCTGTGTTGGGCTCGGGGAGTCAACCAGGTTCAAGGGTGCGTAGATACGATCTAGGGGATCTGTCGCCTGCAAGTCGCGGAATCGAAGAAGGAGGCTGATGAGGTTGAAGCGGCGAACCATAACGGCTTCGTCGTGCCTCTTCCAGTACCCTGCCACGCCACTTTCTTCATCCTTCATGTCTTGTTCCTTCTCCTTTGAACCCACAAACGAGGTGCGATTGGCTTGTGTCACCGCCGCCATGCGGGCATCACTTAAATTGAGACCATGCCTGACCTTGTTGACTTTCCAGATTGTCGCATCAATGAATGACGCATTCGCGTCCTTATTCCGCAGGTATCCTCGTAGCCTGTTCAGCACTTGAATGTATAGCCTCGCCGCGGGTGCCAGGACACTGCGGTCCATCTAGACAGTCCCAGACATAAACACCCCGAGGGCTGTGGGGGCCGAGTACTCCTGCACCGTCCATACGCGACTCCAGTAATTGGAATCAAAGACTTTGACGGCTTTCCAGATGGATTTGTAGTCCTTCACGTGGCGCGGTAGGACCTCGACGCGTCCTAGGCCGCGGGATTGGCAGTGAGAAATCGCATAGTCACCCAGATCGTGGAGGTAGGATAAGCCAACTTCCATATCGGGGCCGAGCCATGTCAGAACAAGGCCCGCTGAGATTTATATCTGGCGCATGTGCGAGACCTGGCGACTTCGCTCGGCAAGGTCTCGCTGGTTGATGGACACGGCGTTGACCCAGAGGGGAATGACCTTGGAAGATGAGGGCTTGAGGAATAGGCGGATGTTCTCGAGGGCTACGTAAAGGTTCTTTGTCGCCTGGAAGACGTGGTTGTCGACGTGGATGGAGACTGTCTGCGAGGCATCACCCCAAACGTAGGATAGGGCTGTATAATCTGCCGAGGCGATGGAGACGATCTCAGTAGTGAGGATTATGGGGGAGGAGGGCTCTACGGGATGGAGATTGATGAGGCGGATTTCGCCATCTTTGAGGGGTGTGTATGGTATTGGGGTAGTGGATGGGGATTGGGGTGGTTTGCGGCTGATGAGGTCGCTGATGCGGGAGGATTTCTTAGACTTGACGATCAGGGGTAGAGGACGAGCGTGGGGATCGAAGGTTGAGGTTGACATTGTTTTTAATAAGCCAGGGTCACTTCAAAAAGAACGATCAAGAACGCGTTGCCTGGAGTGTGACTGGCTTCATGAGCTTTGAGAATTCTAGGTGAGGAATAAAAATGATAGAAGTGCTAATGGCGTCGAGAAAGCCACCGGTTAGATTGGGTAGGTTAGGGGTAAGACCAGTTCAAAAACTTACACACCGTTCTTTTCTTCCACGACCGAGAATGAACCTGGTTGGTTTATAACTTGAGTAAAACTGAGATGAAAACATGGAAATGAAGCTTTGGAGTTGGGGGCATTTGCCCATCCAGGCAGCAGCTTTGTGGTTGATCCCTGAACGACGTGGGCAGATGTGGCGTGTGATCCAATATCGTGGCTGGTGGGCAAAGTGGCTTGCGCCTGCTCTTCTCTCTCGTGCCAAAACCAGCTTCTACATCGTCGCTTCCATCCCCCGATTCACCCGCATGCGGCCATCTTCTTCATTCCTCCTCCAAACAAACCGACGCGTCTTCTATTACATCTCGTTTCTACTCATTCATCAAGAGAACAGGACGCCAAACAAGAGGTTGACACGAGTTTAGAGAACCAACTCCTACGCGGTGCCAGTTCTATCACAAATAATAGTGTTCGCGACATGGTTTGTGCTGTGCAGAGGCATGCTGTCATCTATCCATTTATTGGACAGTGCAGTGTGACGGTCAGGCCATTACCTCGCGCTTCTGTTTCCTTCGCTCTATAAACCCGACTTCCATCCGCCTTCTGCCTCGAAAATGTCGCCAACTGCCTTCGACACGGTCAGAAGGTGGCGGTCGTGGTATCGAGGCGCAACCAACGAGACGCCCACAGGCATCCCGTTCGGGCCCTTGAAGCCTGGAATGTTGACGACGGGAACATGAAGCGCCTGGAAACTTGTCAGCGACATACTTATACGTTTGGGAGTAGTCAACCTACCGTCCAGAGGCCGTTGAAGGCTGCGCTTCCGGTGCTTGCGATACCCTCCGGTGCCTCGTCAACAACACTCGGCACGAGCACAGCATCGTACTTCTTGAGCATCTTGTCAACCTTTGGACGCGCAATCGCGATGTTATCGAACGCTTCGAGCTGCGCCGCTCTGGTGATCTTGTTGGAGTTCTCGACATGAGAGATCAAAAATTCGTTGAGCTGGTCCTTGGCCGCGCGATAGTCTGGAAGAAAAGCCGGTCTTCCATCGCTGTGCAGCACCGTCCCATGCCACGTGGGAAGATCTTGGAGGTCGGAGTCAAACTCAATCTCTTCGACCTCGGCTCCGTGCGCTTTGAGCAGCTCCACTGCCTTCGCAATGGCCGACTTCGTACCAGGCCCAGCTTGTGGCCAGACCATGGTCTTTAAAAGAGCGAATTTGGCGCCCTTGACGGCGAAGTTGGTCTTGGGAGGCTCGTCGTCCGCCAAATCGAAGACATCAGCCATCAACTGCAAGTCCTCAACGCTTCGAGCAAAGAAGCCAAGTGTGTCCAAGATTAACGAGTAGATCTTCTGGCCCTCTCGGCTGATCGAGTTCCACGTCGGCTTCAGAGCATAGATGCCGTTGAAAGACCCGGGTCGAATGGTACTTCCACCCGTCTGGGTGCCCAAACCGATCGGGGCTTGAAAGTCTGCGACGGCGGCGCCCGAGCCTGAAGAAGAACCGCCGGGTGTCCGGTTGGTATCATGCGGGTTGACCGTTTTTGGGCCTTGGACGGTCGCAGCGAACTCGGTTGTCGTCGTCTTCCCTGTAGAGAGGTTAGAATTTTCTCTCATTTTATCAGAGCATCAACATACCGAGAACCAAGGCGCCGGCCTGTCGCAAGACGATGATCGATCCAGCGTCGACCTTTGGTGCGTCCCGTGCGTATATCGGTGAGCCATGCTGGGTAGGCATATCTGCGATCAAGGTGAGTGGCATGCCAGAAGAGCATCGCCAGTAGTCCACTAACCCTTGGTGTAGATAACGTCCTTGACAGCAATCGCAACCCCATGCAGAGGGCCGCGCTTCTCTGGCGGTATCGCATCAAGCTCCTTAGCTCGTGCGATGACCTGCTCCGGGTTGATATGCTCCCATGCTTTCACGACGGGGTCTCTTTTCTCGATATGGGACAGCAGAGAGCGGGCATATTCCTCAACAGTCAAGTCTCCGGTTCGAATCTTGGCCGATGCCTGTGTCGCCGATAATCTATACGGTTCAGTCGTCATTGTGAACAGTTTGAAGCTACTCTCATAGAGCCACGTGATCCCTTTGCAGTTGGGTGACCGTATAGATCGAGTACACGATTTCAGTTCGATAGCGCAAGTAACCACAACTGGGACGAAGACGCGGGGTATGCTGGTAAATGAATGTCAGAGCGCGTCGGTCTGTGCGTGCAGACTTCCGAAACCCGGACAGAATCGGCAAAGAGCATCCGGTTTGGATACGACTAGGTGGTATATGGGCGATGACCAGAAGAGAGGTTCGATGGGGCACAATTCGGCTATTTCAAAAGGCGATGCCGGCGCCTCCAACGGGCATCGGGGCCATTGGAGCTACTCCAACAACCCCGCAGGCCGTTATCGTCCGTCCTCAGACCCACCGGCTCGTGGCGTTCCCCGCAGTCGACCACCTTCGCTTGAAATGCAGCGCGATCTCGACACGTCGGGAACTTTGCGCCGAATCGGCTGCACCCGCTTTTGCAAAGCACCGGCCTCAAGGGGTATGATAAGCCGAGGGCGGATCCACCGAAATACGCAACGAGTTGCCTTGTCTTAGTGAGAACAAACCGACGACATCGCGGTTACATGGTCCGGAAATGGTGACATGAGGGGCAGAAGCTCGTCAGGCCTGACGGCTTGAGGTATTGGGGTCTGTGCGATGCATCTAACATTACAATGGTCGAATTCCTCATCTTGGGACTACAAACGGGTTTACTCGATGACAGAACGGTCTAGGATAGCGCTACTCTCTCAACTCTTACCGAACCCCATTCAAGCTTCCATCTTCTGCGCCTTCTCCCCCAAATGCAACTCCTCGCCGCTCGTGACCTGGGGAGACGGCGGCGCATAGATCTCTCCTTCTCTCTCAGTCTCAAAGAATCCGTCTCGCCCTTCTTTAGCCAGCCACTCGTACTCCATCGGCGCGCTCTCAAACCCGGAGGGGTAAACCCTGGGCTTGAAGAACTGGATAAGAACTATATAAATGATACCCGATGAAAAGAACGTCAATGGCCAACCCATCATGTACATGTACTTGGCGGGCTGACTGACGATCTGAGGCTGGTACTGTCCGACGAGACCGGGCAAACCCATCACCGTACCCCCAATCCAGGCGAATACGCCCACCCAGTTAACACCACCTTTGAACCAGTACAGGCCATCCTTTGAGCCGTTGTACAACGAAGGCACGTGAATGTTGCCTTTGCGGGCAACGACGTAATCGGATACGATGATCTGCGAAATGTCAGTACTGGCCATAGAAACAAGGGCTCGGGGATCCTTACAGCGCAAAGCGGGGCCATGAAGATGTTGTAACTCCCCAAGAAAGACAAAAACGCAGAAGCGTTGGCGATCAGCTTCCACGGCAACACAATGATACCAAGGATGGCACAGACGATTTGGCCTCGGCGGATTGTCAAATACTTGGGGAACAAACCAGTCATGTCAGCGCCGAAAGGAAGCGAGTTCGCACCAAAGTTCGTCGCCAACACACTGAGGATGAAACAGAAAGCCACGAAGAAGACACCACAGCGGCCTGCGGGAGTCCAATAGTGGTCGAGGATGGCATTCAACATGTCCCAAAGGTTCCAGTAAGGCTTGCCCCAGGCCCCCTGGAGGGAGGTTGTCGACGCCAGCCCAAGGAAAAAGACGAGGATATTGGCAAAGAAGACACATGCCCCCTGAAGCCAACCGGCATCTTGAGGCTTCTTGCAGTAGCGCGCGAGATCAGGCTGGTTGACCAGCATGGGCGACAAAGATCCCATGATGACGTTGATGCCGCCCATGATCGCCCATCCAACGGGCGTCTTTGCGGCGGCTTCTGCTCCAGCCGCTGAGGCCGCGTTAATGTTCGAGATGCCTGTTCCGTGGGCCATGCACCAACCGAACAAACCGAAGCAGGCAAATGGCATGACGAAGCCCTTGACGGTGAAAATGTAATGGATATGAGTTGGATGTACCCAAGTCTGTAAAAGCATAAGCTCTTGGACTGATCAAGAAACCACGAGTGCACTTACAAATGGGAACTCAATCATCCAAAGAAGGAAAAAGGCTAGTAGTTGCTTCGAGGTCACGTCGGCGCCAGCGGGAAGTGCGTTGGCCCAGTTGTGCCAGCTGTTCCCAAAGATGCAACGGAAGCACACAGACAGCAGGTTTGCACCGTAGTATGTCTGGATTCCGTACCAGATGATGCAGACAATGGCTCGGATGAAGACGAAAAAGTATGAGCCGTACATTCCCATTACTGACCGCGCAAGGACGGGACTAAGAGAAGGGTTAGCGATGATGTTGACAATGTCCGCCCCAACAGCTTAACTCACTATCCAACATGGTACATGGCACCAGGTCTCGCCATACGGGTCACGATAATGGCGGAGATGAGTGCGCCCAGAATACATGAGACGAGAGCTTGTTGCCAGGTCTATTCTTGTTAGCATGGGCTTCGGAAGATGATGTCTGGAAACATACCAAGCCCACTGCAATCAGCGAAGATGCGACGTTCCACCCGGTTGTTCCAAACATGTTGGAGAACCAGTACAATGGCAAATTGTACCATGTCCATGTTCTTTGTTCTGGCGGTGTCGGTTCAAGATCTTTGTTTGACCATCTGGCGTCGCCAATTCGAGTATGTCCTTCAGGCGCTTCGGAGGCCTTGGCCCATTCCAGGAAGGTTGCCTTAGACTGGAACGGAGCCGCCATTGCGGCTTTGGTGGGCATGCGAATGCGCGCCATTTTTCTGTCGGGCCTCTTTATTCAGTGACACTTGGAAACAAACAAGCGGGTTCCTGAGCTGAACCACAAGCAACAGGCAACATCTCTCATCTTCAACCTTCGAAGCCGGTTGTCATCTTTCATATAGAAGCCTTGCGTCGTGGTGACAACTCCATTACTACCCTATCGTTTTCTCTTCACACTCATCGGCGTCTTTCCAACCGATAGCGCTGCGTCGCCACGCGAACGGCTGGGCCTACAACGGGACGATAAGGATGTCATAGCCTATGCGGAGCCGTGCTTGGTGCGTTGATGTTGGCCAGGGGGGGGTATCGTCCCGGCGCTCCACTGAGATAAGAAACTGTCCGGTCTTTGGTCTTATCTGCGTGATGGACGCCCAAGTGTCCCAAGTAGGTAATTACTACGTCGTCGGTAAGAAACTACCGACATGAACGATTGCCTCGAGATTAGAGAGGCTGGAAGTCTAGGAAGAGACCAACAGAAACAAGCAGTCTCCTTGACTCTCCCCCTCGAGCACGAGGCCCTAGCCCGAGTCAGCAGACAAGGATTCGATCGAGACGAAGCTGTTCGCTTTCGATTAAGGACATGACGACCTTAATAATACAGGCACTAGTGCCGCACATAACCATAGATCTGGGTTAACATCAGAGCCCGGGATTCCAAACCAAGAAATCATTCGCTATCTGTGGGGTTTGGGGTCAGCATTGTCACATATCCACAGCCACATGCTCGCCGCGCCTTTGGAGCCTGATGCGGAGGACCCCTGTCGGTCTATTCCTCGCCCCCATGAACTTAATCGGCTCGAAACCTTCCTGCTCTACTTTCCATTGATCACGAACAAGCGTCTCGACTCATCATACCCGTCTCAATGTCTGTACAATTTCGGATCGAGAACATGTTTGGCGACGTACCTATGAGCAAACAGGTAGCCCCCATATCGGCTTCTCACCCAGAGAGCCCCGTCAGTCCCCGCACTGGGAACCCGGCCGGAGGTCATCCGCCGAACCGCAAATCGCGAGTCGCATTGGCGTGTAAGCGTTGCAAGCGAAGGAAGCAGCGGGTATGCAGACCTGGTGGGCGCAGGCCGAGTTCTTGTTAACTGATTTTGGTAGTGCGATGGCGCCCATCCAAGTTGCAAGTCTTGCCAAAAAGCAAACTCGGAATGTATCTACGAGCGGGCATTAAGACCGCATTATCCTGGTGGGAAGTCACTGTAAGCTGGCCCGCAATATGTGTGCCACCACGTGACGCTCAGCATGCTCACACCGGGTGAAGGTATATCAGCGCGCTCGAAGAGAGAATCGCGTTTCTTGAAGCACGGATGCCAGACTATGCCGAGGACCACTTTGCAACATCCTCCGTTGCGACGCCCCCAGCACCAGAAGCGAACCCGCCCCGGCGAGAATCACAAGATTCATACTCTGAAGAGGAGCCCACGTCGTTGGTTGACGGTGTTGCCTACTTGTCCCTGTGCGCTTCTGGGACAACGGACACTGCGCCGGAGCCTTTTTACATTGGGTCCAGCTCGGGCGCCACCATTGCACGGATGATCCAGTCTTCCATCTTCCATGGAGCTGGGGGTAAGGCCCTGTCTGATGCCATGGCGGGGACACGAGCTGGTGTACTGAGCCCGCCGCAATCCCGAAACACTGCCTCAGTGTCGTCGCATCCCGATGAGCTTGTGTCAGAGTTCCCATATCCTTCAGAGTCAAAGATGCTGTTTGATGTCTTCTTTGATCGACTCCATACTCGGTGGCCCATCCTAGATCGCAAGCTTTACACAAAGCTCTTTGAGCAGCAGTACGACCAGGGAGCACTATCGATACAACACAGAAGCATCATGCACTTGGTATATGCCATCTCGGCGAGGTTTTTGCAACTTATGAAGAAGCCGTGTGACGTGGATCCACAAGTGAGTTGGGCTTCAGCTAGGGCCTTTGTGCCGCCAAACTAACATACGCAGCAACACCTTATGGCTGCCATTGAACCAATGGACTATATACTTGAGCAGCACAACCTCGCAACAGTTCAGTTCCTCCTCCTGTTGGCAGTTCATGGCACACGGAGTCCATACGGCGCCGGAGCCTGGTCTCAGGTGCGATACGCTGTGACGCTCTGCATCGAGTTGGGCCTCCATAGGAAGCAAACCACTGCATCATCCCACAGTTCCCGGGATCTGGAGATTCGGAGACGATCTTTCTGGTCGTGTTATTGTCTGGACCGCATGACCAGCGTGGTCCTTGGACGGACCTTTGCAATAGCTGACAGAGACATCAATGTAGATGTGAGTTCCCTGACAGTTAATAAGTGAAAAGGATTACGAGTCTGATAGAACCTTGCAGCTTCCAAGCGACAGTACCGAGTTCTGGGACCTGACTGCCCTTGGATCACCACCACCAGGCCAGAAGTCCGTGTGGTCGAATGTAGAGCCTTTCATTCACATCGTCAAGTTGCGGAGAATCCAATCAAGAATCCACCGGCGCGTATACCGTGTCGACAAGGACGTATTTGCAAGCGTGCCAGAGGAGAGAGCCAAGCTCGATGCAAAGATGGCCGCCATCCGAGCCGAGCTTGATGAGTGGGCCAACACTATTCCACACCCGCCAAAAGACGCCACCACCATTACTTGGATGTACGATCCAGAGAGCGCCTATCATGACTCAAGAGACTTCTTTAACTTGTAAGTGGAAAGAATTGCGCAAAGGTCGCAAAGATGCCGGCGTGTACTAACCAGAAGATCAGACAGTATCATAAATCAGTGCTGTCACTATTCACTGTCCTTCTTCCAACGCTTAGCACATCAGACACAAGATTCGTCACGACTGCCCGGTCCGCCGCGTGCGTGTGTACGGCATACAAGCGGTTGAACCAGCAAAAGACGCTGAGCTATACCATGACTGCGCTGCACTCATGCTTCATAGCGGGCTTGACCCTGGTGTACTGCCTATGGAGGGATCGGTCCCTCTTTTCCTACGATGCACTAGAGGCGACCCGGGCATGTTCTCAGTCTCTCACCATCTTTGGCGAGAAGTGGCCTGGCGCCGTCAAGTACCGCGACATCTTCGATGCCCTCTCCGGGAGTCTGTTCAAGACCATTGTCAATCCGCGGCCAGAGGCAAATCCGGGGCCGAAGCCACTCAAGGTCGACTTTGCCGCGGAGCCGGTTGGTTCTCCCACGGCCCCGATAACCTCATCGGAAAACGGGCCCCACCGGCGCGACAGCGGAGCCGAAGAGCGGTCCGCTGTGGGTAACGCCGTCTCCGACGCCGTCAAGGAGGCGTTCATGGAGGTTGACGACGAGGCGCCCGGTGGATGGCAGGGTTGGAGGATGTTCAACGAGATGGTCCAAAGCGACCTTGCTCCAAAACCACCGCCGGGCGTCAAGCGGCCTGACCCGAGACCACAGGCAGGCAGTTGGGATGTGCTTGCGCAGGATCCTGAGTTCACACACGATTTGAACCAGGGCGGTGTTTCCGACGTGATGGATTCGGACTGGGACTTTGGCGGGCTGGAGGGGTTGCGGTGAGCTGGGTTGTCCCACTGGTAAGGAGGGCAGGCTGGGTTGAGTTGGATCAATGTATACGTGCTTACGCTCGGGCTTGCGTGAGTGCAGCCCTTTCGTCGTGGTGTCTCCGTGGCGCCGCTGTGGCTTCTCCTTCTTCACCTCGATAGTTCATTAAGCAGCCCAACACAACGATGCGCCAGAAGTCTAGTTAAAAGCCTTTACAAGTATGAGGATCCAGATGTGCGAAAAGTGTATATCCGTTATCACTGGTTTCTGCAGAGCTTGGTGGACGTGTGAGAGCTACCTGGTGATTTTTTTGTAATCTGTAACCACTTAGGTCGAGTAGGCCAATCGGTTAGAGCATGGATTACAAGTGTTTCACCTGAAATGTTGCGTATCGTCAAGGTCGGGAGATTAAGCATCCCACTGACCGTGCCTTTTGATACTTCAACACGACGGATAAATGGACGTGATGGATGAAGATGCATGTACCAGTCGAGCTTGTTTTCATTCATGAACAAGGAACGAGAGGAAAAAGGATTGACGCTCAACAAGGACTATCATTGGCAAACCCCAAAACGTACAAAAATCACCGCCACGGCTCGCTTCACGCCAACTGTCCCTTCTTATACGGATACTTGGCCTTGAACGCCTCGGCAATCTCCGTCCTCGTCGCGACCCAGACGCCCTCCTTCTTGGCAATGTAGTCCACAAAGTCCCGCAGCGCGGCCAGACGGCCAGGCCGGCCGACGATGCGACAGTGCAGTCCAATGGTCATCATCTTGGGCATGCCCTCCTGGCCCTCCTCGTACAGCACATCGAAGGCATTCTTGAGGTGCGTGTAGAAGCCCATGGGGTCGCGGAAGCCGGAGCCGGCGGTGTGGAACTTGAAGTCGTTGCAGTCGTAGCTGTACGGGACCATCAGGCAGCCCTTGGGGTCGGCCTTTTCGCGCTCGAGGGGCAGGTCAATCCAGTACGGCACGTCGTCGGCGTAAGTGTCGCTCGCCCAGACGAGGTCCTCGCCCATCTCCTCGTAGACCTGCGGCACTAGCGTGCGCGAGTGCGGCGAGTTGCGGCCGTAGTACCACCCGCGTGGCGCGTAGCCCGTCAGCGACTTGAGCGACGTGATGCACTTGCGGATGTACTCTTTCTCCTGCTCGATGGGGACGTCGTGGTAGTCGATCCAGCGGTAGGCGTGGGACGCGACGTCGTGGCCCTCCTCGACGCACCGCGCCGCGACCTCGGGCTGCTCCTCGACGGCCTGCGCGACGGCGTAGAGTGTGAACTTCATCTTGCGCGTGTTGAAGAGGCGGAAGAGGCGCCAGAAGCCCGCACGCGAGCCGTACTCGTACTCGGACTCGACGCTGTAGTTGCGCTCGTTGTACTTGGGCGGGCCCAAGGGGTTCTCGCGCAGATTGGTCTCGGAGACGCCGTCGCCGGCCAGAACGGAGCGCTCGCCACCCTGTTGTCAACGCAAGTCAGTAACACGCTCGCGATGGGAAAGGTGAGGGGCGAGGGACAGAGACGCACCTCTTCATAGTTGATGACGAAGGAGACCGCAATTTTGGCGTCGTTTGGCCAGGGACAGGCGATGCCCTTCTCGCCGTAACCCTTAAAGTCGCGGGGGTAGCCGTAGTCCGGGTGGGAGTGGTACGCTTCAGGCATGGTGACGACTATTCTCTCTCAATGTGTCTCTGAGTGTCAATTGGTAAAAGTTTAATAATGAAGAATATTCTGAAGGAGGCCAACGGTGAGGATTTGGATGAACAATAGAATTGGCTCCTAGACTAAGCGCGTATGAGAATCATCTGGCCGACCTACAAATAGGCCCCGAGCAGCCAGACATCGGCCTATCTCAGCCGGGGAATCGCCCGTCGGACGACGCAACCCGCACCGCGGCGCGCATTATCACGACTATCTGCAATGATTGCGCGGGGCCTCAAGCTGTGTGTCTCCAACCCCGGAGCCCCGCCATAGCTCCGTTATCACCAGCACCTCGTTGCAGATTGCAGCGCGTTATCGAATGACACGCATTCCCGGGTTCTGTCCAGCCTCCCTTACTCGTGCAGGAACGATCGCAAGCTGTTGGAGGCGCCGGCCAGGGGAAGAGGGGAGGGCTGCGCGTCGGCTCAAACGAACCGTTGGAGCATCTGGAGGTTTGCCCCTCCCAGGGATGTTGATAAGCCGCGGGGTCGATGGTGTCGTTGGAGGTGGGGTTAACAGCGGCCATGGATAACGTCGCGCGATGGGGAGCCAATGATAACGAAAGCCAAGTCTCGGCGCGCGATGCGGGTTGATGTAATGTTACGCCCAGGGCTGGATTGGGAGACGAGGAACGATTGAGTTGCGGGACGAGAGGGAGCTGTGCAAGTTCCGTCATCCGCGATAAACCCTTTTGTTTACCTTGAAAACAAATGATTGTCAGAATGTAGACTAAATGAACCTCCAACGTAGGGCCAGTGATTTTTGTTTAGTGAAACAAGCTTCTTTGCTCATTGTCTGAATCTGTAAACTTGTCTAAATGCGACCGATGCTGTAACCCGCTGATGCTCCGTCCCAATGCTCATTGTCGTGCTTGCTCGATTGAAGAGACAATGTCTCTAACTTTTCTTGTCGCCCTTCTCATTTTCGGTCCTTGGAGGCTCCGCCTGTGATTCGTTCGGAACCTCCGCCGCCTCCTCGGCCTGCGCCGGCTTCTTCGCCTTTAGACTGGTGTTGCCCACCCCGAGCGTCAACACCAAGCTGAGGCCAGAGCAGACAACGTAGTAGATGAAAATGTAATGCAAGCCCTTCATGTATGCCTTGAGAATAACCGTCTGCTCCTCCTCAGTGAAGCCTTTCTCGCCCAGTGTGTACGTGGAAGACGTGAGTTCCGCGATCAAGCTGTCCGAGATGAAGTCTTTGCCGTGGAGGTCCCGTTTCAGGGTATTCGAGAGGATGACGCCGGAAATGACGAGCCCGAACGCACCTCCTATGGTACGGATGAAGTTCCGCAGCCCGGTGGTCACGGCGCGGTCCTCGCTTCGAGAATTGGCATACATGCCTACCAACGTCGGCTGCAGGGTGAGACCGATGCCCGCGCCGACAATGATGAGAATCCCAATGAGCTCGCCGAGTCCGGTGTCGCGGTCGAACAAAATTGTGAGCCCGTTGCCCAGAGTCCACAGGAAAAAACCTACGAAAATGCAGGGCATATACAGCCCGAGTCGAAGCATGTACTGACCAGAGAGAATGGACAGCGCCGACGTCGTGATGATGACAGGTAGAATCATCGCACCGGCGGCGAGAGGCGAGAACTTGAGGATCGACTGGAAGTATATCGGCAGGTAAAAGAGATTGCCAAAGTATGCCTGGCCCATCAGGAACGTTTGGCCAAAGAGGTAGCTGCAATGCGGTGCTTGGTACAAGCGTAGAGGCATGATGGGAAGCTTTGGAACCTTCCATTCGTACAAGACAAAGAGCACAGCCAGAACGGCACCAACAGTTACGGCTGCGATCACGAAAGGCGAAAACCATGGGTAGGACACACCGCCGCCGGAGAGCGGGACCAAGACCAGCAGAGTCGAGGCCATGTTCAGTGCGATGCCGCCGTAGTCAATCTTCTTGACCTTCTCCGCGTAGTTGCCAGACTGGTGTTTGAGCGGCAGGCAAAAGAGGATGGTGACGGCTGCCGGGGCGCTGATGATTGGGACCATCCAGAAAACCCATCTCCAGGTTGACTCTTGCACGACTGCGCCTCCGACGAAGGGGCCGACTCCGTTTGCGAGAGCGAGAACAGCACCAAGCACACCTGAGTACATGTAAGCACTACGCATCTTACGGCAGGCAAGACTCTGGCTCACCTTGGTATTTTCCTCGATTCTCCAACGTCGTGATATCACTAACGATGATCATGACAATGCTGTTGATGCCACCGCCTCCAATACCCGCAATGGCCCGAAACGCAAAAAGCTGCTCCTTCGTCTTTGAGAATCCGCAGAGAATGTCGCCGACAGCCATCAACAACAGACAAATCATGAGCAGGTTCTTGCGGCCAAAAATGTCGGAGAGTCGTCCGTTGATGAGCTGGAAAGCGGTTGACGCGATGAGAAACGACGTCCCGATCCATGATGTCGCCGTGCCGGTGTCGAGGTCACCCGCTATCGCCGGCACTGCTGTCGAAACGCTGGTTTGATCGATGAAGGACACAAAGAGGCAAACAGACAATGCAGAGAAGGCTAGCAGCATGCGCTTTCGCGACATGGTATTCCTCTGTCCGCCAACACTCTCCACATCGCTGTCGTCTTTTGGTTGCGGTCGTTCGGCCGGGGATGCCAACGTGGTCGCCTCATTGTCGCTCGATGTTGATTCTGTGCAAAGCACCTGTTGCGCTGGTTGCGCGGTGGTGTTGTCGCCGGTGATTGGCGCATCTTCCTTCATCTTGACAGCATGCTCCTCGAGTCACTTGGGTACGGGAGAGCATCGTCAGTGAAGCAGCCCCAAGAAAAGTCGACAAGTCGAGGCCCCATCTAGAACCATCATGCAGGGCTTCGGTGCCGAACCGCCGGCTATGATTTCCCGGGGTATCTTGGGTACTGCCCAACAGTTTGCACCCGCAACTGCTTACAGCAATCCATTGCGTCAACGCCTGTTGGGCCATTCGCCGGGAATAACTGAAAGGCTTCCGACGCGGGCGATCCACACTGGCTATATCGGCATTGGGGTAGGAAGAAGATTGGTGGTCGCCGTCGCCGATCCCATGTCCGACTTTCTTTGTCGGCAAGTTTTGTGCCGACGCGCATCCACATTATTCATGCTGTTTGGTTTCTGGAAATGTGTCGAGTCAAGGGGCGCCCGGGGTCGCGCCGGGTATTAGTGGGGTGCCACGAGGGTCATCTCAGTGTAGTTTTCTCTTGTCTTGACAGTGGCCTCTACTAGATTGTATTAAAGGGACGGGAGTTGTAGACAACATTCGAGATTTCCGTGGAGAACCGTCATCGGCGGCGTCGCGGGAAACATCGGCATGTGTGGCCACAAGAAAGGCCGGTATCATGCGCGCTAGTGATGCTGCACCGATGGCGGAATAACGCCGCGTGATGATTTAGACCCTACTGCTGCATCTACTTTATCTCGACCTGTCGTGGCTTTCCCTCGTGAACCAAGTGCTGCAAATCTTCAATTGGCCGCCATCATGTCGAAGCTTTTCTCGCCCTTGACTGTCGGGTCGCTTCAGCTCTCCAACCGGCTGGCGTTGGCCCCGTTGACGCGGTACCGCGCCGATGATGAATGGACGCCGACTCCCATGATGGAGGGTGAGCCTAAATCATTAAATGCAACCTCTGCGGTTTATGACCTGACGGTTGATGACAGAGTACTATGCGCAGAGAGGCTGCGTACCGGGCACCCTGCTCATATCCGAAGGAACCCTGATCTCGTACCGCACTGCAGGCCGCAAAAACGTGCCCGGCATCTGGGATGAAGCCCATATCGCTGGCTGGAAGAAAGTGACGGATGCGGTTCACGAGAAAGGCTCCTTCATCTACTGCCAACTGTGGCATCTTGGCCGTGGTGGCAAGGCCGACATTCTCGAGTCGCTTGGCTTGAGACTCGAGTCCTCGAGCGCGGTGCCCATCGCAGACGACACACCCACGCCGGTAGAGTTACGCGAGGCCGACATTTTGGACATCATCCAAGACTACGCAGCAGCTGCACGCAACGCCATCGAGGCCGGCTTTGACGGCGTGGAGATCCACGGTGCCAACGGTTATCTCCCGGATCAGTTCCTCCAGGATACCTGCAACAAGCGTACCGATGCTTGGGGCGGTAGCATTGAGAAGCGAGCGCGGTTCCACCTCGAGGTGACCAAGGCCGTCATCAACGCTGTCGGGGCTCACAGAACGGCTGTCCGTCTAAGTCCATACAGTGACTTCCAAGGAATGCTCATGGATGACCCGGATCCCACCTTTAGATATTTGACCGAGCAATTGAAGCCGCTAGGCCTGGCCTACCTCCACCTCATTGAGGCCCGCATCAGTGGCAACGACGACACGGACTGCGGCGGCCAGCGGACAGTGAGCTGGCTGGTCGAGCTGTGGAACAACACAAGCCCGGTCTTGCTCGCGGGCGGCTTGACGGCCGAGTCGGCAAGGAAAGCCGTCGAGGATACGTACAAAAAGTACGACGTGGCTACCGTTTTCGGCCGGTACTTCATCTCGAATCCAGATCTCGTCTTCCGAATTAAGGAGGGCATCGAGTTGGAAAAGTATGAGCGAACGTACTTCTACACGCCAAAGCTGCCAACTGGGTATATCGACTACCCGTTCTCGCCCCAGTTTCAGTCGGTGCCGGTCATTTCGTAGCATTCCCTTGAGAAAGGCAAAATCAGGACTTTTGGGGTGAATAGTAGAAACAGGGTATCTTCGCCTAGATAATAAAATGTCATAAAACAGATACACGTCATTGGATTCTGTTATTCAAACGCGGTCGTGGACATTGCCTTGTTGCCGTCCATTGTACAATATGCCCTCCCCTTCTGATACTGCTTCTGGATATAGGGCGTTTCAGGAGAATCTTCATGGCGAGTAGGCCGCTTACGCGTGTGCAAAAGGGATGCAATGACCCAGTATCCATCGCTCACTCTTCACTGACAGTGCCTAGGTGTTGCTGGGAGCCGAGCTTGCGTGATGGTCGCTGGAGAAGACTTCTGCTAGAGCGGTGCTTCAAGCCATCGCCGCCGCCAAGCCCCGCACCCTCACTCCTTGTAGGCCGCAGTTCGAAAGAGCTGGCGACTCTCCTGATTTTATCTTTGAGCATCCGCAACGAGCCTCGTTTGGAGAGGACCCCAGCTCGCACAGGAGTATCTGATGGAGTCGCCGCGACATGGACTGATTTGCTACGGACGTGACTGGGCTGTCGATGCGTGGAGCCCATCTCTGAATCAATTGGTTTTGAAGAAATGGCAGCTACAGACGCGACTCGACGGACTGGCTTTCGGGAGTAGAAGATGCTGAGGCTTGATCGGGGCCGTGGAGGCTGCGATTTTGGTGATGGACATGTCGGTCTCGAGCTCACAGTTGGACCCGGTGTTGGAACTGATTGCCGCTGCGCAGCCCGCATTAGGAGGTCTGGCTGACTTAATGCATGCTGGCCGGAGTATCTCTGAGACGGCACATAAGGTTTCGCGGATGTGTTCCTGGCTATGGGACCGCCAAGCGTAGCCCTGCGACCTACAGGTGTTGACGTCGCACGTTGCTGTGGCCCTGGTATCGTTGCGCTGGCGGATTGCGTACAATTGTATGTCCGTTGCCGTTCAGGACCCGTGGGACGCCTGAACTCGGGTTGTGATGGTGACAGTGGTTCTTCGCCGATCTCGACCGCAGCGGGTATGTCTTCCACCTCGAACCGCCTCCCCGGGCGCCGCTTTGCACGCAGTTTCTTGAGATACTCTTCGGAGCTGACATCCCGGAACGACATTTCGGCCGCGGCTCGTTCGGCTCGACGCTTCGCTTGTCGGTTGAGGTGCGCGACCTCTTCTGGTGATAGAGCCATTTCTGTCACTGGATAACAAGGTCTCGAGATGATGGCTCGAAGCCGGATCGACGGACGGAACGTGCTGATTGTTTCGCGAGGTCTTACTGCAGATAGTCCTGAGGGCAAAAACTTCGGTTGGGTTGAAAGGCTTTGCGCCTCGACTCGTTCGAATTCGTCACGAACACCCAGGGAAGCTCACGAAGTGTTACAGTTCTCCTGCGCGACCTTCTATATCATGGCCGTCAACTCGTGGCTGGGCGACTCTTCTGCCCCGCTAGTGGAATCTTTTGAGCGCGACGCAATGTCTCGGTTCGAGGTATGCAAGTTGGAGGGGTGGCCGGCAGTTCACCCCGCCTAGATACACAGGAATGCGGACTGTCGTAACCGTCGACCGTTTCCGTCGCTGTGCCGGAGGAAAATGGTTGGTGAATCGTCGTCGAGGAATTCAGAGTCTGTAGGAGAAGGCTGGGGTGCAGAGTCGTGATGCTGGGGTAGCCCCGAGCAAGCCGCACCAATCGAAATGGTGTAGCCAGCAGCTCAAAAATGCACAAATCGGTTTGCCATGTCGATGCAGCCGTTTTCGCGAACGGGAGGGTTCGTGCGGATATTGAGTTGCTTCCAAACGGGGTTCTCGCCTGCTGGGAGCTGTGTCCGAGGCAACGTAGAAGAAAACAGCTTGTCGAGGATGGATGCTCCTGTTCAATGAAGAGGGAGCTTGGGGCAGAATGGCGATGGCGGGTAGTGGGGCTTCCACCGCTTGGCTGCATATTTCGCATACTCGGGTAAAAAGCATGGTGCACTCGATAGAACGATTGGGTCAGGACATAAACGTTATCATGTCTTTTTGCATTTCATTGGCATGCCTTTCTATCCGTACCGAGTCCGAGGTCATTATGCATAATTGTACATTGTCATCAAGTCATTCGCCGGCAACTTTTGGTCCTCCGCGTCGAAAACATTCATCCTCTTACAACTTGGCCGCGTCCTTGGGGTTCTTGATCTCGACAATCAGCTTGCCCGTGTTGATGCCCTTGTACAGGTCAACGAGGGCCTGCTCCGCCGCCTTGAGGCCGCCCTTGATGATCGTCTCCTTGCGCTTGATCTTGCCCTCCTCGAGCCATTGCGCAAGCTCCTTGCGGGCCTGGGCGTACTCGGTGGCGTAATCGAAGACGATGAAGCCCTGCATCTTGATGCGCATCGTAATGATGTTGGCGTAATTCTATAGAGTGTTAGTCTCTGGCTACCGGGAGCTTGATGACGGGGGGGGGACACGGCCTACCTTGGGGCCTTGCGGAGTGGCAGAGTTGTACTGGCTGATGCCACCGCACATGACGAAGCGGGAGAACTCCTTGGCGCGGGCGAGGGCCATGTCCAAGATCTCACCACCGACGTTGTCAAAGTAGACGTTGATGAAGTCGGGCGTAGCCTCCTTGAACTTCTGCTTGAACTCAGGGTCCTTGTAGTTGAGGGCGACGTCGAAGCCGAGCTCCTCCGTCAACCAGCGGCACTTGTCGTCGGAACCAGCGAGGCCGACGACGCGGGCGCCCTTGAGCTTGGCGATCTGGCCGGCGACGCTGCCGGTGGCACCGGCGGCGCCAGAAACCACGACGGTTTCGCCGGGCTTGGGGTCGCCGACGCGGAGCATGCCGAAGTAGGCCGTCAGGGCGGTCATGCCGATGCCGGAGAGGTAGTCGACCGGCTGGGACACGGCGGGGAAGGAGGAGACGGGCTCGACGCGGCTGTCGTGAACGACGCTGTACTCGGACCAGCCGCCAAAGGTAGGGAGGACATCGCCCTCCTTGGCCTTGGGGGACTTGGAGGCAATGACACGGCCGACGGTGGCGCCGCGCATGACTTCGCCGATCTGGACGGGGGGGATGTAGGAGCGGCGGTCTTGGGGTACGTTAGCAACCGTCGAGGAGCATCCGGAGTGCAAGAGGCGTAGACGTACCGTTCAACCAGCCACGCATGGCGGGGTCCAGAGAAAGGTACCAGTTCTCGACGAGGATCTCGCCATCCTTGAGGTCCTCGGCCTTGGGAATAGGCTTCTGCTCCGTCTTGAAGGTCTGGCCAGGGATGATCTCAGCCGTGGGACGCTCAGCGAGCACGACGGAGAGGTTCTGCTGCGACATTTCGGCTGGTATGTGAGGGGTATTAAGAAAATATGTAGGAGTCACAGAGAGGGGTTTTGAGAGATGTACAGAACAACACGGGATTCGAGACAGCTCTTGAAAAATAAAGCCTCCCAACTTCAGCTTTGGAAGGGGAGCCGAGGGGTATTAGTAGTCGGTCAAACTCTGGAACCAGAGGCACATTCAGGACTCTACGCCAACGCCGTTTCTCTCGTCGTACGGACGGACTAGTTTACCCCTCCGAGCCTCATCACCGTGAGCCGTCGTGCACCACAATTTTTCACTCCTCAACCCTTTTTTTACCTTTGGCTCATGTCATGACTTCATGCCCCGCGCCGGAGCAGGATGACCAAGAGGGACATTGGCCCGCACGAGCTCCGAGACTCGACGAACGATCGAGGAATGTTCTCCGGCGCACGGGGCACAGACTAGTAGGGATGACGCCTGGAGGTGTCTTTGCCGTGTCAAGACACACAGACAATGTGGAAGAAGGTTTTCCATCATAGTACATACCTGCCTAGTAGCTTTCTCTGGTGGGATGCAGGAGCGGCCACAATTCGTAGCGGCCGATTTCCCCGGAGAGACCGCCCGAGTAGGTAGCATGGAGTCGGACATATTTCACTAGGGTGACCTGTACGCAAGGAGGGGCTGGGGCTCGGGCTGGGATGCCTGCACACGCAACAGTCGTACTCGTACATAGTACACGCCCTGGGTCGCACCGAGGTCCAGGAACTGACTGGCTGACGGGTTGGCTGATAGCAAAAACACAGTACCTAAGTATGAACTACCTAGACTAGGAACAGTAGGTATGTAGGTATGTAAGTGCGTCCATGCCAGGAGCGGGTTGCTGCGTCTCGTCTCGCTCCCGTGGTGGGGGTGATTAATCATTCATGACGCCATGCCGAGGTATGAGGGACGCGGAGTCGACGCGACACCGATGTTTGCTTTCTCAGCCTGGGTGGGCTTTCTGTCAGTCTGCGACGCTTCGCTGCTGTCAACCTCAACTCTCTCCAGAACCCAGCGCCGGCATTGGCAGCTCCCAAGGGACCCTGATCGTCTGGAAGCGAAGCGAAGCGACAGGCGGGAACGATGGACGGACGCCGGGGACGGAGACAGCTGCTAGGGGTCTTGACCGTTGAGCTTTCGCCGTTCCACGTTCCATTCGGAAGGGGAAAAAAAGGAGGGTCGCAGTGGGCTCGAGGCGAGTTAGCGGCGGGTCATGGATGTGCAATGCCGCTCCCAGGTCAGGATTAGAAACGCCTTCGTGAAACTCGAGGCTCCAGAGATAGTCGGGCTTAGCAATCCGCGGGTGCGTAAGACCCGGGCCTGGCCTGGCTGCTGCGACTAATCATCGCCTATCGAGGGGCTTGCAGCATGCGTGTGCGACCCGAGGCACCACACATACCGTACCATACCTAGTGCTATGTAGGTATGTAGTGTACTATATACGTACCAGAGTAGAATAAAAATGGAGCTTTGATGTTCCCCCGATTGGACGCCATCCGCCGCCGCCGCCGCTCCCCTCTCCATGCCGTGCCGAGGCAAGTCGCCAGCCACGTCGCTTAGGGGGCTTGGGGGGTAGATTCGGCGAGTTTGACGTTCCGATTTTAATTTTTGCGTTTTTTTCTTTTTCGGGAGCCTTCACCGACGGCCAAAGCTCCCAATCCGGTCCCGTCCGGACCTGCAGTTCGGCCGGCCGGCTTCCCTTCGCTCTTTTCCATGCATTTCCAGATCGGTCAAATATGCAGTTGGGTCAGCATGACATTGCTAAACTAGGTAAGCTCCAGGCTAAACGAGTACATACCGCATCACTCCAGCCCGAGCTACAGCTGGCTCACCGAGAGCCTACCTCCGGCTCACCGACAACTAACCGAGGACGGCTGCATCTGCATCGTGTCCCTATCATAGCACAAAGGCAGCAGACCCGCCGTGGTATTCTCCTTGAAGCACAAGAAAGAAAACTCCATCAAATGAAAGCCACGGTGAAAACAACAAGGCCCATGTACCAGTTTTGGGGTGAAACTGGTACTACCGCCCTCCCATCGACTCTTTCACCAAAGCGGTCCGTCGAAAAAGCAACCAGCTTATTCAAACTGTGCTGGTCACCAAGAACTTCTCCATGAATTGCTACTAAAACGTTTGGAGGTTTACTGTTGCCTCTCTTTCCCCAACTGTGAAATCAGTCATAACCTGGTTGTCTATGTATATTTCACCTCTTATATCGGCAACCCCTCTATATGGATGACTAGCTCGTAAAGCATTGCAAGGACGTTGACCAGAAGGTAGAACACAGCGAATTGTATGAACAAAGATAACCGTTTCCGTCGGAACCGGTAAGCCGTACTCGACGTTAGGGAGTCTTTTTGATCTGAAAGAAAGACTGGAGAGGATTGTTCCACGAGATGATCAATTATCAAAGTAGGAGCCCAAAACTGCTGATCTTCATCTATGAGTGATAAACAGGAACTGAAAATCATTTGTATGGAATCGTCTGTACATCTATCCAATGATGCTGGTATTATACTCTTTCGCATTGCTTCCTCCCATATAGACTTGAAACCTCCTCATGCATGACTCTTCCACCCTCGTTCCGTCAACCCTTCTGTAATGGTTTATTGAGCTTTACCCTTCCCAAGGGTAGCCTTGATCTCAGCCACAACCGCGGCGGTCACCTCTTTCGTCGTCGCCTTGCCGCCGAGGTCGGCCGTGACGATGCCCTTGCCTGTGACGTTCTCGACGCACTCCATGAGCTGCGTAGCGGCCTCCTTCTCGCCGAGCCACTCGAGCATCTCGGCGGCGGTCCAGAAGGTCGCGACGGGGTTGGCGACACCCTTGCCGGTGATGTCGAAGGCGGAGCCGTGGATGGGCTCGAACATGGACGGGTTCGTGCGGGTAGGGTCCAGGTTGCTAGTTGGGGCGATGCCAATGGACCCGGCAAGAGCGGCAGCCAGGTCGGACAGAATGTCGGCGTGCTGGGCTACTTTTCAGCGGTTGCGTCAGGGCATTCCGGAGAAGACTGCACTTACCAGGTTAGTGGCGACGATGGTGTCCAAGCTCTTGGGGTTGAGGACCATCCTCGTGGTCATGGCGTCAACCAGCATCTTGTCGAGGGAGACGTCAGGGAAGTCCTTGGCAACCTCGTAGACGACCTCGTCCCAGAGAACCATGCCGTTGCGCTGAGCATTGCTCTTGGTGACAAATGTGAGGAGCTTGCGGGGACGGCTGCGGGCAGTCTCAAAAGCGAAGCGGATCAGGCGCTCAACGCCGTGGCGAGTGAAAATGGAAACCTCGGTGGCAGTCTCCCAAGGGAATCCGCGGTGAGAACGGCCACCCTGGCCGGCATACTCGCCTTCGCTGTTCTCACGGATGATGACCCAATCCAAATCGCCCTCGGCACAGTTGCGGAGGGGAGACTGGGTGCCACGGAGGACGCGGGTGGGGCGAACGTTGGCGTACTGCTGGAAGGGCTGGCAGATTGCCAATCGCAGACCCCAGAGGGAGATGTGGTCGGGAACGTCTGTGTTTTGTTAGTATCACACATTGGGTTAAAGTGATTGTAGAGTGACATACCTGGAGCACCGACGGCGCCAAAGAGGATGGCGTCGTGCTTCTTGAGCTGCTCAAGACCGCCGTCCGGGATGTACTTGCCCGTCTTCTTGTATGTCTCAGAGCTCCAGTCATAGTCGGTGAAATTGAGGTCAAATGTACCAAGGGTGTCGGAGAGAGCCTTGAGGACCTCAACACCAGCCTCGACGACCTCCGGGCCGATGCCATCAGCCCCCATGGAGGCGATGCTGTAGGAATTTTGAGCGGGTAGTGCGCTGGGCGACATTTTGTTGGGTACTGGGGTGGTTCGAGGTTGAGTGGATGTCTCAAGGTGACTTGCGAGGAGATGATGGGTTGAAGCGGGGAGGAGTGTCTTTCTTCTCAAAGGCTAAGATGGAGATTACAGGGTATATGAAATCGCAGTGAAGTTGTTGTCTTTTGTAATCGTCTGACGCTCGCCGACAACGGCTAGATCTCCGTCTTCAGCGCGGACCATCTCCGGGTATGGGCCGCACATATCGGGAGTTCGTGGTTTGGGGTTTGGTGGTGGAGGCGGCGATCTGGGGTCCGGGGGCGGTGTTGACTTTGTCCGCTTGTTAAGATACGTCCGCGGACAAAGTCAACTCCACCGCATCACCTGGAGGCCATGGGCTATGTCCACAACTATACCAACGAATAATGAGTCATCTATGCAGCAATTTTGGATCCCCCATCTAGTTCAAAAAAGGTTTTGACGTGTCTTGCTCGCGTTTGTAGAGATATGAACACATGTTTCCCGCCTCGAGTAGTGCTGGAGGCTGCGGGCTCGGACTTTTGAAGTTGGTTTCTCCATTCCTCCAAACAGAAGTGGTGAAGAGGTTGGACCTCTCATGCTCTCAATATGATCGACACTTCAGCTTTGGATGCTGTGATACAACAAGTCCTGCCATTTATTAGGTCGTTTAGAGAGGAGTCTCCAAGGCCATTCATTCTGGGTCTTTCGGGCCTTCAGGGAAGTGGCAAGTCAACTTGGGCTACGGCTCTCACAGACGCACTCAACACGCAATACGGCATCAACACAAGGACGCTGTCACTTGACGATCTCTACCGTGACCATGAGAAGCTGGTAGAGTTACGGGAATCCAATCCAGGAAACGGTCTCCTCCGTACCCGCGGGCAGCCCGGTACACACGACGAGGACTTGGCCCGCCGTTTCTTCGATGACGTTTTCGACAAAATTTTAGCAGAGGCTAGTTCCGGATCTATCAAATGGCCCGCATTCGATAAGAGTCTGTTCAGTGGTGAGGGTGGCAGGGTTCCTGTGGAGGAGTGGGAAAAGGTACCCCGGAGCCCACCTTTGGAGGTTCTCATCTTTGAAGGGTGGTGTCTAGGATTTCAGCCTCTTTCGGATCTTGCAGTCGAGGACAAATGGAGGAAAGCAAAGGAGCATATCACTATTAACAACTCCAAGGATACTCAACTTTCCACAACGACGTTGGCAGCCCATCAACTGGACCATCTTCTCCTCATCAATAAAAATCTGCAGAGGTATTGCGAAACCTTCATGGGCCCCTGGCGCTTCGACGCATTCCTTCACCTCAGCACAGACAATTTAGTCAACGTCTACCACTGGCGTCTGGATCAGGAGAGAGCAATGCGGGAGAAGAAACGTGCGGGTATGACAGATGCGGAGGTTGTACGATTTGTTCAGGGCTACATGCCCGCTTACGAGTTGTACCTAGAAAGGCTAACGCATGAGTCCTTTTTCCCGGAACAAGATGGCTGGAAGAAATGTCATGTTCGCGTCATTCTAGACTCTAATCGAAAAGTTCTAAGCGTCTGTGAGGCGTAGTAGGCAATTGCAAGTCATCAATCGTTTCGCTTTGCATCCCAGGTGTAAGAACTGCATCATCCTATTGGTTGTAGCAATGAGCTGGATACGGAACCATTCAACAAATCATGGACGATTTGACAGACTGTCATTGTTTCTAGCTGAGCTTCCAATGCCTCCAGGTGCTTCTTACCTCGAACATCACGGATACCTTCGCACCGAGAATATACAAAGGCCAACGTACAAGCGTCAGGTAATCGAGGTTTCAGGTATCCGGGGTAAGTCAGTCCCATGTCTCTGGGCCCGGCATGCCCCCACAGACCCGTAAGAAAGGAACAGTCTACGCGGAGGCCCCGTCAAATAGCCTCAGCCGTACCAATGCAGACGAACTTATGCCTCTAGTGCGTGACCTTCCCCTCCTCAATAGAGATAACCAGGGCACGAGAACCTAGCAAACCATACTATTCCCCCGCGTCCCCCGCAATCATACCCCAAGTACCCCGGTAGTTCCTTTGTCCGCTGGGGCTAGTCTGGGTCCGGGGAAGTTGGGGCCATTGGTCGTTATTTGAAGGAAATATCTGAGTAGAGAGGAGCCGGCGAGGTTCTGACATGGAAAAGCTAGCATGATTAAACACAACCCCGTGGAGTTACCCCGGACTGAGCACAGATAATCTGGGGCAAGACAGGACGATCCAGGTATAAGAAGGGACCTGGCACCTGTCAGTCTCATCTTTTCCCAAGTCACAGATCTCAGGAGTCTCTTGTCGTTACTTTGCTCAGTTCGCCATTGGTACCTTCCTATCAGTCGTCTGAACCCATCAAGGCATCAGTCTTCAAGCCAGCATGGCCTCCGAGAAGAAACAACAGCACGTCGATCTTGAGTCGAAGCCCAACGATAACTTCGTTGAGGTATCGACCGAAGACGAAAAGAGTGGAGTCCTGCAGCCTGGCGCCGATTACTCTGGCGCTGTAGCCAAGACAAGCCCAGAGGAGATTGCTCTTGTCAGGAAGCTTGACTGGAGAATCATGCCCACACTTTGGTAGGTTCACGGCACAAGCAATGCTGTGGGAATCTTTCTCGCTGACATGGATTTTAGGTGCATGTACTTCTTGAACTATGTGCGTTTCACTCGGACGAGTCGGCAGAAACCCAAACTGACATGAAATACAGCTCGACCGAAATGCCATTGCACAAGCCCGTCTCGATGGCCTTGAGAAGGACCTTGATCTACAAGGCTCTCAGTACAATACTTGTATCTCGATCCTCTTTGTTGGGTGGGTCCTCTCCGTAACTTAGGCAGGCTACGACTTCTGACTGACACCTTCTTGCATAGCTATCTGCTCATGCAAATCCCCTCCAACATGCTCATGTCCTCCAAGCATGTCCGACCTTCTATCTACATGGCAGTTTGTATGATGGCATGGGCTGTAGTTTCCGCTTGCACTGCCCTCGCGAAGGACTATACCCACCTCGTCATCGTCCGATTCTTCCTCGGAGTCGCCGAAGCACCGTTCTACCCGGGTGCTATCTACATGCTCTCAATCTTCTATACTCGCAAGGAGATAGCCACGCGACTGTCGATTCTATACTCTGGTAACATCTTCGCGACTTCTTTTTCCGGTCTGATAGCCGCCGCCGTCTTCAACACTGTTGACGGCAACCATGGTCTTCATGGATGGCAGTGGCTCTTCATTATCGAGGGTTGCCTTACATTCGGAATCGCAATCATCGGCATCTTCACCCTTGCCGATAGCCCCTTAACGACCCGCTGGTTGAAACCAGAGGAGCGTCAGCTTGCCCACGAGCGCATGCTCAGAGATACTGTTGGTCTTGAAGAGAGCAAGGGCGCCAAGGCTGGTTTCATGCAGGCTGTCCGCGACCCTCGCCTCTGGCTCCTATGCTTTATTCAAAACATGCATCTCTCAGCCTGCTCCTTCAACAATTTCTTTCCCACAGTGGTTGGCTCCCTCGGCTTCAACGACACCATTACTCTAGTCCTCACCTGCCCACCTTACCTGATCTCTGGAATCTTCGGCTACTTTGTTGGTATTTCTTCTGGCAAGTACAACGAACGCACGTGGCACATTACTATGTGCATGAGCATGGCCATTGTTGGCTTCGTCATCTCTTGTGCGACACTCAACACCGCTGCGCGCTACGTCTCATGTTTCCTGTTTGCTTCTGGAGCATATGCAGTGAATAGCTGCATCCTAGGCTGGGTATCCGCTACTCTGGGCTCTACGCAGGAGAAGAAGGCAGTCAGCTTGTCCATCGTCAACGTCGTTGCCAATGCTTCGTACATCTACACTGCTTACTTGGTATGCTATCTTATACAGTCTCTTTACCCTTTTTTCCAGCCTTTTTCAAATGTTAACGTTGACTTCTCTATCTTGCAGTATCCGAAAAGCGACGGACCTCGTTATTTGACGGCCATGGCAAGCAATGCTGCCTTTGCTTTTGCTTGCATTGCTGGGACTTGGGCACTGCGCGTTTGGCTTATTCAGACAAACAAGAAGATGGGGTCAGCCGGCACCAAGTATGCCTATTAGTGAAAGGGACGAACATGGCTTACGTACATACGGAACTTTGGCAGTCGTGAAGACGAATTGGAATATGATATGCGCTTAGTAAGCATTTAATTCATTATGATACGAAGCGTTGCAACGGGTGGAAGAAGATTTCATGCTCAAGCTCCTATCGTGCCTCTCATGTGCCTTGAGGGGTGACAACTAACAGAACCGACCTGAAATTCTCACGCTTTCATCCCAACCTTCCAGGTCCATGCTCATCTCACAGCTTTTTTCTTCACTCGCTCCATTATTCCTCTTGTCCCTGTTGTATCTCTTGGGCCATCTAGGCCTTGAAATATCAAAAGGAAAGAATGAGAAGTGGGATAAAGACTTTCGGAGAGGGCAAGATATTCAATGAGTCATACATGCAGTGTTTCTCGGTAATGAAGTCGTTCCAGTTGATGGGCTGGGACCATGGCCTCATTCATTTTCCAAAGAGCCATGTAGATAGACCCAAGCTGCCCCATATCCAAAGAGAAATGCCAGGAAGACGCGCGTGGAAGTGGAAGTAGATAGCTTCTAGAGTACGTCGCGATTTCGTTGGGCAGTATTCATCACTTTCTAAGAAGCTCCGAGGATGGAATCCGTGACAGGACACCTCAGAACGAAACTCATCTGCTTTGCCCATATATTCAAAGGACGCTCTACGCCCAAACCTGGTATCTATTCCGTCGTACCGTAGTTAATAATCTTTTGAGAGGCTGTTTCTGCGTTGCCAAAAGAATTCCAGACTTTTTCACGCCTAAACGCGTGGCCCCCCTACCCAAACACTAGTACAACACCGGGGAATCATACATAGTCAGTAGGTCAAGTTGAAGTTGGTGGTCGCAAAGACCCAAGTTTTTTATATCGATGATCATGGGCTTTTCTCATCTCAAATAAGACCACGTAGGGTCCACTGACGGATCGAATTGCGCCGCAGCCAAGAACGGGTAATCGATCGCACCGAAAGAATTGGCAAACAGTTGATCATACCAAACCATGGACTCTTGCCCCTCTCCGGGCGTATTTTCAATAGCGTTGATTGATGTTGAGGGAAAAGAAGTTGCAGCCAAGGATATAGAAAACGGTTGGGCATCGAGATCGGGAGAGTCCTGCTGAACCGGCGCCTGGAACCCAGACTGGCCCCCAGGTGTGCTGGCGGTCCATCCTGCGTTAACCGAAAGGCCTGATGTCGGTGACGCCTGTGAGGGCCACCCGGTACACGGGTCACCTGGCCCTGATGTTCCATCGCTTTGGCTGTGCTGGGGCCATATGGTGCAGTCGTGTCTAGCAAGGCCTTGCTCATCCGGCCGGCCTGTAGACGCAGCAACGGAGGGGGAGAATCGGGATCGTGGCTGAGAAGCTTTGGGTTTGCTTGAACTGCTACTTGGTCGTGCGGACTGCCCGACATCGGGACGCAAGTGGCTATTTTGCGCCGGATTACCCGTGCTTGGGTGACGGCGAAGCGGATTAGGCGGGATTGACAGCTCCCGCACAGCCGCAGTAAGTTCGTCAATCGCGGATAGGCAGTATTCGGGCCATGATGTGTTCCGGGTTGCGATGTGATGCAAGATGTCCTTGCCAGACTCGACGTGTCTGCGTGACGTGGGATTAGCCTAATCAACTACATCGAGAGAAAGGACACATACTTGAGGGCACTTGCCAAGGGCAATTGCCTCTCGAAGGCGGCGTATATCAGGATGAATGCGCTGATCCAAACTGCCCATGTAAAAGATGGCTGAAGCATGGGTTCCAGTAAACAGGCACTAGCCGGGTCGGTCGGGATCTTATTCTGGCTATGATGCCTCTTCAAGGCAATGAAAATCGACTTGGCGGCGAATATGCAATTTTGCAAGCCGGCGGAGTAAGCCGGGCTCGCGGGGTCTGAAGTCATCATCGGCCGGTTCAGGGAGATCATGGACTCGTACTTCAAAAGCAGTAGAAAGACTCTATGGCCCGAGGATATGGGTTGCGGAGGAGCGCTCTCTTCCTGGGTCGGTTCGTCCTCCACGGCGTCATGAATCTCATTGGACCACTTTGCTAGTTCGGCTTGGACATAGCTCGAGCGATCTGCGGTATCATCCCTGGAGTGTATTGACTTGTTCCTCAACTCCAAGATGAGGCCTCGTATTCGGGCATGCTTAACAAGGTATGTGAGCAATTGCAGCCGGCTGTCCTCGCCGTCAGATAGAGCGCCGTGCCTTTCTTCACCAGGGTAACAGACATCGACATCATCGTCTCGGATGTCTAGAGGCAGACCGAGAGCTTGGCAGAGAAACCTCTCTGTGCAGTATATACACCAGAACACGCGCCGGCGCATGTGGGCCTCCTCTTTGGTGAAGAAGGGGTATCTCGATGGGCAGCGGTGAAGCCCAAGGTGGAAGGCCATGCGAACAATCAAGCCGCCAAGTCGGGATGCCGAGTTGAGTCGAAGCATAGAGACAAGAAACAGCTGGATAGCGAGCGCTGTCTGAGTCGTCTGGATCGATGCTGGCTGGTACAGAGCAAATTGTGAGGCTGACATTGCGTCCTCGACTGTGCAGAAAACGAGAGAGCTCGGCACCGGCTGAGCAAAGGGAGCCCTCTGGCGACTATCAGCCAGCGAGATGGACAAGATAGACTTGACAATCGACCGTTCAAGGTGGCCAAGGGAAGCTACCCCAGCCGCACTGACTTGTTCAAAGAGACCCAGGACATCTGGGGCACTGAGGAAGGGCAGCGTCGGATGCCATGCTTCGAAGTAGCTCTTGGACCACTCGACAAGCTGCTCGAACGAAGGCCTGGAATCATCGCCCTCAGATTCCAAGATAAGCTCATGGTCCTGCCAGAGATTCCGCTCGTCGCCATCACGAGACGATGTCTCACGTTGCAGCTGGTCATCTTCGCCAGGTACTAGGTCGTTGATGTTGTTGGCCTGGGAAGTCCTGAGAGCAGACTTGCGGGCGAGCCTCACATAAACACCCCGGATGAAGTGAATACCGCTGCCACTGCCGACGAAACGAGCGGTGTCATGCTTGCCCGTGTCTCGCATCAACCCATACTCGCGGGTGGGACGGTCCGTAGACCCCGAGTGCTTTCGCTTGCGTGAGTGGGTGAAGTGTGCCGGGCTGAGGGTTCCAGACTCGGACGTGGCATTGGGCGACTCTACAGCCTCCATACGGGAATGAGGAGGAGAGTGATGGAAGGAAACAATGATCCAGGGATGGTCGGACGGGGTCGTCTTCAGTGGACGGCTCGAGAGACGGTGGGGGCCCTGAGCATGATGTGGAGAAAAAAAAGGTGTAAGGGTGATGCGGGCTTTGGAGCCTCGAAATGTCCGAGGCACAGAAAGAGACTTCAGGAAGAGGGCAAGGACGTGAGCTGGGTCATTGGCGGACGTGCGTGGACGAAAATGCCAAGATTGGGGTTAGATCGATCAACATGATGGACATGAGCATATTTGGAAGGGGGAAAAAAACAGTATCGTATGTAGCTGCAAGACAAGAAAACAGGCGCTGCTACGCGTGGACCGGGGCGAGGTCGGTCGAAGTGGGGCAACTGACACGGCACCTTCCGGCAAGTGGATCCCGGCGGACAAAGAAAACCCCGCAGGGCTCATGGACTTTTGTTCTTCAACACCAGCTTCGTACGCCTGCAGATCCTCGACCAGGGACGAGACGACGGCAATAGTGGCCCTGTTGGCCTCCTAGAGACGGTATTAGTTTCTCATATCGATCCAAGACTTGATTTTCTCAACGATGTCTCGAAATAGCCCTGACCGAGGCGATGGTAATGCTTTGAGAAGCCCCATTGCTTGCGAGTCTTGTCGACAGAGGAAACGAAGAGTTAGTCCAGCTCTTCCTGTCGCAAATACTACCATGTCCGTTGGCTAACACCTTGCAAGTGTGACAGGAAGCTGTGAGTGGCCCCACGACCACCCCAAGAGGGGCCCTGTTGGGCCAAGGCTTTGAGGCTTACGTTCCCCGCAGACCGTTTTGCCTCCAATGCAGTCACGAGCCGGGAAGATGCCAATATCCAGAGCAGAGCAAAAGGTGCGCCCTCGCCTTGTCCGTGTGTTGCGTGTCGTGCTTACAGAACTTTTGCAGAGGTATTCCTAACGGATACCTTAACAAACTAGAGACTCGACTCGCCGAGACTGAAGCCGCTCTGTTCAAAGTCCTGTCTGGGGCTCTGGACGGTCCAGCCTATCCTTTGGCAGCCTCGCCCGCACTCCTTCCGCAGGCTGCATGGACACCAAGGCAGAACAAAGTTGACCGTGTCAGGGAGTGGGAGAGTCTGCCTCTGCGAACCCCCAATGACATCCAGGCTTGGTTCCGCTCAAAGGCCACGGAACACAATGACGCCGCCGTTGATCTACCCGCCGCGAGCCCTCAGTCCTTAATCTCGTCGATTTCGGATCCCGTGCTTGCACCGCACCACCTCAGAGATCCGGGCTCGGGGCCGGATCACCAGCCAATCTCGGACGCGGTCATTGAGCCTCAGCTCCGATTGATGGCACCGATCATCACAACCCCTGCGAACAGAAGTTCATCCGAGGGGCCAGCAAGGCTAAGGAACTGTCCAAGTCGCAACAAAACCTCTATTTTTAAAGCCAGCCTGTGCTGTCAACGCCTGTTGCCGGATGACGGAACAAAGTATATGCCGCAAGGCATTTGTGGCCGTACTGCAACATCGAGTTTGATTTAGTGTTGCAGCGGAAAATCAACCGTGCCATCGCCTACTTGCGGCTTTGCTCCAATAAAAGGCCTACCCCGCCACGGCGCCGAGCTACCCCGCAGCGAGCAATCGATTCCGCGGCGGCCCGGTTTCTTGACCTATCCGCTCGGCTTGCTGCGGAATTGCGGAATGCTCCAATTCCAAACAAGAATGACCTCAGACTGAGGCCCTGAGAGCTCTCGAAGCTTCAAACAAATCTCGGAGCTGTTCCATCATCGCATTTGCTTCGTACCATCACCCAACCAAGCAATTGCACCCAAACCCGGCCGTTACAATGTCAAACTCTCAATCCTGGGTTTCTGTCTCCCCCAAGAGTCATTTTTCGCTGGCCAACATTCCTTTTGGCATTATCTCCACAAAGTCGGACCCGACTCATCGCCCTGCCGTCGCAATTGGAGACTATGCTCTGGACCTCAAAGCCTTTGCAAAGGCCGGTGGCTTTCACGCCCTGCCCTCTATTCAAGAGCATGTTTCCGTCTTCTCCTCGCCCACGCTGAACGAGTTCGCCGCTCTGGGTCGACCAGTCCACCGCGAAGTGCGGACGTACCTTCAATCCATCCTCAGCGAGAACACACCACATGTGGGCCTCCTCAAAGATAACGCCGAGCTGCGTAAAGCAGCGCTCATTCCTTTCTCCGAGATTCAGAACCATATGCCCCTAGCCATTGGCGACTACACCGACTTCTACGCCGGCAAGAACCACGCGTACAATGTCGGCGTTCTTTTTCGCGGCCCAGCCGAGGCGCTGCAGCCTAACTACATGCATCTTCCCGTCGCGTACCACGGCCGCGCGAGCAGTGTTGTCATCTCTGGCACGCCGATCCGCAGACCCTGGGGACAGATCCTCAAGGACCCCAAGGCGGTGCCAAAGGTCCCTGTCCTCGCGCCTTGCGAGAGGCTCGACATTGAGCTGGAGATGGGTATGTTCCTGTGCCGCGAGAACAAGCTTGGAGAGCCCGTCGCGGTTGATCAGGCCGAGGAGCACATCTTCGGCTATGTGCTCATGAACGACTGGAGTGCCCGAGACATTCAGGCTTGGGAGTACGTCCCTTTGGGCCCTTTTACGTCCAAGAACCTGGGCACGAGCATCAGCCCGTGGGTCGTGCTAGCGGATGCCCTTGATGGGTGCAAGACGGCGGGCATCGAAAATAAGACAGAGCTTCAGCCCTACCTCCGCGAAAGCAAGAAGAACAATGTCCTGGGCGTGGAATTGGAAATTGACATCATCAGTAAGCCGCATCTTTCCAACCTAGTCGCACGTATGCAAATACTGATGCACCAACTATAGCTGCCAGCGGAAACAAGACGACAATAAGCCGTACCAACTCCAAGAACCTACTGTGGTCGTGGCCGCAGATGATTGCGCACCACACCATCACCGGCTGCAATTTGCGACCGGGCGACCTGCTTGGATCCGGAACCATATCAGGCACCGAATCCGGCACTGAGGGAAGCATTCTCGAGCAGACGCAGGGAGGTAAGCAGACGGTCAAACTAAATGGAGGTGAGGAGAGGAAGTTCCTCCAAGATGGAGATACCATGATCATTCGTGGCTGGAGCGGTCAGGAGGGTGCACTGGTTGGGTTCGGTGAGGTTTCTGGCAAGATTGAGGAAGCTCTGAAGCTTTTCTAGTCGCACAGAAGGTAATCACGTATGAGACATGGTAAATTCGACTCCATCAATGATAGATTGAATCCTGCAAGAAGTCCGGTAAAAAAGTGAAATGTAATACAGCGGCGTAAACAGTTCATGTTGTAGCGCTCTACTTGGTCCTGAGATCATCAGGAGTGTCGGGCTGATTAAAGTAATGTGCCTTCACCACCGCCGGATGATCCTTCAAATTCTCCACGACTTTCCTGATCGTTGGGTAGCCACTCAAGTCCACACCAAACCTCTCGGCATTCCAGTAAGCCGGCAACAGACACACATCCGCCATTGAAATCTCGTCACCCATGGAAAACCGTCCCGCCCACTCCCTCGCTACAGCCTCATATGCGGAAAATCCATCTCCCGTCAGCTCACGGTTCCACTGTTCCGCATTTCCACCCAGCGCTCGTACTCGTCGCATGATGCGCATGTTGGTCACGGGCTGGACATCGCAGGCGATGATATTTACCAGACTGCGAACCACGGCGCGGGACTTGGGGTTTTGGGGTAGAAGAGAAGTCAAGAAGGGATGTGTTTCTTCAAGATACTCCAGCGCGGCGACGGACTGGGTTACTTTGAAGTCTGTGGCGGAGTGATGGACGAGGAGCGGGACAGTGGCGGAGGGGTTAAGGGCCCGGTGGGACGAGGAGAGATGCTCGTCTTTGAGGAGGTTGATTGGGATTATGGTGTAAGGAATGGATTTCAGGTTGAGGGCAATGCGCAGACGCGCAGAGCAAGAGGAGCGGAAATAGGAGTAGAGGATATAATCTTTGTCGGTCATCTTGACGTCCAACTATCGCTGTCGACTAGTATGTGAACGGACCAGGTGTGAAACTTCACTGGCAGAGGATTTGAAGACGTATTTTTGGACGCGAGCTCCGTTTTATGTAAGTCGGCCGCTGGCTAAAATACACCAGACCATGGCATTCCGCCCGGTCAAGACAGATAGCCATTGCATTACTGCACTAATACGAAGAGTACGGAACAACCGCTCCTAGCCTTCCCCTGCCGAAGGAGGAAGCGCTTGGGCTGAGAGGCTACTGCATGCACTCGAGAGGATCATGCGGGGAAGACGGGTCTTGACGGCATGGTGGCTGCGGGGTCAAGGGCGCAAGAATTACAGTGCCATGTCAAAAGTCCGAAAACCGATGGGATGGTGGTTTGGGTGGTGCACTTCCGATGCGGGGGTTTTCAGACTTTTGACACGGCACTGTATTGTCAATTGAACCTTGTGATTCGTAATTAATTAACCCGTCTGTTCTTAGGTAATGTAATGGCTTGCTTCCCAGGGCGGAATTTCGGAAGCTCCCAAAGTTTGCCAGACCACCGACTTGAAGCTTTTGTTCCGCCGTTATGATCTCGCGTCGGAAACATCAAGGTAGATGAATACAAGTTTACCTGTACATAAGACAGTTTCCATGGTATTATTCTCATCACGACTAAAAAGTGCGCCAGTCTACACGTGTGGGGTCAATTATCTCCCAAACCGAATGCTTGACCGTCGTCTCGATAATGGCCTCCAACTGTCCATTACAGCGTAGCGCTTTCTCAAACTCCGGCAGTTCCATCGCTTCATTTGTGAAGAAATCATACAGAGTAGCGACATGCGTCAGAAATTCAGGGCCCAGGACCCAGATCTTGACACCATCGTTCTTTTATAGTCGGGCCCTGTGCCGCACAAGCACATTCAACACGGCCTTAGAAATACGGTAGCTTGTCATAGAAATGGCATTGGGCTTTTTAGGCCAGCCGGCCTCCGGCGACGTATTCATCAGCTGGAGATCGGAGATATCAAGGCGCAACGTGTTCCACAGCGAAGACGTGCCGGACGAAACGAACAGCAGACGTGGTGTCATCGATTTGATCAGCAAGGGCGCCACAAGTGAACTCAGGACGTGAGTCCCAGTCGCGTTGGTCTCTATCATGCGTGAGAACGCCTCTCGGTTGGACATCTAGCCATTATCCATTTCGCGATCAAACGAGGTACCGGCGTTGTTGATTAGAACATCGAGACGTCTGTAGGTGGTCTTGATGGTTTTGGCTGCCTTCTTCAGGGAATAATCCGACGTCACATCGGTTTGCAGTATTCTCACGGTGGAGGCGGACTGCGGAACGTCTTGCTGGAGCCTCGTAATTGCTTCTTCACCTTTGGTCACTGTGCGACTGCCCATGAGAAGTTCATCGGCCTGAAAGGATTGTTTCAGAGTCTTGGTTACCTCGTAGCCATCGCTGGTGTTGGTTTGAATTTAATTAGCCAGGAGCAATTTCAGTGAGCATTTCGGCATCACTTTACCACCCGTAACAAAGACAACTTGCATGTTGGAGGCCATAGTGAGGGCTGGGTTTAGAGAGATGGGTCCGATAGTCGGTTGAATTAGCCGTTGCGGATTTGGTTGCTGAGAAGAACATTTTTTGATAAATATTGCACAAGAGTTCGTTGAATACCTCACTGTCACTAGAGTGTACGAATCGTTGATGGCTGACCTAGGATCGAAGATCGAGTAGGTCGGGTCAGCGATCGGAGGTAGTAACAGCCCGCAAACCGGGATTAACGGGCAGCTGGGTTGTTGAAGCTTGCAGGCATAAAACCCTGTTAGGTCACATTATCGTCGCAAGAAAACACAGTATGTCCATCATTCATATGCCCACCATCATCTTTGTATGACTAGGTCTGCTTACGTTATTACTGCATAATCAGGCGATCGTCTTCTCATTACATAGATAGACGAACACACCCTTAATCTTTCCACCTGCTCATCAAGTCGATGGTTTTTTTTTGGTTTTTTTTTTTTGGGTCTCACTAGTAGAAACGTCTTATCAGTTACCTTAGAACCATACCTTATAAACACATGCTGTTTCTATTGTTTGGATAAAGAAGAGTAGACGAAGTACACGAGACGTTGCAGCCTTACATGGCGAATCTTCCTCATAACTATTTTGCCCCACTCAAGCGGTTGGACGGCTACTGGGGGAAAGACCGAAGTGCGAATCTTAGCTGAGCGCTTCAGGACCGGTATACGGAGCGCTCTACCACCAGAAAACAACTACAGCTTTCTACACATGCCATGATCAAACAACACACGATAGACTAAAGTTGGAGATACTGCCACATGCCGTTTTCACACTCCCTCCGTCCTTGCATCTTTGCTCGTTCATGGAAATTCCGGCACACGCCGCGCTTGATGCCAGGATCGTGGCGTGTAATGTCTCGTTGGTGCGAGCCGCAACTGGCATCTTTCATCACACAACAATCTTCGTATAGGTGTTTGCGATCCAATCTTTCAGGCTTTACCCTTGACAAGGAAGAGTTTGGTCTACAAGTCGGAAACTGCGATCAAATGATTTAAATCTCTGTGACGTCATTCGAGGCCTTAAAGACTTGTTCTAAATCTTCAACAGGCCTCACTTGTAAATACTGGCGGGTATTTTCATGACGTTAAAGGATGCGACGACGGTATGGCTTAAGTAAGGGAAAAAGGAATCATGAGTTGATTTCAGACCCCCTTGGCGGCTTTCAGGCACCGAAGATTATTCGCCAGTGACCCTCTATTTTTAATTTGGTTCATCCTAGGCACGCTGCAGCTAAAGCTCACTGGTGGCACAGCGTGTGTTTTCCCGAAAACCGACCACTGATAGAGAATTTATTCGCGGGATTTCGATCCATTAGAGACAGGGCAACCAGCGCTTATCCAAAACAAGGAATGAACAGCCGTTCTAGACAGGGATTTAGATCCTTCATCTCCCATACCGTCGCTTGGCGCCACTGAACCACGATCCTGCATGACCAAAGAGCGAAAGTCCCAGAGCAGCATCCACAAGCTTTTCCGCCAAACCGCTGCAGCCTAGTAGTTTTGTCCCCTGAATGTTTAGGCCCTTTTCGTCTTATGATGTCCATTAGCCTCTTCTCTTCGTCTCATGTCGGTATTGTGATGGGTTTCACTCCGTGACCGGACTATGAACGCCTCAATATGACCACCTCGAACAACAATGCGGCTTCAGGGTACTATGGTGGCCTCGAGGTCGATAGCAGACCAGGGCACGGAGGTGAATGGGGCGCGGACGACTTTGCAAAATTTCGGGTGGCCGATCAGAACAATTTGCCCGAAGTTCACAATAGCGGCGGCGAATTCCCGGAAGTCAGCCACCAGTATGGCCACGACTACTCGATGATGCAGGCCGTTCAACCGACGGACGGCAGCCCTGCGGCAACATACCAAAACCCTTCATACCAGAACGAAGGCTTACACGAGACCGGATACTACGTATCGAAAGACCAATATCCGCCCGAGGTCGTAACGGACGAAAAGCACGAGCAGAACAATCCCGGAACAATATGCGGTGTGCGGAAGAAGGTCTTCTGGGTCGTTCTGGCTATAGCGCTCTTTATTGTTGTCGGCGCAGCAGTCGGAGGAGGTGTTGGTGGCGCCATGTCCGCGCAGAACAATTCACAACAATCGAGCAGCTCGTCAGGCGGGTCGAGTGACGGCGGTAGCGGAGGCGGTAGCAGCGATGGGAACAACGGCGGAAGCGGCGACAGCAGTGGTGACAGCAACGGCGATTCCAGCAACTCGACGACGAGCGACATGGATATACTCCCGAGTACAAACATTGGCGCCCTCAATTTCACCGATGCATATGGCTATGTCAACCACATGGTCTTTTACCAGCTTCGCTCGAAAAATCTCATGATGTCGTCGTGGAACTCGAGTACAAACGTGTGGTCCTCAGCCATCGCAAATAGGGATAGCAATGTCAAAGCGGGCACTCCGATTAGCAATAGTTTATTTTGGCACAGCAATACCGTAAGTTTCCCTTTTGATCCATCGCCTGCTCATCTTCACCTAACAAGAAACTTGCAGACCCGCGACGTTCGCATCTACTATCTGAACGATGATAACCAAGTTGCTGGCCAGATCAACGGCAATCCTATCTATGGAATGACTTGGGACAAGTCTGGAGTCTCGGACACGTTTACTGCGAGCCCGAATTCACAGCTCCTCTCCAATGGCATATATACCCCCGACTCATACCTCTCCAACTTGGTCATCTATCAAGACTCCAGCAGCACTCTACGTGTACTCCGCCGGACTGGGGAAAGACGGACTGGGTGGCAGTTGGCATATCGACCGACTTTGGAAAGCCCGCGGAGGGCACTGGGTTGTTTCTGATCCCTGTCTACACCAAGGAGTCGACCAAGAGGATGTGCCTCTTCTACACCACTGAGTCAGGGTCACTTACCCAGCTGACCTTGACAAACGACAACGACTGGACTAATAACACGTTACCCACGACACTGGAAACAAACACTACAATCACGGCTTTTTCAAGTGGATATAATAACACCAATCTCGTAATGCACGTATTAGCGACACAGGCAAATAAACCGCCGGTGCTGACAACGTATAATGAAGGAGAATGGTCGAACGCGGGGGAGATTTCCACCATGTCGGGTGATGACAGGCCAGTCAAGATAACTGCTAACTCGGCTGGTAGAGTATACGGTCTGGTGCAGAGGAGTAATGATAAGGTTGAGATCGTGGAATGGGAGTGGATTGGCGGCACAACATACAACAAAATAGGTGTGGTAGATACAGTGTCATGACGTGCGAGAAATAGCTCGTGCTTCTGCGAACCTTCCTACAATAGTTGATGATTTTCCTTCTGAGCTTCATACGCATTCCCCAAAGACGATGCCAGCGTTATCCGTTGCCCATGGACGGACATACATGATTGCCTGCTCTACCTACTTACACTTCTTAGTGTTTCATGCCTTATACCTAAATCCTCTCCTTATTTGCCTCCTCTGCTCCCTGTTGCAGATGGATGCAATCTTTCCTCTGCGTCCAATCTGTTGTTATGAATTATTGTGTACACCCATGTGCCTGAGAGAATGCCGAACGCGATGATTACCAACGTCATACTTATAGTCATTCCCCTTTGATAAAATGGTCCGTCGCTGGTTTTGAAGATCCAAGCTGAGATGTAGCTGGAGGTGTTTCCAACCCCAATCACGAAGCCGCTCCCGATCGCTCGCTGAAATGGAGTTTGCAGATTCTGCATGGTGAGAATCCAGATCATTGGAAGAGTTATGTAAGTGCCAAGCGCGATAAAGTAAAGGGCCATCATCGTGACACTTGAGCTTTCACGCTCTTCATTGCGCAAGATAGCGTAGCCGATGACTGTAAAGACAAACCCTATGAGGCCGAAGGCAGAGCGGTGGTTGAGGCGGTCGGCTGCATAGGCTGTCGTCAAACAAGCCACGGCGGCCACCACAAATATTGGAACGATCTGGGCCTGGATCTCCGTTGCATCTAGCTGTGGACGGAAAGATTTGACGAATGATGGCGAAAAGATAGAAACTGAGTATGCCGTTGTAGTTGTGAAGCAATATAGAGCTGCCCAGCAATAGTTCAGTGGGTTTGTGAAAAACAACTTCCACTCCGCCAATATGCCGACGGTAGTTGTGCGAGTTTCCACAGAATTAATGATGATGCTCTTCTCTTTTTCCGTCAAAAATTTTGCTTTTTCCGGGGGCCGACGTTTGCCACCGAGCATAGCAGCGCAGCGACAACCGTGATGATGCCTTCGATGATGAAAATCCTAGAACAATCAGAACAATCAGAAAGTGATGCGCGGCTTGTTATCTTAGGTCAGGAACGCACCATCTCCAACCGTGAAAGTTGTCGGTGGTCTTGATGTTGGCAATGGCATACGCCAAGAAATTTCCAGCAATGCTTGAGCAAATGTTGGCCACAGTGATGAGACCGAGCCTCCACTGAAGATGAGTCGGAGGGTAGTATAGCGAACAGAGAAACACGCAGCCCGGTATCAAACCCGCGTCGAAGACCCCAACGAAGAAACGAGTGACCAATATCTGATCAAACGTATTGACAAATCCCTGACAGATCGTGATAGCCCCTGGTCTAGTGTGTTAAAGGATGTATTGAATCACATTGGAGAGTCGATTTTCCTGCGAGTACTCACCAAGCAGAACATCCAGAAGGCACATGTACCACATGTAAGAGAAGTTCAACTTGCGGTCCAAAACCCGCATCAAAAGATTACTCGGTACTTCGAACAAAATCAACGGGGCCGCAGGCATGGTCAGCATGATGAAAACCTTCATGGCGTCAAGCTTGAGATCTTGGGGCAGTTGGCGAATGAGAGCAGCCCAATATTCGTTCGTCCCATGAGCGACAAGAAATTGAGAAAGAACATGGAAATCATCAGGTTCAGGTCCAGTTTGTACAACAGCTTTTTGTCGAAGATCTTTCCCCCGAGTGACGAGCCATACGATTCGCTCCGGACGAAATCGCTCCTCGAGGAGGTTGGCTGTTGGATGACGCTCGCCAACTTTATTTCGTCATCAAATGTTTTAACCATCTTTGAGTTCCGTTTCGGTCGATCAAGCTCGAGTTCCAGCGGATCTGACATTGCCTACGAGCTGAAGAAGTAGCCCCTCCTAGATGACTGAGTAGATAAGGCGAATCGAATATCCCGTTGAGTGTGATCTAGCAAGTCATGACCAAGCGTGCCAACAACAAGATCAAGTGGCCTGGGACGAACAACTGTTTTAATACCAGCCCAAAGTTACTATTCATGGTGCGTAAGCATCGGTGCATGTAGCAAAGCTCCCGCTTACCCCGACGTGTCCGTCCGTGGGTTCCCTGTTTAATGAATGCTAGTTGCACTTGCAGTTTTGCTGCGAAGCACAGACTGATCTTGGTCAGCGGAAACTAGATGTCAGACGTTTCGAAGGCCAGACCGTGAACTCTGAAGCTGGGAACCCCACGCGTTCGTCCGCGCTCAGAACCTTCAAGCGTGGAAAAAGAGAAAAAGACAAGTAATTTCTGGAAGAGTTGTGGGTCATCACGCAGCAAACGCTCTCTATGCCATGCTTTGAAGTAGATTGCCGAGACGTCTCCTGTTGAATGACAGCTAGGCTACATCTGAAGCAGAAACCCGTTACGTAGTTTGCACAATGGGGATTGCATAAGACCTGGTAGAGTCTGTTTTCTGCTGTGATCTCATTTCATAATCGGGGTTGGTTTCGGCGCTCGGTCAATCTAACGATACTCTAAGACGGCCCTCCATCGGGTGAGAAAGAAATAAAGAAAAGCGTACCATGTGATGGCTGCCGGTCATACCCCGCTTTACACCGCCTTATCTACCTACACCTTTAATTGCCCGGGATGGCCTCTTAAGCACCTCGATACACCTTCCAAAATGAAAAAAAAGAGGAAGAAAAAAAAGGTAGGGGGTGAACCCGTTTGCAAAGCGCCTGAGACTTTTTGACGACTCAGGAGATCCCTTTTACCTGGAAGGAGATATCTCAGCATTTGGCGTCTTAGAGAGTGTTATAGAAGCTCAAGCGACTGATACGAGGACGATTTCTGATCTCGTGCAGTGTAGGTGGTTGCCATAAGAATTAGGAAATGGTCTTGATCGCTTACTTTGCCAACCTTGTCTTTTGCAAGCATATTGATTCACCTCACGTGTGAACTAATTGTGGATGATATTTAGAGGAGTCGGCGAGAAGGAAACCGATGTTTTCATCACAGTTATTCAAAGAAAGACCTGCGACTGACATTCCTAAGTCGAAAATTGACCAATAAGTTCACGTGCCTCGGGAAAATAAGACGAGCGTACCCTAGTCTGCTACTGTTAAGCTCAACCATGATTTCTTCTTGTTTCAGCGTTCCATTAACGTCATCATCGCATGAATATTGAGGGTTCACGATCATATTGGATCATTGTCCAAAATCTGGTGTCAATCACAGATCTCTCTCTGGATGCTACATTAATCCAAGTCGGAAGCATGCCGGTCTCCAAATTAAGACACTCTAAATGGTCCACCGAAACCGTTACTCCTTTCCTTAATCTACTAGGCCTTTTCTTGTAAGCATGCTAGAAAAACCTCAAAACCTTGCAGCTCGGCACGCGAGGGGAGCCGGGTGCGGAACTTCCAAGATACTTCCCAAAGGCAAGTTCTTAATACCTCCTGTTTGGCATAAAAAGACAGTTAAGTGACCGCTTACTTTCGTTTAATATCAAACTCAAAACGGTTTCTACGAAGATAAGTCAACGGATTAGTGGAACCGGGTTTCCCCAGATGCAGAATCTTTGGGTGTGGAGAGGAATACATATTTCAACCAACACGACGAGCTGTCAGATCAGATTCCATGTTCTTCACAAGCTCAGCTTTAGGTATTGCTAGATTGTTCAGTTCAGGGGCGGAATCCTCAGGCAACGCACAGGTTATTCTATCGCTGGGGGTTTTGGACGAGATTGAACCTTTGATGCAACAGACGACTAGGCTGTAATTTCCATGCAACTCTAAAATCGATTTATTATGTCGTAAATTGCAAATCTTCATCGATTGGAAAAATTGACTAGGGCCAGCAGGGTCGATAAGTTGATAGCAAGTGAATAGTTACGCAAACTGCGGCAAGGCATGCGTCGATATCAGTTTATTCCCAAAAGTTACAGTGGTTTCTGCACCTCAGATATCCTACATAGTACGTCGAGGTCTCAAGGCTACACGGTATCCCCTACTCCCATCCCAACGTCTGTTCCCCTTCCAACATTCCACAATGTAGGTCAGACCAAGACATTACGTGGGGGTGTGAGCGCGTCATCCCGCGCCGGCGATTCAATGGAAAGCGACCCTCAGCAGCGCTGAATCCGTGGATTGGTCTTGGCCGGGCGGATACCGGGCCTTCTAGTGTCTTGTCGCCAAGTCCGCCGAGCCTTGGGAGACCGGGGTGGTTTGAGTATCTCCGCCGCCGACTCCCACCTGTAATGCCCCAGCGAAAGGCTGAGGGGGGATTCGCTAAAGTCTTGTCCTAGGTAATGCTAAGACTCTTGCGCTCCCTGTTGCCCATCTGACGTTTGAGATGGGGTCTCTGCGAACCCCATGAGGCGTGACAAAAGCAAGATTGCGTGCTCGGTTGGGAACGTCTCTTGTGGATGCAATGCGAAAACTTCTATAGCCCAGTCAGGTTCTCTTCTATATCCCGTGAACTTGATAAAAAGCAGAGCATCGACTGGAAGCTGGGTACGTACCGCAGCATGTTGGATCTTTCCCTTTGTTATTCCTCACACCTCTTCTTCCCCACTTCCAATTTCGAATACACTCAAGACCTCTCCCGTCCCTCAAAATTTCATCATCCTAAGCTATTGTCACACTTTTATTCATGCCTCATACGCTGTTGAACTACACTTAAGAGCCCGATAAAGAAACCCCGACACCCAGCCATGGACGTGATCAAGAAGATTGGGGGCTGGTTTGCCCCCCCGCCAAACAAGGCGGAAGACGGTCGTGATGCTTGGCCGTCTAGGGCCTCCTTTCTTTTGGCATCAATGGGTGGTTGTGCCGGGATGGGTAACCTGCTACGATATCCGTCTCAGGTTTATAACAATCATGGCTTGCAGTGGTACATACCGTACTTAATGGCCGTTTTCATCGTTGCCATTCCCGTATTGGTGCTTGAGATTGCAATCGGACAAGCCTACCGCGGCGGTAGTGTCGTTGCATACAACAACCTCAACCAGAGATTGAAAGGCACTGGTCTGTCGTTGCTCTATGTTGGATTCGTTGTCACGCCGTACTTCGTCGTCAACTTGGCGTGGATTATGAGCTACTTCCGACATTCTTTCACCAGCCCGCTTCCGTGGACTGGTCGTGGTGAGGAGTTTTTCAACCGGGACGTCGTCGCCAACATCGATCCGATTGAAGGCAACCTTACAGCAGACGGCACCAGCGTTCTAAACTACACGGAGTATCCTGGCATCGCCCTTATCGGAGAGACAACCGGATGGGCTGCTTTCACCTTCTTTCTGATGTGGGTTTCGATTTTCCGAGGCGTCGGTTTGACTGGCCGTGTTGTTTACTTCACAATGGGTCTTCCAATTGTTGTAACCATCATCCTCATTGGTAGATCTGTTTCTCTGGAGAACGCTGGTGAAGGTGTCAAACTTTACTTCGCCACATGGAGAGGAGGTGAGTTGGCAAAGGGAACTGTATGGCAGACAGCTTGCGGTCAGGTACGGTGCTTTCCTATCATTTGAAAACTTCCTGCTTTTTTCACATGACCCTGAACCCAGCCATTCTCTTGACAAACACAGTTGGTGGATATTGACCGCTTCATAGGTGTTCTTTAGCACAGGGGTTGGCTTCGGCTACTTCACATCCTACGCATCATACAACCGCCAGTACTCGAACGCAGTTATGGACTCTATCCTGATCGTTTGTAGTAACGTTCTCTTCGAGAATATCGCCGCTTTTGCTGTCTTCGGTGTTGTAGGGTACTTAGGAATGCGTCCGGACCCCGAAAATCCCATCGGAGGCTTCACCGTCGGATTCTTGACCCTTCCCCTGGCCGTTGCCGAGATGCCCGGCGCCAACTTTTGGGCAGTTGCTTTATTCTTTACCCTCATGGTCCTTGGCTACAGCTCTGCCTTTGCCATGCTCGACGCCATTGTAACTTTAGTCATGGACACTGGCATCAAGCTTTCTCGACCAATTGTCGTCACAGCCCTTACCATTGTGTCGTTCCTCCTTGCGTTGCCGTACTGCACGGAATTTGGATATTACCTTTTGACTGGAATCGACCGTTGGGTCAACGATGTTGCGTTGGTGTTCGTCGTTTTTGCGGAATGCATCACATCCACAAGCGTCTATCGCTGCAAGGACGTTATTGGACAGGTTGGAAAGCCGGCCTTCATCGTTTTTAATACATGCTACATCTTGGCCATGGTGCTCGGAGTAGCTGTTGCTCATTCTGTACAAGCCGGAGCTGGAGCCGGTGTTGGTTTGGGACTCTTCTTTGCTGGTAGCATTGTTTCTGTCCTTATCGCAAAGACCCCTGATTCCATTCCACCAAGATTCTGGAGCAGGAATGCCTTCCTTAGCCGGTTTTGGTATCTGGCTTTCTACTCTGTAAGTCGATTCTTAAACTGTCACAAAAAAGTCTCGCTAATATCTTTCCAAAGGGAAACCAGCTTCGGCGCGACTTGAATGTGGTCATTGGTAGTGGCAAGAACTGGAACATCCCGACATTTTGGCCTGTTCTCTTGCGCTACATTTCAGGGCCCATCTTGAGTATCGTTTATGGCTTCTCATATCCTGCGTTCTACCAAGTTCGCTACGATCCCTTGCACATTCTCGGTTTCGCCGTAGGTCATGTCGCACTCATCTTAATCTTTGCCGGATTTATGGTTCCGCGATGGTTTAACGTCTTCATCCCGATCCATCGACAAAACGAGGGAAAGATTCATTATGCACCTCTGATCACTATCGGTGCGGACGAGGCCCAGGCCATTGCAGCCGGCAATATGGAGCAGGGGCAAACGCACACGCCGTCGCCCTCGGATGATGGAGTGGGCCGGAAGTGGTCGCCTACGAACGACGGCCTGACCATGGAGAATGAGAAGAGAACTAACATCTGATACCAGTCACTCACAGTTCCTTTCTTTTCCTTTTTTATTTTTCTTTTATTATTTGCTACAGAAGGATTCTCCATCTGCGGGCTGTGGCTGTTGGTTGTCTAGCTTCTGTCTCTGTGACATTGCCCTGTGATCGATCCAATCGCTACGGCGCCGGAGTGAACATAGCCACAACACTGTCCAGAGCTACCATTCCTTGCCGCAGAGATCCAGAAGCTGCTGTATATGAGTTCTGTATTCAAAGCCGGATTTGTACGGTTGTCTGAGCGTGGTCCACAAGGATGATGTCATTGCATTTGGCTGAGCGACTGGGGAAGTCTGACAGCCTCATCAGCAAATCTCGACGGTAGCCGTTTGAACCAAAGAGATCATCTAGGTTGCCAAATAAACAGAAATAAATGACCGTTCCAGATTTTGCTTTACTGCTGACACAGTTCATATCCAGGCTGCCGGTTTAAACTGCTAGCACTAGAATTTCCATTTTCACAGACTACGATTCGAATTTACTTCAGTTTGGGAAACTTTTCCCACAAAGGATATGAATCCTTGCTATAGAGCCTTTTGTAAGCCTGCTACTTGTGACATCGAGTTCAACCAACGATTGAAGAGCTAGAGCTTTCGGACATGGATATTGACGCTGTACAGTTTTCTTTCAGCCAATGACTGGATAAGAATTGCTACACGGTTCGAAAGACAACATATATTCTCCTTGACCTGATGGCAAGGTCGAGCCAGTCGAATACCTAGCCTTTGTGGACATGAATTCAATATATCACTCAATTCGAGGTGTGGTCAATATGCTCTTGCCAATCGTCGTTCTTTTCGTCCCAACTTGGTTTGGACCGTAGGCATACTGAATGCGACCCGAGCTTTGCTGTTGCCATCAAAGAGTCAACATTGAACGCATCCTGCGTTATATTGTCGATGGTCTTCAGATGTGGTGGTGCTAGCCTACGTTGGTCCTCATCGATATTCGATTCAATAGATGTCGAAGGATACTTGCAGAAAATTGATGTGTTGATCATTATCCACTGCGGGGCGAAGTGACCGTTCCTATGTAGCATCTGAACTGACCGTGGCCAGTCTTCCTGAGCTTGTTTCCAAAACAATGCTAGATCTGCGCCTGGGGCACAATCTGGCGGTTGGCGAGCCAGGCGAGCCGAGGTTCGCTTCGTCTGATGTGCTGTTTAAAATCAGTTGTGACACATGTGCGGGGAGAAGAACGATAAATATAATAACACCCAAATTTTAGACAAGCAGTCTCCACTGCACAGTCGGAAGTGCTCAAATCTATCGGGTTTCAGAAGCATCCTACATTGTCTACATTACTGACAGATACTCACTAGATTTCACTATGCCATTGCGAGCAAATCTTCCCGGGCCTCTTAAGCAGCGTGATAATAGCACGGCGCGCATCGCATCTGCGTCTGGTTCTGCAGCGGATCGGCGACATGGATTAGCCGAGCTTGTCCGCGATGAGGACATCCAGTACATTGTCGGCGACTGGATGTCGGAGTACAACATGGCGCTCAGAGGAGGCGCGAAAGCCGATTACCCGACCAGCTCATCAGAGTTTGAGCCCTCTTTCCTTGAGGCAATCGAGCCAGCACTGGAGTCCATCGATGCCAGGCGGATCAAAGTTGCTGTCAACGCGGGCGCGAGTGATACAAAGAAGCTACACGACATTCTGGTTGATGTGATCAGTGACAAGGGCCTCAAACTCAGGGTCGCATGGATTGAAGGGGATGAGGTTATTGATGTTGTTCAGAAGGGCTTGGAATCAGGAGAAGGTTTCAAAAACTTAACAACAGGTCGCCAATACTGAGACTGCGCCCAGAAAGAGTTATGCTGACCGAAAGCAGGTGAAAAAATTGAAGATTGGCCGTTTGAGCCGATCTATGCTCAGGCATATCTCGGCTGTTGGGGAATTGTCGAAGCATTTAGGCAAGGTGCTCATATTGTTTTGTGTGGTCGTGTGGCTGATGCATCTCCGACCATTGCTTGCGCGGCCTATCACCATGGCTGGAGACGAAGTGATTACTCGCAGCTTGCTCATGCACTTGTCGCTGGTCACTTTATTGAGTGCACCACGTACGTCACTGGGGGAAACTTTTCGGGGTTCAAAAAACTCCCCGGCACATCCGTTGACATTGGCTTTCCAATAGCTGAAGTCGAGGTAACCGGGGAGTTCTGGGTTTACAAACAAGCGTGGAAGGGTGGTATGGTGACTGTCGAGACTTGTAAGGCCCAGCTACTGTATGAGATTCAAGGGCCTTATTACTACAACTCGGATGTTGTTGCCGTACTTGACAATATCAAGATGACGCAGGTAGGAGAGAACAGAGTGTACGGTATCCATATACAGCCCTAAACCCCGCTGCCTTCGCTAACTTGATTTCAGACGAGTTTTCGATGTTGGAAACATCAAACCGCCACCTACAACTAAAGTTGGTATAACTGCTAAAGGCGGATACCAAGCAGAAGCACACTATTTTCTCTGTGGTCTAGATATACAGGAGAAGGCGGCCTTCTTCGAACGGCAGCTTCGGCATGTTCTTAACGAGCCGTCATTTTCCTGTCTTAAGTTCCGAACTAATGGATCCTGCCCAGCAAACCCGACCAATCAGGACGCTGCAACGGTAGACTTACGCATCTTTGCCCAGGCCCGCAGTGAGGAGGTATTATCGCCGTTCAATTTCCTCAAACCAATCGTGGACAATATCATGCAAAGCTACCCCGGTGCGACTTTCCACTTGGACACGCGGCAGGCGTTACCAAAAGAATATTACGAATACTGGGTAAGCCTTATCCCGCAAAGCGCGGCGAAGCACATATGTCATTTGCCATGGAAGAATGATCGGGTTGAGATTACCCCACCATTGGATACGGTTGAGTTTGTGTATGAACAGCCGACGTACGAAACGAAGAACCCTATCACGCTCGCATCCCTTGGGACGGTAACGAAGGCGCCGCTTGGGTACGTTGTACATGCGAGATCTGGTGACAAGGGTTCGGACAGTAACGTTGGGTTCTTCGTGCGGAACGCGGATGAGTGGGATTGGCTGAGGTCGCTCCTGTCTGTCAGCAAGATTAGAGAACTTTTGGGGGAGGATGATAAAGGGAAGCCCATCTTTCGGTTTGAGCTTCCACACCTCCTGGGTGAGTGACCAACGTTGGTCCTTTGGTAACGTTAATGCTAAAATGGAGGTAGCTGTGCATTTCCTCCTGAAAGATCATCTGGACCGCGGAGTCACCGCCAGCTCGTCATATGACTTTCTCAGCAAGAACTTGGCAGAGTATCTCCGATGTAAACACGTCGAAATCCCAGCCAGGTTTTTGGCACGTGGTAGAATTTGAGCGTTTTGCTCCTGCTAGGGTACATCAAGCAACATCGGGAGCGACATGAGCTGTACCAGTAAGTCCATTGAGAGGTAGCCATACTGCGCATCCCAGACATCAGTGGGCCAGCGACAGGATGCGACAGGATGCGACATGATGCGACGTGGCAAAGCATGAACAAGACGGAACACGCAAGAAGCAGGCGGTGGAACTTGTCAACAAGGAATCAGACCAGCCAAAATGTGGAAGAGTGGAACATTGGCTGGGTTCGTTGATACCAACTGCTTTGTAGCTTTGGTATTCTGGGGAAATTTCTACCCCGCAAGAAGCTTGATGAAATGGTACCTTCGACACGCTTCTCTATTCGTAAGCCGTTGCGCAAGCTACTTCATATACAGCAACCAACGCCTTGAGCTTTGTGATGTGAGACCTGGCTTGAGTGTACCCTAGAAGGTGATCGAGGATCTTTTCCTGCGGAGCCTACTCAATGAAAATGAAGAGCCCAGACACACCAAACTTGGCCGCGCCACTCTTCTCGATCCAGTCAGCTTGTTCATTGAGATAACGTTTTCCTCTCCTAGCATCTTCGTGGTGTCAATAACAAAGAAGCAGGTGAACAGAATGGCTCCTCACATTAGTTGCTCTGCTTTTCTTGTCCCTGCGACTCCTTATCAATATTGAGCTCAGGCTCACCTAGCACAGAAATGAATTCTATTAGATAAAGCAAACAGGCTATCCGGGTCCCGAAAGCAGAATGGGGTGACGCGATGATGAGCGAGTGGCGGTCGAAAAAGCAGGGCTGAGACCAAGGCACCCTCTGATTGTCAAACCGCGCAGCGACTTGGGTAAGCTGCCGGATGGATGCACGGTCAGCCAAACCGAAATAGGCAAATCTGGATGTCGGTCAACTCTGTGCGCCCCTAACGGACCTTTCACTCCATAGGTATTGCAAAGCGTCTGTCCAATGCCGCTCCGAGACCTCGGGGCCCAAGTGACCCACTGATCCCCTTTGCTTCTCGGGATGCTGCAGTCTGCAAGCCTTCGAAAAGCCCCCAAATAAACTTATGGGAGCCACTCCCTGTCATGTCTGAAGGGTCCCTTAATTAGAGCACCGATGGACTGCTGGAATTGCTTATCATGCCACCGGAGCAAATGTAGCGCCTTCGTCAGATATCACGTTAGGATCAGCCTCAGCCAGCCCCCATAGGTATGGGTTTACTACAACGTCATACATAGCTCTGGTATTTAGGCTTCGGGAACGCCCGCTAACTTGCTGGTTCTAGATTCTCCGATCTCCATCAGCTTTCCCCAGACCCAGACTTTGAATGCCCATAAACATCCAATTTTTTCAATCGCTTTTAAGTTCTTTCTGAAGCGCATACTTCTTTGGCTTGCCAACCTCCACCCGATCCACCGAGAACCCACCATCCATGATTCGAAGCGTTCAACTATACATTGTTTAAACATCACTCTACGACAGGATGCCGAGACTTTGCGATGCTATCAAAGATGATCACCGAAAGATTGAACAAGCCTATCGATATATTCTTACATCTACGACTCCCGAAGACAAAAACCGATGGAGAAACGAGCTCGCTCTTGAGCTTGCGCGGCATTGCATAAGTGAAGAGCAGGTGTTGCTGCCCATTCTCAAGGACCGATTGGCGGATGGCGATTCACGAGGCGCCAAAAACCACACGGATAGGGAGAGCGTAAGTCCCACTCCTCTAGCTTAGAAAGGCTCTCGATCTAATCTGAAATAGCTGAAAGAGAAAATTTGCCGGCTCAAAGCTATCCCAGTTATAGACTTGAGCTTCGAACCCGAGTTGAAGGCACTCTGGGTTCACATGGCTGTCCACGTTCGTGATACTGATCACCAGGATGTGGCCCGTCTTGAGGAGTGCCTTACCATCACTGAGTCCGAAGATCTGGCGCGGCAGTTTCGAGAAACAATGTCTTTGGCACCAACCCGCAGCAACACTTCAGCCGCCAGGGGGCCCCCATCTCAGTTAATTACCGACTTCCTCGCCATTAAGAGCGGGTCCATCAAGGATATTGATCCCATTCTGCGGGGATGTCGGTGAGGAATCTAGGGACGGACAAATTAGACGTAGCATGATGAACGACGTTATGACGGAATGAGGACATAAATCTATACTTTGACACTAGACTTTGTGAGCGTGGGCTTAGTTCGTGCGTGGATTGCACGTTGGATCATGTCGACTTTGGTTCCTCATATGCTCCATTCGCGAAATTAACATTCATGGTTGGAAGGTATCTGAACAACTTTGTTATTCCTCGAAAAGAATGAAGAAGAAAAAGTTTTGCGTCAGCATTTCTGCCCCATTGAATATAACTCCTGAATTTTTAGCGGCTATTGTTTGATCTTTACTGTCGAGGGTCCGCATTAAAGCTATTTTATTTCGTCGCTTTTCAATTGTATGGAACAACGTCCTATTTAACATGATAAAATTTCAGTCATTTAATTGCCAGTGTCCACATGGGAGGGTGAACAAAACGGTTGCATCGAGATCCGACCTGGCCGGAGCCGGGGCTGCTGGTCGGGTCCAGATCCACACCCGGGCGCACGCCGATTCCAACATAATTCAATCACGTCCACGTCATACGGATCAGATGCACCGCGCATTCTTCATGGCTCCGACGCATTCCCCATGCTCATTATTTGTACCCTTGCGACACCTCTATTCACTTACATATGACATTGAAACTTTGTAAGAGCTCGCGTAGAATACCACGGATGTTTTGGATTAGGCATGGCTGTTTTGGTTTCGAAAGGTCTGCTTTATGGAAACTCGTCGTTGCCGACTGAATCACGTCTCAGATTAACCCAAAGAAGGCTAAATTTTCTTGTGGAGGGGAGTAGGGCCTATACTTCTGGGAGATGTATTCGCAGCTGGGTGCGGCTAGATGGAATCCTTGAATAATCAATCATGTTGACGTTGTGTACTAGTCGATAAACATCCACAATTCTTGTAACCATAAAACTTGTTTTGTAGCTTACATACGTGCTCATGCGTTAACTCATGCACAACTAAATGATAAAAGTATGCGACCTCACCCAACCAGAACGAATCCACCCCACCTTATCATAAACATTGACACCAGTTTGAGTTAAGTTAGTGAGGTACTGGTGTCATCAAGCGGCCTTTGGGCAGTTGCCAAGAGATATTTATGACTGGGAACACCAAAGCTTGCATTCTGAAGGTGGCGAGATGTCATGGATCAAGCCGTTTAGTAGTTCATATGATCTGAGGGCAAGTGGGCACTCACAGCGGAGTTCAAGTTCACCTCGGACATCATATAAAAGTGCGTCGCCATATAGGGATCAATCTTACAGTCGTACCGGTTTTAAATCGAAAATCGATCGAAAACTCATTGTATTAGATACTCAGGGAAACAAGATGTCCTATCACAGATATGGTTCCAGAGACGAATACCGGCCTCGTCAACGCCACCACTCCCCAACCTACTCCGACTACAGTGCCGGCGCAGCGGAGTATACCTCAACACGGGACGCTGTGGCTGTAAGTGTTCCCCATAAGCACATTAATCATCATGACTGGAGGAACCAAGCCGAAGTATATGAGAGAGAGAAACACCGGCCACGCGCACATCAAGAACATCTCTACGAAGTGAGGCGAAAATATTCTCCATCAAGATCCGAAGTCAACGCAGAGAATAGTGGGAATCATCACAGACACGAGCATCGCCACAGCCATGGGAGGAGCAGCAAGAGGAGGCATTCGAGTTCGGACACCAATTGGACCCAGGCTGCTGTCGCAGCTGCTAGCGCAGGCATCATCGAAGCAGGACTGGCACGACACGACAGGGATAGAACCGCCAGGGTGTTGACAGCTGCAGTGGGAGCCGGAGCAATTGACGCTATTGCCGCAAAGAATAATGAGAAGCCGCACAGAAAGTGGGAACACGTCGTTGTTAGCACGGTGGGAGGTATTGCTCTAAATCGAGTCGCCCATGGTTCCAGACGACAGCAATGAAACATACCGAGAGCATACATGGTTACGCGAGTCTTGTTTGAGTATGGATAATGAGAAACTAATGATATTGATTGACAACCATTAAGAAGCCAGATTAAGGGCTTCCGTTGCGCTGGCACACGACCCGGCACTCCTTGGAGCAAGCAATAGAATGACTTTCAAATGTGGCGTCAAGACGGAGAAATGACTGACATTCTTTATACCCTTGTAGTACATCTTATTGCTTCACCGCGTTCTGTTTCATTCTACAATAGCTTTAAAATTATTGCGATGTCTTTGCCAACTTGTTCTCCCCTTCGTCTTCTAGTCTTCGTGCCCTATTGAATTCTCCGTTTTCTCATGGCATTAGTACAGAGTTCTGATTTCTATTCCTGGCACCGTTTTGCTTCTAACAAATCTCTCACCTTTTTTTTTCCTCGTGGAAAACGTTTGTCTGATGTCCATTTTCCAAAAGCACATGGGTCTAAGCTATTCTCAGGTCATTCAACAACCCAATATATCTGTGTTTTGTACCAGTTCCCTATTCCCGCAACGATTACATCTCATGACTGAGATGATCACAAAGAAGCGTTGCAACGAGGTTCCGCTGACTCAAGTCGTAGACAAACTCGAAAGCATCCGCAGCTGGCTCTTCAGAGCTCGGTCTGGAGAACTCATGCTACTTTTCGATAGAGGGATCACTCTGGACTATCGTCTTTCTAGAGTTTTCGTACGTCAGTACGCTATAATAACGTGTATTGAAGCATTCAATGGCGCAGAAGGCGGCTGAGGGCAGGAAGGGCGGCAATCTCTTCCATAGTAAGTCGCCTGATAAGCATCAGATCATCAACAGCCCCGTTTGTGCCCAGGCACTACGATGCGAGCATCTGGCCACCGAGTTCGAGGGCAAAAAATTGTCACATGGTCGAAACCACGAAAGTCCTCGACACCAATTTCTGAATCTCAATCGTTGGACTTGGTCTGGTAATGCCTTGATGATGAGTATGTGCTGGTGTCATTGAAAAGTCCTCACGGGTACTTCACGCTATGGGTTGGTGGCTGATAGAGATGGTCTAGAGGAGACGGGAGGTGTGATCATGGTGTTACGGAGAGCTTAAAGGTAAGCCATACGGTCCTCGGAAGGACTGCATCCGTGTGATAGAGCCTTGCATCTGTATGCTGTGCTGTAGCCTGGAACAAAGTGAATACTGTGCGAACACATCAATCCTAATGGGAAATCATAATGGAACCAGAGACGTAAAAAGTGAATCATGATCAGGGCTGCCGGATACCCGGCGATTATGGCTTGGCAATTGATATTGAAGACACCGTGAGCGGCATGAACCGTCCAGATGAGCTTTAGCATGCAGCAGTATGAGATTAACTAGGTTCCCTCTGCACTAACGGGGCCATGGAGTGGCTGTATATGGTTTACTTAATGTAATATTATAGCTTCAAAGCTATTTGTGATTCCATCCAAGGGCATTGCCAAGCGATTCGCGGAGAATAAACAGCCGCAATCTAAATGCCGGATGAAGGGCCTCCGCCAAGCCAACGCTACCACCTTTAACTCATTGGCGGTACCACCAAATCTTGAACGGTCAATGCCGTGCCCGGAAGATGGTTCCCTAGGAGAGTTGCGGACCCTACTGCCCCGTAGACGAGTAACTGGGTTAGAACTAGGATGATCGATTGGCAAAGATGTTCTGTCTGCAAATGGTTGAATCATTCTGTGGCTTTCATGTTGACTTGGTGGTATAAATACAGACCAACATCCTCGAATTAAACTCGGGATCTATTTTAATGACAGTAGAAAGACGACAACCATAGTTGATATGAAGTTTCTCAACCTCCTCGCTGCCGCCGGCCTCTGCCAGGCCCACACCATCTTTGTCTCGCTCGAAGCAGGTGGTGTCAATAGTGGTGTTTCTCAAGGCGTGCGGACCCCCGAGTACGATGGGCCTCAAACCGATGTAACATCTCAGTATATCGCGTGCAACGGCCCGCCGAATCCGACACAACCAACTGACAAAGTTATCACTGTGACAGCTGGGTCTAACGTCACCGCAATCTGGCGCCACACATTGACTAGCGGTCCAGAAGATGTTATGGATGCTAGCCATAAGGGTCCTACAATCGCTTATCTCAAGAAAGTCACAGACGCGAAGACTGATACCGGCATCGGAGGTGGATGGTTCAAGATTCAAGAGGATGGCCTTAGCAACGGTGTTTGGGGAACTGAGCGGGTTATCAATAACGCAGGAAAGCACACTATCTCCATCCCTAAATGCATTCCGAACGGCCAATATCTCCTCAGAGCCGAGATGATTGCCCTGCATAGCGCCAGCTCATACCCGGGAGCGCAGCTGTACATGGAATGTGCCCAGATCAACATCGTCGGCGGGACTGCTGCTAAAACCCCATCAACTGTCAGCATCCCTGGCGCTTACAAGGCAAGTCTCTAAAACCTTGACCAGAAAACTTACAAGAAAATCTAATTATGTTCGTAGGGAACTGATCCTGGAATCACTATTAACATCTACTACCCTCCTGTAACAAACTATGTTATCCCTGGCCCCCAAAAGTTTTCCTGCTAAGCGAGACGACCTTAATCACCAAAATTTCACAATTATTGATATTCCAAAGGCTCATAAGGGATTTTGTAGATCAGAACTGCAATCAACCGCCCCGGCAACTCGTTTCGTTGTTAGGAAGTGTCGAGGTTTAGCATCATAAGCGGTCCTCAATCGATGATTCTTGCTGCACATGGAACGGTTGAACTACTTAGTTCGAGAATTATCAGTTTCAATTACCCAGGGGTTTTAGTCATCAGGCTGCTGCGCTAAAAACCCCTTACTCACGTAAGGGGTAAAAAAAGGGGGGTTGTAGCAGCAAAAGGGGGGTTACACCTCGCATCACAAATAGCATTACTTTTACCTATTATACACAAAAACCTCTACTTTTTAATTCAAAAGGTCATAGTAACTACAATGTTATGTAATAATAAGAGTAGTATTAATTAATAGCCTTAATCTAAGGCTTTAAAAAGGTACTTTTTTTTTTTTTTTGTATAATAATTAAAAATTTAAATTGTTATTATAATAGTATTATTATTAGTATTATTATTAACTATATATTATTATTTCTTTTTAATTTATATTAATAGGGAAGTAAATAGATTATCTTTTATTATGCTTTTACTTTACTAGGTATTTATATTATTTTTGATTATATAGTATTATAACTTATATTATAATAGTGCTTATAATGTTGTTATTAGTATTAGTGTTATTAGTAGTAATAGTACTAATGCTATTTTAAGGTTATTATTTTTATTTTTAGTTATATTAACTGATTTTTTGCTAGATATAGCCTTATTAACGTTTTTGTTAATAGGATTATTTATATCTGTAAATATCTTAGGATTAAAGTCTAGCTTAGTTGCCTTTGTAGTAGTATTAGCTAATGCTTAGTTAATATTGCTTTAATTAAAGGGCCTTGTTGTATACTTAAATTAATTAAGTATATGTTGTAGTAAAGGGGTAAGGTTAATGTTAATAGTGAATTTTTCTTTTGGTTTGTTATATTAATAAGGATCTAAGGTATTAAATAGAATATAAGTATTAACTTCTTTAGTATAGTGTAGTTATTGTTTAAAGGTTAGTTGCCTTATCTACTTATTTATTATCTAATACTTTAAAGTATTATATTGTTAGTAGACCTCTTTTTTTTAGCTATAAGCTATTCTTTTAATTACTACTTACTATTACTATTATTTTGTTTATATAGCCTTAGTTATTTGCTTTTTATATACCTCTTTTATATTATTAAAAGTAATATTTAATATAAATAAGTAGCTTAGCTTAATAGCTTATTAAGCTTAGCTTCTTTATTATTATATTACTAGTTTCTTATTATAGTCTTTAATATGACTTTGTTAGTACTTATAGCTAAGAGCTCCCTTATTAATTATTTTTTTAATTACTTTAAATCTCTTTTTTAAAGGGGTGCTTTATAGGCTATTATATATTTTTTTTATATAGTTAGTAGTAAGACTAAGAATTAAGAAGTAAAATTCTTATAATTCTTATATATAAATCTCTTTATAACTTTATAACTAAAAGTCCTATAAATATATAGTTATTTTTTCTAGATTCTTCTTAAAAAATAACCTATAAAAGTATATATTACTATATATAACTATACTTGTTGGAATAACAGCACCAGCTGGTTGTACGACACGCACGACTCAGGGACACACATCATGGCAGAGGGCATAGACTGGATATTCGGCTCTCGGTTATCCATTGAGGGGATCAAAAGTATATTTATACTAAACTAACTTAAGGATATACAAGATTATATATCTTATGTATAAAAGCCAAGTCTTATAGTTAAGAAGATAATTATAGAAAATATATCTTTAGTTCACCTTAACTTTAACTTAAGTATAATTATATAAACGGGTTCTCTTAGGAAAAGAGAATCTATTTAATATTAATTAGTAGTTGCTTAGTAATCTATGCAATTGCTTTATGTAATTATAGATTAGTAAAAGTAAAGAGATAAGACTTAGGCTTTATGGCTAGGCTATTAAGTAGTCTTATACTTTATGTAAAGCAAGAAATCCTTAGGGATACCTAAGGGGTTACGCTAGAAAGTCTCTTATGTTAAAAAGCTTTAATTTTACTTATTATTACTTATTAAGCTAAATTAAGTAAATAAAATAAAAATAACTTTTATTTTATTATTATATAAGATAAATTCTTATTATTATCTACTAAGCTAAACTAGATAAGAATCTTTATTATACTATATATAGAGTATAAAGTGTATATTATAGCACTAAATAAACTAATTTTAACGTTATATAATATAAAATAACTACTAAATATAATATAGCTTCCTAAGAAGATCCAAAAGATAATTATTAAAGCTAATATAATAATATTAATGAATATCTATTAATATATAAAGAAATAAGTATAAGGAGTAAAGCCTTATTGTATACATAGAAAAAGACTATGAATCTTAGACGCTAAAGAAATCTAGTTAATATTATATAGGTATTATTTAAAGAAAAGATAACTATATATATTATATATATTAATATAGAAATATTTTATTTTAAGTAATTAAAAGAAAACCTAATAATATTACTATATAAAGATTTTAATAAATAGTTTATTTTTTAATAAAAAAAGGTTTATTATGTGTTTAAGGTAAAGTTTATATAACTTATTAAGCTAAAGGGATTTTAATTACTATTAATAAGAAATATAAATTAATAGCTAGTTAAATTTATCAAGGAGATTAGGAGGAAGTTTAATAAGTAAAAAGAGTAGCTTTCTACTTATATAGTACTTATACTAAGTTATATGATTATAATAACTTAAATACTTATTTAAAACCTTAAATTAACTTTACCTTAAAACATAGCTGAACTAATAATAGAGCTAATTAAACCCTTATATAATATATAAATAACCTAAATATTAATTGTATAAGAGTAGTTATAATTAGCTTTAAGAAATATACCTTTTAGAACAAGATTTATATAAGAGGTTAAGAGTTTTCTATAAATCTAAGGTCATATAACACTTTTATATTAAAAAAATAACATTTATAACCTACTATTAAGATAAATAATCTAAAATAAATTATATAAGCTAACTATAATTTTAATTTTCTAAAAGGGATAGAGAAAAGATAGGAATTATATAGGTAAGTTATATAATATCTTGTATAATAAGGTAAAGGTCTTTATTAGTTTTTGTTAACGCTTTAGGATTATTAAAGACTAATATTATATAGTATTTCTTGATATTTTAGTTAATTATATAGAAGAGTTTTATTTTTATTATATTAGACTAATAAGGAGATAGGACAAAATATATAATATATTAGAAATACACTTTAATACTAATATTAACTATACTCTTTATTAGATAGATTAGATAAGTCTATTCTTTATATAAGTTAGATAAGATAATCTAGATAAGAATCTGATGGACGTATTAGAGATACTCTTAGACAAGATACCCTTGTATAATAGGTACTTAGCCCAGGTTTTCAGGGGGAGATTATACTTTGTATGTAAGTTACTTAAGCGTGTAGAGGTATACTAGAGCTAGAAACTGCTCTAAGTAATCTTAAAGCATATTATACGTATAAGTAATTCTTTTTTAGCCTAAGAGCATTACTATAAGTTGCTTTAGATAGGAAGTCTATATTATATAACATTAACTTTATAGATAGAAGATACTTTAATAACAAGAGTTACTTATAACTATTATATAATAGACCGTTAGACAATAGAGGATCTTCTTGATAACCTTGGAAAGGTTAACTTTTATTATGACCTAGGTTTAATTATATAATATCTAAGAAAAGATGTTTTATGTATAAGAAGGAGAGTTATTGGTTTATAAATTATTTGGATAAAGAATATAATTATATAAAAGACTAATACCTTTAGGTATATGGTATACTTGAATAAGAACTATAGAGAGATTTTGTTTTGTATTTTTTTGACTTTGAAGGAGAAAACCTAGTGGACGAATTGTGTAATAAGGAGGGAGAATTTATAGGAGATAAAGAGATATCAGCTTTCTTAATGTCTTCTTTATTCTTTTATTATATAATAAGGGAGGATATCTTTTTATTACTAAAGACGTTAAAGGCCTGTTAATTCTTGTTATATAATCCTTATATCTTATTATACTAAGGGGAACTATAGGATATAGGAGTAGTGAAGTTCTCTATTATAGGGAAACCTTAAGTCCTTGTATACCTATGGGAGAACCTTTGTATGGTAATATCCTAGGGACTAGGATTAATAAACGTATAATTTAGGGCAAGTGACTTAATTACATTGGTTAGTACTATGGAAATAGAGAATTAGCTTAGAAAGGTTATGTATTATATCTTTAATGCTTTTACTTTGTTCTTATTTTTATTATATAATATAAATAGGTTAGGTGTATATTTTAATAATGTTAATAATGTGATTGTATAGTAAGATAGAAAACCTATCTTAGTTGTATGGAAATGGGGTCACTTATTCTTTAACCTTAGTCGCATAGAGGCTAGTATGTTCTTTATAGAAGGATAACTTTAAAGGCTTTATAGATAATTTAGATATTCTTGTATAGACTGTCTTTATTACCTCTTAAAAAAGGCTAGGTATTATAATATTAATATTAATATTCTAGAAAAGGTCTAGAAGTTTTGTTATTATTGTTAATTATATGACTTAGTATTAAAGAGGTTTAAGTTTATACTTAAAGATGAAAGCTACTTTAACTATGAGATAGTTATAGATGTTGTACGACTAAGAGACAAGAATGCCTTATACGTTATTAATATAGAGATAAGCTTCTAAGGAGCTACCTTCCTAAAGTCCTTATCTGCACGAGATACATGGAATGTACTTTGTAAGTGCTAGATTAGTACGTATATTGGT